CACTTCTTCGATCCACCTCCTGGGCTGGCTATTTTCCTGGCATACTTTGCAGCGTCCCACAAATTGCTTAAGCCCTGGCACAGGACGCTCCGCAGGATGTGGGCAGAAAGCTGCCTAATTGTTTGACAGGACAGAACTTGTAACGCGGAAAACTTCACTTGCGAGCCAGAACAGCCAGAAAAACAAGTTGCAATTGTCACTTTTGTGGAAACTTTTTGAAAATTTACAAAGTGCGTGGACGGTACAGTTTGTTTTTTTTCTGTTGGTTTTACACAAGTCACGGTGCAAATAAATTATTAAATGTCTGCGGGAAATTATGTTTTCCAAGCGAACGACAGCCAGCCACAGCCACAGCGAGACGGGGGAAATGTCAGCGCAGTCCAGCGCCATCCATTGCAATGGAGAAGCCCTCGTGGCTTTTGTCGGGACACGTTATAAATGATCGCAATTGAAACTTTAACCCATTCCGAGGTCTAGTTGAAAAATTGACATTATTTTCTGTTGGCAACAACAGTCAACGGACGATAAATAAGAGCCAACTTAAGTCGGAGTATTTATTTTTCGGGCATCGTTTGATAAATGACTTTGAGGCTAAGGCACAAAAAAGAAAAAGGAAAAGTTGGTGGCAAAGAAAGGCCACGGCACCGCACATGGGCGTGGCCGCCACACCCCCGAATGACTTTTCTCATTAAGCCTGACCCGGAGTCAGAGTCAGCGTCAGCGTCAGCGTCAGCGTCAGAGTCGGAGCCAAAGCGAACGTGGTCGAGAAGAAATCAAACTAAACTTTGCTCGGGGTCTCTGTCCCGTTGTCGCTGTCGGTCCCCAGGGGAGGTCGAGGGACCGGACCAGAACATGTGTAAAGCGTCGAGCGGTTAAAGCTAAACAAACAATTGCCAAATGCAATCGAGGAGTGGGCCAAGATGGCTTCGAGAAACAGTTGAGCACAACCGTTGCATGTTGGCAGGAGGAAGTTTGCCAACCGCATGCTTCAACTTCAATTTGCTGGAAGCGTTCGAAGGGGCAAAGAACACCCTGCCACGGTGCTGTGGGTGGAGTGTGGAGTGGGCCCCTGCTTACAGTTTGACTCGTATTTCATTACTCGAACTGGTATTAAGTGGCAAACTTTTGTATTTAACAACTTTTAGCAGTCGAGCAGCAAAAATGTAGAAGATGAACCGTCCAAAGTTTCCTTGGCGAAAACCCAAACAGAGGATACAACAACAACAACAAAAACAAATAAAAAAAACCGGCAAGCAAAGAAAGGCGAAAAGTACAAAGTAAGTTGCAGTTTTCTTGACTTAACTGCAGCGTCGCGTCGCTGACGGCAAGGGGCACGTAGGGGGGACGTGGCAGACGCAGAGTCCATGTAAATGAAAGAAGACAGTTGTCACGGTCCAGCTTGAGACCGACAAAAGCCCAATTGGCAAGAACATATGGAATGGCCAGAGGTCCACCACTCCCCGAGTCGCTACAACATTTTCCACTTTGCCATCATCCCATTGGAGCTTCGGGGCAAGTTGGATGCTTAAACCAAAAATCTGTCAAATAAAACTTTGATTGGCCCGATTCCCAGTCCCAGTCACAGTCTCAGTGCCAATCGCCCACCTCCTTCTTCTGCCCCCCGGCTAGCACTGACTTTGCCAGCGCATTAATTAGCGTTGCATTCACTGAGAGCTGGAGCAACTTTTCTGCATGCAACTTTGCTGCGTACCCCCCACCAAAAAAGTTTCCCGAAGTGCCACATAAATTGAGTTGCCGCAAGTTGCATATATGGAACATTGTTCAGGCCCTCAAGCGAGTGGAATGTGATTCCCCCTGCATAGGTAGCAGAGAGGCATTAGCATTATTATTATGCCTTCAAGTAGCAGATCAAATACCACATCCTGGGCATCCTCCTTTGCGCCCAGTCATGCTGGGCAGCAAAACCAAAACGTTTTTCATATGTCCTGCGTCACTGCCCCACCCCCACCCCCCACTACGGCTGGCACTTGGACCCCAGCCAAAGGTCGAGGCGCTGCAAAAGCGTAGAATGGAAGGCTGCACTTGGGCCAAATTACAATTTCAATTTGTCAGCTGGCGCTGCAGCCAGTAGACACCATTAAATGGCAAATTAAGTTCAGTTTCAGTTCGGCTCCATTTTGCATTTTCGCCCATGATTTTTTTGTTCCACCATTTGCCAGCAGTTTTTGGTTTTTTTTGGCCGCGGAGCTCCGGGGCAAATGTGTTTTTGATATGTGTTCATCATCGAACGATCTTGGCGCATTATCCTGGCAGATTTTCGGGCTCTGGGCAACCATGTATGAATACGTTGAATATTTCATGAGTGAGTGTCATAAAATTCGTTTTCCGAAAGCGAAGGAAATGCCACATGGTAAGCGGGAAGTGGAGGCAAGCGTTTTCTTTTTTTTTCTTCTTCTTAATAACTTTCCGCTGCGGCTGTCACACACACACCCCCAAGAGCAGCCAGGACTTCAGGACATGTCGTCAACGGCTTGTTGTTGCTCCTTCAAGCTGCTTTATAATTTATGATTCCTGGCATCGAAGGCACACTGACACACACACACACGTCGCCAACTTTTGTATAATTTTGACAAAATAAAAAACTGCATGAATATTAACTGCAAGTGGCAGAATATGGCGTCGGCGTTACCGGAAGCAGCAGCATCATCCTGTCCTGCCATGCCCTGCCTTGCGCCGCGCCCCCCATCTTGACTGTCACTTTTATTATGTGCGCCATGTGAAACTTTCAAGTGCCTGCTTGATCTGGGTTGAACAAGAGGCAGGGCAGGGCAGGGCAGGACCACGCCCTACTTACTTATGCATACGTGTAGCTTAGGTTCTAGGTTCCCTTTTGTTTTTTTTTTTGGTGTTTTTGGCCAGGTTTTTAGTGCATACATATTTGATGCAAATGTTCGCAAATTGTCGTCGCTGTCGATTGGACATTTTGTGGCCACATCCGCCACAGTCTCACACATCAAACAAAAGAGCTGGAGATGATGCTGTGTGGGGGGGGGGGGGCGTTAGGGGTGGATGGGTGGTGCTGTGCTGCAGGTGGCTTACTTGTATGGCTCATGGATAATTTGCTTAAGCTCAGCCAGCAGAAAATAACATTTTGCACACAAGCTGACACGCACAATGCCACACGACCCTTGGCCAGGACAGGTCTGGTCTGGCTTTGGTTCTGGGCTCCAGCTCCGGGTTCGACTTGGCTTATCACTTGGCCGAAAGCAAAAAGATGAGAAGTCTGCTGCTGCTGCTGCTGCTAGTGATGCTCCTGCGGCTGTCAGGCTAGGAGTGACACGGCAGCTGTGCTTTAAACAAAGCTCAGCTCGAATAAAAACAACATGACTAATAGTTTTGACAGGGAAAGACAACACAAAGGCCAGCCGGACAGAATGTCAGATAAAAGCCAAAGCAATGGCAAATGACAGGATACAGGATACAGGCGACGCAGGGGACGCAGGGCGCCACTGCATGCTAAATGTTGTCAATTAGTTGGACATCCGGCACACGGTGGACCGAACGGACCCAGATGATGACCACTGAAAGACAGGGTACACCCTTCTAGTGGGGAAAGATGCCCAGAGGGGACAAGGCATATCTTCTCCAACAGCTGATCAATTAGTTTTAATCATGTGAATCATGCGGGGCAATCCCACAAAGAAAGTATCTGTGGCTCGCAGGCTTATGGATTGCACATTTCTCCATTTGATTAACAACATAAATCCCATCTAAAGAACTTTGGAAAATCAATGGCCACCACATTTGTTCCAATTATTCTGGCCCCCTGTCTTTGAAAACTTTCATTGGCTTTGACTGCTTTCCCGACTGCCCCTGGCAACATCTTTTGGGCCCAAATCTTCTTTACGAGAGCATCAGGTAAGAGAGCAAATCCTAAGCCCGGTTGTAACTTTTTTTTGTTCGCTTTGTGTGTGTGTGTGGATTGGCCCCTGCCTGTCCCGGTAGCTCAACAGTTTTGGCTTTCAGCTATAAAAACACAAAGTCGCTGGCAAAGTCGCACTTAAGCTGGGCTGCTCTCTCTCACACTCACTCCCACTCCCTTGCTCTCTCTGACACTTTCAACTTGTGGCACACCCACACACACACACACACACTTACACACGAACAAAGGCACGCGTGAAGCTCTATCAGCTCTAGACATGCATACAGATGTCAGCGCGTGTGTGTGTGTGTGTGTGGGGGGGTGGCACAGTCCATAAATTTGTGCAGCGTGCAACATTTGCTTTGCTTTTCTGGGTGTTTTTGTTTATAGAATATATATTTTTGTAGCGATACCCTAGACTTAGGGAGTTGCGTTTCAGACCCGAAGTTTGCGACACAAAAAAATCTCACATATAATCGTAATTCAGAAATACATCGCTTACTTTAGATGTAAGACTCTCTTGACTCCTCAAAAGATGATCTGACAGAAATGAACAAATTTAAGCGCCGCTCAATATATATAGTATTATTGATCCAACATATCATATTACACATACGCACACAAGTAGCTCTTGTGGGTGGGTATTTGCTGGGGCTGGTGGGGTTCTCAAAACTAACCTTTCCTTCCTCAGTCAGTCTTGTTGGTTTGTCGCTCATTTGGTGGCCCCATCTGAGGGTGACAGAGAGGGAAATAGAGTGAAATGCATGTGTTATGATGGGCGCAAGCAACCAAAGCCCGCACGCCTGCGGATATGCAACAATGTTGTCAAGTTTCCTACTCGACTGGCGGTGCCACGGCGCCATGGAGCCCATGGAGCTACGGTGCCAGCTCCAGCTACAGCTACCTCTGGGCATTATGTCCACCGGGCGTGACTAACATGCACATGCTCAACTGTGCTGGAAAACGTTTTACCCAGCTCACATCTCCTCACCTAAAAGCCCCCACCAGTATTTCCATCCGTCCCCCTACCAGTGACCTTCTATCTGGGCTTTAAGTTGGCAAGATTGTGTTTGTTTTTATCTAGTGACCAACTTGAATTTTGATTTGTTTCTTGCAGCAGCACCAGCAACAGCAACACAAGAAGCAGAAGCAGCAGCAGCAGCAATATGGCCAAGGACTTGAGTACTCTGGGCTGGGATTATCTGATGTTTGTGCTGTTCATAGCACTCACCGTCTTGGGTCCGCTCTGGACACGCATCTTTGGCAAGAAAAAGCAACGCAGCAAGGCCGATTATGTCTTTGCCACGGGCGGTGTATCGATTGTGGCCGTTATGATCTCGATAGCACGCGGCACCCTCGGCGTGCGATCGGTGCTGGGTGAGTAATAAGCCGATTTTAGCTATCGATTTTGTTAATTCTAATGTTTCAATTACGCTGCAGGCTATCCCAGTGAGTTGTTCTATCGCGGTTCGGCCATGTGGGAGATAATCTACGGCATGATGACCGCCTATCCCATTGTCTGCTTCATGTTTGTGCCCGTGTACTTCAACCTGGGCATCACCTCCGTCTATCAGTACATCGATCTCAGGTGAGTGTGGCTGTGGGTATGAAGAGAAGTGGACTTGAGGGGAGTTGGCACTCCCGAGCGCCCCATCGTTTAATTAGCACAAAGCGAAGCGACGGTGACGGCAACAGGAAAATTGTTATTTAAACATTCATTTTAATTTCGTAAAATGCGTCGCAACGCTTGTCCAGGCACTCGCCCACGCCCCCTTATCGCCAAAGCGCACACAATTTTATTCTTCATTAAGAAGGCCAAATGAAACTAAACAGAGACACGGCACGGGCTCAAGCTCAGGCTCAGGCCACTGTCCCTGTTACTGTCACTGGGATTCAGCTCCTGGCTGGCTGGGCTGGGGTTTCTGACTGGCTGAAGCTTCTGCTCGTGGCACAAGTTGCTGCGTTCCTAAATAAATTTGAATTACATTTTACAAAACAAAAAAAAACGAAAGAAAAAGTGGATACAGAAACAGGAGAAAGCAGCAGCAGCAGCAACAACAATGGGCAGCAAACAAAAGCTGAGCAGGCAGCGCAAGTAATCTATAGATTTGTCCGTGGCCCGGCTAGGACTTGAAATTGGACTGGGACTGTGACTCTGACTTGGAATCGGACTGGGAATCGGACACGATGCTATCGCGCCCAGTTGTCGTCAGTTTTGTCGTGCCCAGAGCTGGTGGCCCTGGTGCCTCCTTGTGTCGCAAGTTGTCGCATCGTGGGCCTAATTGTTTTTTAAGTTCGAAATTAGTTAACAAATTTGTTATCAAATGTTTTGCAGTTTCGACAACAGAATTCAATTAATTGCCAAAAACTGGCAAGACAAACAAACAGCCACGAGGGCGCGGAGGCGCGCCAGTTCGGCTGAGCATAATTTGATTGAAATTTAATTGGCATGTGCCGCCCAGCCCCCATCCCACTGCCAGCCAAAGCGAAACGAGGCAAAAGCTGTGCAGAATTGACAAATTATTTAAATGTTTGCTTTGGCGATGAAATTGTAATTTGTAAATTAGCATGTCCAGCAGCGTGGCCAGGGTCCGGGGGCCTGAAAGCAATTAATTGGCTACACTCGGGAAAAATAACTCAAATTGGAATATAGTTTTTAAAAATTATTTCGACAGCTGCAGCAGCTGAATGTATTTTTTCCAGTGCATCAAAATAATATCCAAGCTTAAATTAAAGACGGTTTGAGTTAGTTTTTAGATTTTAGCCATTTAGGCAGCCGTACAGCCGTACAGAACTAATGGAAGAGCGCCAAAGAAAACTGCCAAAGACGTCTAGCGTCTCGTCTCTCTACTTCATCAATCTTAGTCAATTTAGTCGATATATATATAAAAAAAAATGGAATGCGGAGTTAAGAAAACATGAGGCTCAAAGGGTTGGGTTGGATTGGATTGGCTTGGCCAAATGTTGCCACCGAAAAAGTTGTGCGTAAAACATTTTGATGCCTCATTGTCGCTTGTCATCGCAACTGGCGCCCCCTTCGCGCGACATGTTTATGCATACAACTTCATCAAAATAGGCAGAAATCAGGCCCAGACGCAGGCTGAGACTGTGACTGGGACTGAAAGTGGAACTGAGGCCGATAAGTGAATATGCTACAAATTGGCAAAAGCCACTTGGCCAAACACAAAGCAGGAACGATGGGAAGAGGAAAGAGGAAAGACAAAAGCCTTGACGTTGGCAACACGATGACAATACACAAGTAAAAAAAAACCCTCCTACACGCACAAAGGCAGAGAGACAGAGAAAAGGAAAGGGAAAAGGAAAAAGGGAAAATGTAAAAAGGAGGAAAATACAAAGCAGCAGCCACTCGCTCGGTCTCTGAGGCTGTTGACAAATTGTATGACAATTCGTTTGTGTCATAATGTTTATAAATAGCGCGTGTTGTTGCCTGTCACTGGCATCAGGCACCAAGCAGTAGGCACCAGGCAGTAGGCAGCGCTGACAGTTGCCTCCGATCCGATCCGATCCAAAACCATCCCGCAGCGCCCCGTGCTCTGTACTCTGCTCTCTGTGCTCTGTGGCTGCCCCTTTCCATACCCCAAAAAACTTGCGAAACAAAAAATCAAGACACAAACACACACACCACCACACAGAGTCTTGGATTCTCTTGCTTGTCAGTCGCCTGTCGCAAGTGATGTCTGCCACTCGCCAGACACACACACACTCTCCAAGTGCCTGGGAGCCAAGAAGGGCATGGGCATGGGCTTGGGCATCGCCACGACCCTTGACTCGCATACCCACTCAAGTGGCATCCAAGCTCACAGAGATTTTTGCTATCTGGCCTCCAATCGCAATCGGGTTCAATGGTCAAGTCAAGTTTCCTTTTGGGATAATTCTTCCTGGCTGCCTCTCCCCTCCTGTTGCTTGGGGTTGGGATGGGGGGCCGGGCGTCAGAGTTCTGTGGCAATTACATACTCTCTCGTGCATGTAACCAAATTGATATCGCTGGATCGAACAATCGTTGGCACTTAGCAAATGGAAAAAGTGCATTTCAATTGCGCCCTGGATTATTTACGACTACAAGAGTCGGGGCGGGGGCCGGGGCCCAAAGTGCCGCTCCACGGCCAACGACGAATGCCATTGGTGTGTTAGCCAAATAAAAATAAAAGGGGAGGCACAGCAGCACAGGTTCGTGCCAGCCCCCTCGTTGAGATGAAATGGTGGGGCTGGCTGGGATGATGGAATGGAGTGACATGCATGCGCATAAATAAAGACGTTTTCGGTGCTGGCTACAAAGTGAGAGCTTGATTTGCAATTCAAAGACAACAAAGTTGTTTCCGAGCCACACACATCCATTCCCCAACCCCGTGACCCCGTGTATTAAGGAGTATGCAGGAGTAGTTTGGGCAAGAGATTTATCATCCATTCTCATGCCAAATACCATACGGATTATTATGAAGGAGTATGCAGGATTCCTAGGGTATCCTCTCGCACCTTTCCATCCACGTATGGCGTACACCTTAAGTCGATTATCTGCCCCAGACTCCACCTTTGATTCCACCTTGTTATCTGCTTCTTTTCTTTGTGCATGGAAATGGAGGCTGTTAACGCTTTGACGGCACTCAGGGCCGATCCCAAACTTTATATGGCTGATTATGTTTATTTATGCATGGCATTTAATGCAATCAAAAAGCTGACGCCCACACACTCAGCCTTCTCCACGCCTCTCCAGGCCTCTCCAGGCCTTGGTTACATTACCTTTGATTGTAAAATTAACTCGAGCCGACCACAAGGCCTCTTGGCCAGGGAACTGGCTCTCTAAACGGCGATTATCTGGCCAATGTACGAGACCCACTTGTCATATTAAATTTTGCCATTAATTTATGCCTTTGTCCCAGAGCCGAAACTGGCTTAGCGGCCCTGCATGATTAATGATGGGACGACGTCTGTAGATGGACGGACTGGTGGGTGGCTCCTCCCGTGACCTCTCCTGGTGCTCTTCGCCATTCCATTCACTGCTTTTCACACTCCTTTCGTTTATTGTTCTGGTGGCTGGTGGCTGGCTGGTCATTGACGTTGTCCTGGGCGTGTGTGTGGGAGTGGGGGCTAAATGGGAATGAGCGTTCCTTTCTGGTAATTGCTTACCCGCTGGCATGCGCATGGCTGCCGCAATTATTGCATACTTTGCGGCACTTACATTTCATTTAAAGTTATTAAGCGACAATCGCCTCGCAGGACGTCTTTAATCAACTCAACAAAGTGGATTATGCTAAGAGAAAGAGAGAGAGAGAGAAGGAGCAGCAGCAGCAGCAGCAAGAGCCGAAGGGAGTTAAATCAATTAAACTAAAACAAAGGCCAGCACCAGGACAACGTTCAATCAACTGGACGGCGGTGACAGCCTCAGGTCATTACTCACACACAGACGGAGGAAGGAGACAGAGAGCCATAAAGGAGGAGCTTTAGAGGCAAGAGAACAGAGAACAAGAACAGAGAACAAGAACAGAGAACAGAGCAGAGCAGGAGCCAGCCAGAGCTGGAGCAGGAGCACTTATTGTGATGAACACAATGTTAACAGGCTAAATGAGAAACAAATGCCACAATCAGACAACGTAGAAAAACACTCACCCAAAAAACCCAGAGATGCAGAAGCAGACACAGAACACAGAAGCCGGAGTGAAAGGCAGTCGAAAACAATAAATCCCATAAATCATATTAAATTGACATATCAGGCCAAAATTGACCGCAAGCAAAGGCAGCACCCACACACACACACTGGCAGAGAGAGAGAGAGAGAGAGAGAGAGAGAGCGAGAGAGAGAAGCAATATGTTGGCAGGATATTTGTGTCCTAGAATAATATTTCTTTATCAATTTCCACAACAAGTTCAGCCCTAGGAAAAACAAGAAAAACCAAAGAACACACACAGCCCCCACCCCTACCCCACCCACCGAACAGCTGTGCCACTGTGGGCCAAAAATGCCTAAATAAATGTTTGGCCAACCAACCAGAAGATGGTTGGTGGTTGCCCCATACCATACCATACCATCTTCAATATGCCATCTCTCCCGGCCCCAGAGCCCACGCCACGCCACGCCTATTCAATCAACACATAAGACCGACGACTGTCATCCCAGCCCAGCCTCTGTCCTCGGCCAAATTGGCCAGCCAGGCTTTTATCAGCCCTCTGTGGGATTTTGCAGACTGCTTTCCCCTTTGTGTCACAATTAAAATGTATGTTTTTTGCAAGCATGCGACGCGGGGCGTGCGGCAATGTGATGTAAACCGCTTAAAGTCCGCTCGAAGAACAGCCTCCATACGTGTATACCGTACGTACTGCCCGCTGCAAGCAAGCAACCCCATTAAGTCAACTGGGTAAATATATGTTAAGCTCGTGTAATGCATATCTGATATCAGGGGCAGGGAGAGCGAGAGAGAGCCTCCCCCATTGTACATGGTAGGTACACATGTCGATACAATCGATGATTGTTTATTTGGAAAAGTGCAGCGGTATTGATGAAATGGCCCCCGCGGCCCCTGAGGCAACGTTTTGCAAGAGCCTCAAAATTAAGGCGATTAAAGATAAAATCAGTCGCATGTCGCATATCTTCCCTGCCAGCCCATGGAGGTCATTCATCTAAATATGCATTTAATACCCATGCCTCGCACCTGCGTCTCCAATCGCTCATGCTTAAGCACTCAGTTAGAACAGGGGACAGGGCCAGGGCCTGATGACAGCCCAGATCAATATTGGCCAGTGGCAATTAATCATTTAGTGGGCAATCCATACACGCAGAAAGCTGCAGAGGGGAGATCCAGAGGTTTGAGGGGGAAAATGGATTATGCAGTCAGCTTAGATGTCGGACACGAAAATTACCTGTGATTACCTAACCTGTAGCAGCAACTACAGTGGGCTTTAAAGGTGTAAGTCCACCAGCTGGATTCCAAGAGGGATTAAAATTTAAACCAGATTAAACAGGACTTAAATTTGAAAGTCTTTAAATTAAATTCGTTTATTCGCATTCAAAGTAATAGTCGCTTATAGTATAAAGAAGGCATCAAGTAACCATTTTATTACACAAAATATAGAGAGAGGAAAACCACTTCAAATAATGTAAAATATCAGCACCCACATTCAAGCCATCGAAGTAGCTTAAAGTGAAGAGTTGCAATCAAAGGATTATGGACATGAAGCAGTTTGGTTGGCAAAAACAAACCCACACACAGTGCGTGTGCGGAGGCACTTGGTACATTTGGCCCCCAAGCCACATAACGCATACTAAACGATCATTAGGCGGCGGACGCCCTCGAACAGGACCGCCCCATCTTGTCGCACATTTTGCATCAAATTAACACACAAATTTTTACAACCAGGGCCATAAAAGGCGCCCGGCACAACTATAAAAACAATCAAAACGAGTTACGTTACAGACCCGCCAATTTTCTTGGGGTTCGTTTTTTTTTCCGGCCGGTCTTGTCGTAAATTTTCGGCGAGGCGAGGCCCTTTACTCTACCCGATCCAACATTACATCTTTACAGCTGTAGTAAATCATAAATAAAAAAAAAGAAGGCCTGGGGGTGAAGGGAATATATAACTCGAGGAGGTGAAACCATTAAATCTTTAATAAAAATAAATAAATGTGCAAGAGGTGCACGGGCCTAATTAATGCCTGCACTCACCTGTTCCGACTCCTGGTCTTTCCACTTTTTAGGTTCAAGAGCCGCACCGTGCGGTGCCTGGCCTCGGCCACGTATATAGTGCGACAGATCTGCAACCTGGGCATCACCGTGTACACGCCGAGCGTGGCCCTGTCGACGGTCATCGGGATACCATACTGGGCCAGCATAGTGGGCATGTCCGTCATTTGCATATTCTTCACGATTATGGTAAGTTGGGAATGTCCACAATTTAATGACGCAAATATTCAAATTAATCTTCATCTTCTTTTTTCTTGGTCCACCTCATTAGGGAGGCCTGAAGGCTGCCATCAATGCGGATGTCATCCAGACCCTGACCATTCTGGTCGTCACATTGGCCGTCTGTATCCAGGGCACCATTTCCAGCGGCGGGCCAAAGAAGGTTTACCAGCTAAATCGTGAGAATGGTAAGCCATCACAGGGTGCGGGTGCGGGTTTGGGTTTGGGTTTGCTGCTTCGATTGATCATGGCAGCTTATTAGCCAGGCCTGTCAAATGATGCTGGATGTGTGTCCCACATTTATGCTGACGAATGATGACTATTAAAATGGCATCCATTCGGGGTTGCTGCTGTAGCTGCTGCTGCGTCGGCTCATTATGCACATAAATGATGATGATAAAAGTGGCATAAAACAGCGGCATGTGTGGCAGGGGCGGGTACAGGAAAATCTGTGGGGGTATTTGGGAGAGACGAACCGAGTCGAGCCTCGCATGACGACAGTAATAAATGTGTGACGCGAGAGCGTTTGTCACTTGAGTTTGAGTTGTTGGCTGTCGTTGTGGCAATCGTCAGGCTCCTGGGAATCCCTCCACATGCTGTTGCCTCGTGCTCTTCAACCAGCCCTGCACATGCAGTAAAGACTCAACACAACGCTTTTTATCCTATACTTCCAGGGCGTCTCAGTTTCTGGAACTTCACCGGCGATATGACGGTGCGTGTGGATACGCTTTCCGCCTGGCTGGGTCAGCTCTTCATGTCCCTCTCGCAGATTGGCTGCCAGCAGAACTTCATGCAGCGATATGTGAGCTTGAAGTCCCTCAAGCAAGTCCGCCGGTAAGTCCCAATCGTGCAGTTTACTCGGTAGCCAATGATCCACATTAAATATAATTTCTTGCCATTACAGTGTGATGCTAAGCAATGTGCCCCTGGTGTTCTTCTTTTTCGCACTGTCCTGGGTCTCCGGCATGGTCATCTATTCAACATACATCAACTGCGATCCGTATGCCGAGGGATACATCAAGAAACCCGATGAGATTCTGCCCTTCTTCGTCGAAGATCAGTTGGGCTTTCTGCCCGGCTTTGTGGGCATCTTCATGGCCACGTTGTTCAACGGAGCTCTGTGGTAAGTGATCCACCAGCAATGCGCTTGACCCAATGATGGTGATCAATATTATCCCGATCTTTCAGCATGATGGTGTCCAATCTGAATTCGCTGGCCACAGTTTGCTGGGAGGACTTTGTGTCGCAGCTGCCCAGATTCAAGGGGCTCTCCGACATGCAGCAGCTGAGGATTCTCAAGCTAATTACCATCATCTGTGGCCTGATCATTATGGGCGTGGCCTTTGGAGTGGGCCTACTGTCGGGCGTCATCGAGTCATCGCTGCTCGTCTTCTCGGCCACTTCTGGGCCACTGCTCGGCTGCTTCGTGCTGGCCATGATGGTGCCGGTGGCCAATTGGAAGGGCACTTCGGCTGGCATGATCTCTGCCTGCGCCTTTGTGCTCTGGATCATTGGCGGCTCCATGACCATCGACAAAACTAGTCCCATGCTGCCCACATCCACGGAAGTGAGTCCTGAAACGAAACGACATAAACTTTAGTGTCTGAACAATCTTGTTGGTTTCCCCGCAGGGCTGCTCCAACCACAGCTTCTCTCAGTCCATTGCCAAGCCGATCCTGGAGATGGAACAAATGCCCTGGCTGTTGACACACACGCCCATCGATGGCTACAACCAGACCACCCTGCTGGAGACGCCGCCCAGCATTGCGCCCGAACGGTAAGAGCAGAAAGGCAAAAAAAAACTCTGGAAAGAATGAATGAATGAACGCAAATTTATTTTTAGCACATCACTGGAGACGTTCTACTCGATCAGCTTCATGTACTACAGTCTGATTGGAACCGCACTGACAGTGGCTATTGGAACATTGATCAGCATGCTGACCCAGCATCCCGACGATGAGTACGATGCCAAGCTGCTGCATCCCCATCATCTTCAGGTGCTGGGAACGGTTCTCCGGGCCCAAGCCCTACTATGTCAAGCACGAGGAGGAGTCCGGGCTGAATGGGCGCAACAGCAGCGATTCATCGGCCACCACAACAACCTGCAAGGAGGAGAAGGTCAACCATGCCTTCGAGTCGTCACCGGACGAGGCACACATCCACAACGAGAAGGCGAAGAGCAACCCCATTGCGGTGGTCTTTACCAGCTCGGGCAGCGGGCAGGGCGTGGGCCAGCAGTCGATCTGTGACACCAGCAAAGTGCAGCTGGACACTGTGCCGCCGGGCGAGACCGGCGTGTATCGGCAGCTCGGCTCTGGCACCAGGGCGGCACTCTGAGACGAATCTATTGCTGCCCCCCATCATATCGTCATCCCATCCCCGCCCCACCCATCGTACTTACCGAAAAATTAGTCTTTAGTTCGTAAGCTAAGCATTAGTCTAGACCAATTAATGATAGAAGTGTTTCAAGTCTATAAAGATGCTGTGATTATCGTACAAGAAAGAGTATGCAAATTGCAATATTGTTGAGCAATATTCAATGTGTGTACATTTGTTGTAGCCAACTCGAGTTTTATTTATGTGTACTTATGCACGTATTTATGTGCCGACGAATGTAGCTCAGACTAATACGAAATTGTGTGCAATAATTAAATAAATAATACTTTAATACACATCGCAAGAGAATTGATTTACGCGCGCAGCTGCAGTGCTGCCCACCTACGCGTGCAACAGCTGTTTTTCGATAACGATGAGTCTGAAGCCAGGGCTGAGCTGCAGAAAAGTATCTTATCAAATATATTTGGTTACAAGCTATAAAATAGTCTATTGTGAAAAACAGGTGATTTCTCGTTACGAGATTTGTTTTCCGCATTTAATTCGTTTGGCAGACCTGGAAATCCTACTTTTTACATGTTATCGATAGTGCCATCGATGTGTTTGCAGCCCGCCCTAGTAATGACCATAAACTGTTTCCCGTTCAGCGCATTTATAGCTAGCTATGGCTATTTTTCTAGTGGTCAGTTATATGGCTCCTTAATATATGTATATAGCGATTTTTCTTCTAAAATGGTATCCATAACTTTCACGACTCTGTACTTACTCTGTACGTGTTAAAGCAATGATAAAACTTTATGCATTTGGTGTTTATAAGAAATTGGCTGTTAGAAGAAGTTGGCTATTTTGCATGTATTCCCCACAGAAACAGCTAACAAGTTGTCAACACTGACAATAACAATAACAAACATTTTGTCCAAATTTGCAAACTATTTTTGAGTCATCCTGGGCGGTTTTTTGACTACTTGTCTTGTAATATTTCAATGCAGAAATGCACACATAAACGACGTTCGCTGGACGTGCCCGAGAAGAGGAGAAGGAGGTTAAGCCGGTCAAGGCAAAGGTGAGTAATTGACTTCATTTTCCAAACAATAAACACGACTTAACCAAACGAATCTTTTTGGTCTCCCAAGAAAGATAAGAAGGCGGTAAAGCAGGAACAGAAGCCAGTTAATGGCAGATCCAGCCATTACCACATGTCAAGACAATTGAATGTCAGAATCAAGTGAGAGGTCGATGAGAAGAGGCCGAACAACAGTCTTGCGAAGCAGACAAGTCAGCTTTGAGCACGTCCATAAACACTCACCAGAGTGATTTGAGTTCCCAGACGAGCCCAAGGAAGACGAAAGGAAAACGGCGGAGAAAGCCACTTCAAGTGCTGAGGTTCATGCCGCCCCTGCCATAAACGATGTTAGCATGCAGGCGTTGGTTGCGACAGAGACGCCTGTTAAGCAGGAACAGGCCATCGGTGCAGCCAACAAATCAGAGCTAATATGAATGGTGAGCAAATACAACTCTTTCAATGAATTTGGATACACATTTGTGCATATTGCAGGGGAACCCAAAATCGTTAACAATTCCGTCGACGTCAGTGAGGTCTGTATCCATAAACAGAAATATGAACTTGAGAGAGTTTGGTCAACATAATCGTAAAATCCATGCCCTGCATCTCTATGCCTCTCCGTGACCAAGAGACACCTGCCACCAATGGCCATACTGGCTGTTCATTTCCTAGTTGTAAACCCATTGAAACACTCCCTTCCTCTCATTCACATTCGTGTCTCCTCTTCATTGAAATTTCGCTATTGCGAGTCTCACGCGAGCTCACAAGCCAAGTCAAATTCATTCGAACTCCCACTAAAATTCACTTTCATTCATTTTAAGAGTGAATGCGGTTTCCCATGCCGCATTGAATGCATCACGCAAACATATATGTAGCATAAAACAACCACAAAAATTAATATTCTCTTTTTACAAATTTAAGAGAGAAGAAACGAATTCCTTCTACTGTCCAAATGATACGCAGTCACTGTAAAATATACAGGTTTTCTTATTATTATTATTAACATAATATAATGTAATACATATGTGCGAATGGATGTGAGTCATGTGTTCAGTAGGCAGCTTGCGTAGTGCCGTTCTCCTTAGCCTTTGAGTCGGATGATGCCTTCAGCGGCATCTCCTCCATTTCTACCACAGGATCGGGCAGGTTCAACATGTTGCGAACAAATGGCGAATATAGCTTTGGATTCTGCTTCTCCTCTTTGTCCGTGGGCCACACATAGCTCATGGGAATGGCCCAGGCGAACACCAGAATGGCACCCAGCACCTTGTACCAATAGAAGGAGATGTCGTAGAGGGAGAAGTCCCGATTGCTGCCGAAGGCAGTGGTCACCTGTTGCGGTGCATCCGAGGAGGGAGCCGGCGTAGTCAACACCCTCGTGATGTTATTGTTGCTGCAGAAAAATATTGACTTATTTTGAGGGGAAAACTAATTATGATGGGGGCTTGTCTTACATGGAGTTCAGGATCACTTGGAAATCGCGCGTCTCGCACTGATCCAGGCCATTGGGAAGAACATCGTACCGGATGAGGCCAGCCTTAAAGTTAAACTGGGCATTGATGATGATCCACAGCATGGCCAGCACACTAAAGACTATGCCCGTGACTGCCACCTTGGCACTGCAGCGGGGCACAAACATGCCGAGCAGGAACACGCCCACAACGGCGCCCGTATTGATGCCCGTTATCGTCCACATGGTCTGGATGATTGAGTTGAAGTTCTGCACCATATATCCGCCCAGGATGCAGTAAGCACCCATCACGATGATCACCAGCTTCATGATGCCGTTCGCGCGGGCATCCGTGTGCCGGATGTGTGGCTTGATGTAGTCAAAGTAGACAACGCCGGCAAAGGAATTAAGACTGGCGGACAGGGAGCTGAGGGAGGCGCTGAACACACAGGAAATGAATACGCCCGGCATGCCAGTTAGATGCCCCATTATGTCCTGAATGAAGAATGGCATCAGTTTGTCCGGTTTGCTCACGAGCTGAGAGGGAGAGGAGACAAGAGTTGAAACGTTGGATCTATTGTGATATTGAAAGTATATGCATATTACCCCAGCCTGTATGGGATCGCAGCCGTAGTAGTAGGCAAACATGATGATGCCAATGAAGCAGGTGAAGGTCATGATGAGCAGAAAGCCAACGCCAGCAATAATTAGGGATCTATAATGCAACAGTTAATATGAATTTGATCTACATTATCTAGCCATTGGTACTCACTTCTTAGCGTGCGTATACGACGGCAGGGAGACGATGCGCTGCACACAGCTCTGGTCGAGGCCCACCTTGCCCGTCCACATGAGCAGGCCGCTGAATATTCCACTCCAGAATGTGACACGCAAGCGTGGATCTATCCCGAAGCTGTACAATAAAAGAAATAATTTCAGTGAGTCCATCGCTGGGCAGAAAGCTATTCAACTCACTTAAAGTCAAGGCGTCCACCCTCAGAGGCACTCTCCAGGACGTTGCTTAATCCGCCGCTGTTCGAAGTGCCCAGGAAAGCCACCAGCAATACGGAGAGCAGCATCACGCCAGCCTGGAGGACATCCGTCCAGACCACAGCCTTGATGCCGCCCAGCATCGTGTAGAAGACGCACACGGAGGAGACCACTGTGTTGATCAGGTGGATGTTGATGCCCGTCACTGTAAATGAAAATGAATTTTAATATACCCACAAAACGAAATGCAATTAAAATCTATTTCCATTATACCTTGGGAGAAGGCCAGCGAGGGAATGAACATGTAGACGGGCAGCATCAGAAATTGGTTCATTATGAACGTAATGGTGACCAATTGGCGGGTGAGCTTGCTGAACCTCATCTCCAGGTACTGCAGGGCAAGAAGAAAGGATTCTTGTTAGAGAGAGTATTAATATGGATATTCACACTCACCTCGTAGCAGTTAGAGACATTGTTCTCGTAGAACACAGGCACAATGATGTAGATGAGAACGGGCACCGTCAGGATCATAGACATCACGATGAACACAATGTTGAAGCCGAAGGTATAGGACTCTGCCGGAATGGACATCATTGCCACACCGGAAAGTTGACTGAAAAAGAAATACTGGATCATTAGTATCGATACGCAGTTGCTGTTCCTCCGTGACAAAAAGAGGGGCCCGAACGCAATTTGGATTAATTTCACAATATTCCACCGAATAATGCAATTCATCTAAGCTTCCACTTTATGGATAGACTGGGCGCCATGCGCACTTCAGATAAGATGCATGAATAGATACATAGACAGATCTATCTATCTTAAGCAGATGTTATCTTAATGGTGGCCCATATAATCACCGTATATATCTGCCGCAGAACCTTTGGCTGTGACGACATGGAAAATCTCTGACGATGAGACTCACCTGGAGACCAGGGATATGGCCACGGGCCATGTGGGCATTTTCTTGCCGCCTTGCAGGTACTCTTCGGTTGTGTTCTTGGCCTTCGAGAAGAACCCAAAATACACACCAATGCCCGCCGATGCACTTAGCATCACGGTGAAGACAATGTAATCGGTTGCGCTGAACCGCAGAGCCTCTGCGCTGGCTGCTGCCACAGTGGCCACTGTGCTGGCCAACTGCGAGGTACTTGTAGCCATTATGGAGCCTTGATCTTGATCCTTTACGAACGACACAACACAACACTATGGACTAACTGGGGGAAGCCGTTACTATTCTTGTGGAGGCTGCCAGCACACTTATGCAGATTAGCAGCAACTCCCTTCTTAAGTAGCGATCGCCAGCGAGGTAATGGCCCCTTATCTCGTCACGATATCTGTCTGGTAAGCGTATCACCGACATCGTAAATCAGGAGTGCTCCTTATCTAACTTACACGGGAGGATGGTGGATCCCGAATGAACCGCCCATATCCACTCCCAGTGCCAAAACGCACCGTGCCTGTCTGTGGGTTCTAAGTACTCTACGTTCATTTTCCGCATCCATCAATGGGAATCGAGCAAGATGAGTAAGTATAGTGTCCCTTTAAAATTTCGAGATATCTAGGATGATAAGATGAAATATTATCAGCTTTTTGACGCGTCTGTCTTTATGGTTATTTCCTGGCTGGTAATCTAGTACGTGAACTAGACCAACCCACTCTGGGGTTGTTGCACGCATTTATTGCGGCTGACAGAGTGCTCATGCCCAAATATAGAACCTCAAATACTGGAAAATTGAAGTTTAACCTTCAGTTGACCTCTGGGTTTTTTTATCTGAGCAGCTTTTATCTGCCTACCTTTGGGAGCGCTAGCGGGGAGTTCTAAGGATATAATAAAGCTAAAGAACGGCTTTATTGCTTTGGATAAAAGAGTTGATCTGCAGACTGGAATCAACTTTTAACGAGAGGGAGCGTTGTGAGTCGCTTCTGTTGCCGCGACTCTACTTTTATACCCGTACTAAGTCATTATCCTGTTTGTCGCATAGCTCTCAGAGACTATAAGAGCTAGAGCAACTACATTTTTTATCCAGACTCCTGTGCTTTCCCAGAAAGGACGAAAATCTGTGGCATCCACTCTTCTCTCCGACACTTTGCCTCGTGCAGTGTAAACCCTCTGTCGGGAGAGACAAATGTAGCGAAAAAATGGAAACACATAAAATATTTTAAAATACTGGCTGGGTACAAGGTATAAAACGTAGAGGCGCGGCTTTAGATGCGCCTCACAACGTTCCCCCAATCGGTTTACACCGTGAAAGTGAAAATTGTATAAATAGAGTGCTAGCTTTTGACTTTAGTAAGATATAAAATTAAATATTTTCTTGTTTAGTTTAATAGGCTTCCCACAAATTAAATATACTCGTATTATGTTTATTTTCAAGTCTAAAAATTCGTTTTTAATTCTATTTAATTTCACTATATTTGTAGTTAAAAACCGAATATTTAATCTAATTATATTATGCCATTTTTCTCTAGTATTTCTTATATCATATACGAGTATTTTAGCCTACGATTAACTAAATGCCTACAAAAGATCAGTGCTCAGGGCCTTCCCTTTCCTTTTCTTGTGCATCTACTCTAAGTTCGGGAATCTCGTTGACTGTCGCTTTCCTCAATGGCACCTCCTCCATTTCCTGCTCGGAATTCGAAAGATTGAGGAACTTTCGCACAAACGTAGAGTAAAGCTTTGGATTCGGCTTTTCGTTGCGATCTGGGGGCCAGACATAACTCATGGGCACCGCCCACAAGAAGACCACAAGCGCGCCCACCACCTTGTACCAGTAGAAGGAGATGTCGTAGAGCGAAAAGTCCCGATTGCTCTCAAAGGCAGTTGTGACTGGAGCCGCAGCAACTGTCTGGTTCGGTGTGATTGGGCTCATGGCAGTTTGATTACTGGAAAAATAATCCAAGAAATGTTGAGAGTGAAATGGGGAGCACAGACTCAATGCACAATAAACTTACATGGCATCCAAGATCATGTGGAAACCGCGCGCCTCGCACTGGTCTAGCGAGTTGGGCAGCACTTTGTAATTGATGAGGCCCGCCTTGAAGTTCATCTGGCCATTGACGATGATCCACACCATGGCCACCACACTGAGCAAGATGCTAGACACTGCCACCCTGCTGTTGCATCGCGGCACAAACATACCGAGCAGAAAGACCCCCACCACAGCGCCCGTGTTGACGCCAGTGATGGTCACAACAGTCTGCAGTATCGAGTTGAAGTTCTGGACAATGAAACCGCCCAGGATGCAGTAGCCGCCCATTGCGACGATCACCAGCTTCATGATCCCGTTCGCACGGGCATCCGTGTGCCGGATGTGCGGCTTGATGTAATCGAAATAGACGACGCCGGCCAGCGAGTTGAGGGTGGCCGAGAGCGAGCTGAGGGCGGCACTGAAGACGCAGGAGATGAACACACCGGGCATTCCGGCCAAATGGCCCATAATGTCCTGCACAAAGAATGGCATCATCTTGTCCGGTTTGCTGACGAGCTGTGGGAGTGTCGATCGATAAGTATTCATTGTGTGATATGCCATGGCAGAAGGGACCTACACCAGCCAGAATGGGATCACAGCCGTAGTAGCGGGAGAACATTATGATGCCCGCCACGGTGTTGAACAGGCTAATTATAATGAATCCCAGTCCCGAAATAATCAGAGATCTACACAGGAATAAACGTCAGATGGGTCAGATTGGACTGGCGGTGCTCTCACCTCTTGGCATGGGAGTACGAGGGCAGGGAGACGATGCGCTGCACACAGCTCTGATTGAGGCCGATGTGGCCGGTCCACATGAATATGCCACCAGTCATGGCGCTCCAGAAGCTCAAACGAATGCGCGGATCAAATCTGAAGCTACATTCGAAAGTCAGTACACAAAATTCATCGCATAATTCATACAAAGTCTTACTCTAAGTCCATTCGGCCACCCTCAGTGGCTCTTTCCAGGACAGTGGATAGGCCACCCGATCGGACGGTGCCCAGGACACCCACAGTAACCACTGAGAGCAGCATGACACCGCCCTGCACCACATCTGTCCAGACCACGGCCTTGATGCCGCCCAGCATAGTGTAGAAGATGCAGATCGAGGAGACCATGACATTGATCACATGAATATTCCAGCCAGTCACTGCAAACGAATGGTTAAGCTTGGATCTACTCCTGGCAGGATCTACTCCACCCACTTACCCTGGGAAAAGGCCAGCGACGGAATGAACATGTAGACGGGCAGCATGAGGAACGAATTCAGCACAAAGGCCATGGTGACCAGCTGACGCGTGCGCTTATTGAACCTCATCTCCAGATACTCGTAGCAATTGGAGACATTGTTCTCGTAGAACACGGGCACAATGATGTAGATCAGAATGGGAATGACTGGCACCATCGCCAGCACCACGAAGATGTAGTTGAAGCCAAACGAGTAGCTCTCCGCGGGAATGGACATGATGGCAATGCCCGATAGCTGACTAGAAATGATATACAGGCAGCCATTTGATTACACAATAACGGACAGCAATCATTCGCGGAAATGGAAATGGAAATGGCATTGGGATACACAGACACACACATTTCTAGTTCGAGTTCTAGTTCGAGTTGTATCAAGGTAAGGACACGATTGACGTCAGTCACTTTTACTGTCGCCTCGTAAAGATTAAACGAATGCCTCGCGTTCACCGCATTACGCACCTGGCCACCAGCGAGATGGCTATGGGAAGAGTCTGCATCTTCTTGCCGCCGCGCAGGTACTCCTCTGTGGTGTTCTTGGCCTTCGAGAAGAACCCAAAGTACACACCAATGCCGGCCGAGGCGCCCAGCATGATGGTGAAGACCACAAAGTCCGTGATGCCGAATCTAAGATCCGCTGTGGCGCTCGACATCCTGGCAGTGATTCTGTGAATTCCGTTTGGTCTGTTATGCGACGTCTGAGAGCTATGCGCACACTTGAGAGCACCCTGACCGGATTCGCACTTAAATATGAATCCCCCCTACAAGCGGTTGGGCTCCTTATCTGAACTTGGCCACCGCCACAGCCTCCTCCGTAAATCAAACAGAAGTTTAGTGGCTTAGTTATCTGTGCCGTTGCTCTACTGCGAGTACTGTGGCCATGCAATTGCGTCTCTTGTTGGCTTTTCCAACGCACCATAAAAATGAGAAAAAACATTGAAAAAATACTGGTGGTTGCGAATGAGTTTTATGTGTTTTTATTTTATTCATATGTAATATTAGTGGTTTAAATGTTATTTGCACAGCGGGTTATATACAAAGCGGGGGCGACAATAGCGGGGCGGTACTAAATACGCGTGCGGGTGGGTACTCTCAAATATAACTTTGTACTGGACTCATCTCCACAAATGAAGTCGAGCCCAAAAGGGAATTAGAAGATCACGCGATGCGACACTCCAATACCAAGACGATGCACATCGATGGCTTCGTGTGCAGCTGCGCGTTTTGGCTATACGTGTGAGAACAGCTACAGAACGTTACAGTTAAGTTTTTGGACATAAGCAATAAGAACAGCGGGCAAAACAATAGCGAGCATATGATTAGGGCAACTACTATATGAATTATATGAATGAATATTGACCTAAAACTAAGCGATTAATTTCTCAACAACTGGAAAACTAACGAGAAGGAACGTGTGAGTCGCTTCTGGTGACGCGACTCACTTATACCCGTACTCAGTCAGTATATACATTTTTGAGCTTATAATTTTTTAGAATTTTAAAACTTAAAAAAAAAGTTGTAATTTAACATTTTTTTGCTACATCTGTTATCCACATCTACATGTAATATGTAGATTATACATGTACCATTTATATTCTAAATCTCCTCCGCTGAACGCGGCAGAGTGTGCGAGCGAGAAAGAGAATGAGTGGTTGGTTTCTTGCTGGAGGGGGCGGCGGAAGCAACAAAAAATTAATTTCTTCATTCTGGCTATAATTATGATCCGATCTGATTCAGATTCGGCAATCTGGTAGATATGGGCATTCTCGACGATACTGCGTTTTTAGTTTTATCGTATATTTTAAATTGTGCCTGCCACAGATTTTCGTCCTTTGTGGGGGCGTTATACGGGTATACCCCTTAACACTTATTTGAGTACGGGGAAAAAAAACGAAAAGTGTGTGAAGGATAAGAGTATCTGCATTCGAATTTCAAGTGCAACATAATGATGATGATCTTTTCTTTTATAATTATCTTTAGACTGTGAACAGATCTACACTCTACACATTTTTTAGAGCGAATAGCCTTCCCCAAACTACTTTATTTGCCTGCCAAAACTTTCCGTTTCAGTTGTTTTTGTGTAAATTCCATTTTTTTGACAGAGATGCGTGGGGGGGTTGGGCGCGTGGCTGTTGTTATACGACCCTTCCAGCTGGTGTGTAAAGATCTTAACACTCTTGGCCCATTCCGAGCCAGATGTTTGCTATTTGCCAGCGATAAGAGCTTTAGCAGGCGCCACAATTTATGGCTGTGACTCGGCTCTTCTGTGGATTAATGACTGATATATTTACCCGATGTATCGCCTGTACCCTCAGGCGCACTGTGCTCTAATTCTACATTGAAGTTGAGGTTTGTGCTTGTTCTGCGGTTTATATTTAGAAGCTGTCGCTGTCCAAAGATTGTGGCCAAAGAGCCCCCAGACAATAGTGATATAGCCTTTTATTCAGATAAGCAATTCTTGATGTTCAGCTGCAGACAGATCCGATCTAGATAGAATGGGATCGCACTGGAGACCACTGAACACAGCCACAGCACTCATACCGGTTAATATCTTATATCTTTACAATGCCTAACATAAGCATATCATCCTCAGGCCTTCTCGGGCTTCTCGCTCTTCAGCTCGTGCAGCTCATCCGCTTGCGCCAGTTCGTAGGAAACGAAAGGCTGCACCACCGGCGACAGGAGCTTGGGATCCAGCTTGGCATCGGCCCGCTGCTTGAGGATGTAGCTGAGCGGCACAGCCACCAGCCACGTGATGATGAAGCCCACCACCACGTACCAGTTGAAGGACAGATCCAGGATACTGAATCCCTTTTCAGTTTGGCTGTGGGCTGCTGCTGCCGTTGTGGCTGCCTGCCTGAGGGGGGAGGCTGTGGTGGTGGCATTCAGGGACAGGAACGGGGACACCGCCGGGCAGTTGTCGATGCGTGTGGGCAAGGGGTCGTAGTGGTTGCGGCCCCAGCTGAAGATCACAATGGAGGCCATGCAGGCAATGCTGGAAATGACTCCAATCAGGGCCGCCTAAGAGGAGATTCTATTAGTGTTATCCAACTCCAAAAACACTTCCCTTTTCTTTCCGGAGACTCACCTTGCCGTGGGCACGTGGCACGAGCATGCCCAGCAAAAAGACCGCACATGTGGCGCCAAAACTAACGCCTCCGATCGAGTAGATCACCTGCAGAATGGAGTTGAACTGCTCCACAGCGATGCCGCCGAGGACGCAGTAGATGCCGGAGAAGAGCACAAACAGCTTCATGATCACGTTCGCCCTGTGCTCCGTGTGCCGGATGAAGGGTTTGATGTAATCGAAATAGACCACGCCACCGAGAGAATTAATGCTGGCCGAGAGCGTGCTGAGGGCGGCGCTAAACACGCACGAGATGAACACGCCGGGCATGCCGCGCAGATGGCCGACGGTGTCCTGCACGAAATACGGCACCATTTTGTCCACTTTGGTGACGTGGCCCGACTGAATGGGATCGCAGTCGTGGAAGCGCGAGAAGATCACGATGCCCGTGAAGCAGTTGAAGAACATGATGATCACAAAGCCAAAGCCAAAGATCACCAGCGACCTGGTTGGAGCCAACAACGATGATGATGAGAGTCTGCTGGTGCCCCATGGATATATCCACTCCACACTTACCTTCTGGCGTGCTTCAGCGAGGGCAGGGAGACGATGCGCTGGACGCAGCTCTGGTTGAGACCCACATAGCCCGTCCACATGATTGTGGCCGAGGAGAAGACGTTCCAGATGGTGGATCGTGAGGTCAAATCCAGGTTGAAGCTGCAAAGACACGAGATTGAGACGCCTTGTTGGGTGAGCCCCTTGGGCGGAACCTACTTGACGTCCAGACGACCGCCCTCACCGGCAATGCGAAAGACTTCGGATAGGCCACCCACACGCGAGGCACCAAGCGTGCCAACCAAAACGACGGAGACGACCATAATGGCCGCTTGAATAACATCCGTCCAGACGACAGCCTTGATGCCACCCTGGGGGAAAGTGCAGCAGAAGAATGGAGATGGATGGATGGATGGATGGATGGGAAGGGCAAGTGGCTTAATGGCTACTCACAAACATGGTGTAGAAGACACAGATGCCACAGACGATGCCATTGATGATGTGCACGTTGTAGCCCGTCACTGCGGGGAAAAGCATTATGCGGTTGGGTGTATAAAATGAACCGAAGAGCTGCAACTTACCCTGGGAGAAGGCCAGCGAGGGCAGGAAAATGAAGATGGGCAGCATGAAGAACATGGTCAATATAAAGATGAAGGTCTGCAGCACGCGCACCCTCCTGTCGAAGCGCAACTCCAGATACTGCGGCCACAAATGATTAACAATTAACAAAACTGAATCCAGACAGCCAGACAGCCAGACATGGCAGGGCGGCACTCACCTCGTAACAGTTGGTGATGTTGTTGTTGTAGAAGACGGGAATGATCACGTAGTTGAGGATGGGCACCACCACCACCATGCAGACGACATTGAAGAACCAATTGACGCCAAAGCCGTACATCTCGCCCGGTATGGTCATAATGGAAATGGCCGAGAGCTGGCTGGCCACCAGAGAAATGGCAATCGGTATGGTCTTCATGCGCTTGCCGCCCATCAGGTACTCCTCGGTGGTGTCCTCGCCCTTGGCGAAGAAACCAAAGTACACCCCAATGCCAGCTGAGATGCTCAGCATCAGGGAAAAGACCACGTAATCCGTAGAGTTGAACTGAAACTGAGAGTCGGGCGTGACCCCGGCGGCTGCCTGGATCGAGGCATTCAACGCAGCTGACATTTTCAAAGGATACGCTCGGCGATGCAGGAAACTCGGATCTCTGGTGGATGCACTTTCCGACTCCGGCGGAAAATCGCGTTTGAGCGCATCACGCCGTACTGCCGATCTTTATATAAACTTTTCGGCCCGATGGCGGTTTTATCTCCAGAATTGCCAGTTCAAAATAAGCATTATCTATTGACGGCTCTCTTACGACAACTCTGGGTCTTATCTGAGATTATGGGGGATTTCCAACGCTGATCTTAGGACCCCCGCTTGTCAATGCTCTCTCACTCTCTCTCCCTCTGTCTCTCTGGCGAAACCCTGACATGGCAGACTCCTACGACTCTGGATTATCTGAGATAACGGAAGCAGCAGCCGCGAGCCAACTCATTCATTGTTTTCACTGTCATCCCAACACTGTACGAGCACTGGGTAAGCAAACCCGGGAGACATAACCGCTGAAGCTGCCCAGTCATCATCAGATTGCAAAGTCGCCCCTGCCATTTTATAGGGCACCTATTATTTCCTTCATTCAGATAACAATCATCTTCTTCATCTTTTTTTTTAACCATAAAGCCGAAAATTGTCTTCCTTCTGAAGCCCAACAATTGTGTCACTTATGCTAATTATTATCTCTTTCAAACCACTTTGTTTGTGGGCTTGGAGGAGTCTCTAATGTGGCTGCTTATCACGCCTATAAAATGAGACATAAATTCTATATTACTCGCGTATATCGGCATTGGATCGTGGCAATGTCAAAGTCGAATAAAAGATATTCGTGCTTGCTTCCTGATAGCTTTCCTGATAGCTGTAGCTAAGGAAAATTAGTGGATTGGTAGATAGGGGATCATAAATAAATAAATAAATAAGTAAATCCTGATATTCTGTATCCCCTTTGACCTACAAAAACTAGGCACGAAAAGAGACAAGTGGAATTACATGGTATAACAATTTATGAACATGCACAAAAATTGTATAATTGTCTTTATAACAAATTTCTCTGTCGCACTCCAACATAATCACATAATCAGTTAGACAGAAACTCTGTACATTTCTGTGTGTCTGTCTGTCTGTCTGTCTGTGGCTCTTACGAGTATGCCGTAATCTCTGCATTCCACAGCACACTGTTGGAGCCGCTTAGTTGCAGCTACTGTTGCATCCATTGCATTTGCTGCTTCATTTGCTGCTCGTCTGCCTGTGCCTCGTTTTCGGATGCACTCAACAGAGCTCAAACGGCAAAAGATGGCCATAGATGGAGTGGCCTGGCCTGGCCTGGCCTGGCCACCGCGGCACGCAGTCAATTGGGAAATGTTAATGATGTTGAATGTGGGTAAAGTGACTGCAGCTTCAGACGGCTTCAAACGGCTCCAACTTTTGTTTCGGACTGTAATAGTTGATGTCCATCGGCGACCCCATCCAATCGTTATCCACATTTCCCCCTACCCCCCGGGGCTGCATTTTGACCCAGTCTCTCGACTGCATCTGTCGCAATCTTCGCGTAATGAGCGCCTCTCCACGTCGAGCACTTGCACGATGATGAGCGTGCTCCACAAGTGCCGCAGCAGTACGGCAGCGGCGGCGGAGAGGCGGCTGTCGAATTGAAAAAAAGTGAAAGGATTTCTGAAGATGCTTGTTTGGTACGAGTATTTGACGTAAGGCCGGCCAGTGACAATTCGGTTTGATATTTTGAACCGCAATGCGAGTGAATATCGATGGCCCAAAAAAAGCGAGTTTAATTGGATTTAATTGTCATCTTCAAGTGTTTCAAAGCTGTACAATAAATAATGTGCACAATTCTGCATCTTTATGGATATGACGACAGATCTAAGCCTGATTTAAGGAGAAGCTTTTGCGCTTCTTTGGAGTAGAACAAACTTCTCTTGCCATGCGAAACTTCTTTGCCAAATAAACCCCCGAAAAGAGTAAAAAGATCATCAAAATTTTAACGGTGACAAAATTTACTATTTTTTTTATTATTTTCATATTTTTTTTTGTTGTTTCTTTGTTTGTTTCATATAAAATAAAAACACTTACGAGCTAATAATGCGTTATAACACTGTCTGGGGTGTTGATGGTTTTTTCTTTTTCATTATTTTGTTTTCTTCTGTTTTGTTTTGTTTCCATTCATGTTGGTTCTGGGGGCCTTCGTTTTCAGCTTCTCCTTCTTGAGTTTTGTGTGTGTGTTTTGTTTTGTTTTGTTTTGTTGTGGGGTGTAGTGAGAAAACTATGTACAAAGGTTCCAAAAGGAAAGGTGAAAACGAATGAATCCACTTTGTTTGGGGGGAGTGCCCCAAATTCGAGTCGGGGGATAGACAGGGCTTGAGAATTACAGTCGCTGAGGTTGGGGGGTTCGGGGATCGGGATCATCCACATCACTAGTCGAACTATGTGTTCCAGGTTCAAGGATACCCACATATGCATCCTGTTGATTCCAATTGCTGTTCCTGTTCCTGTTGGTTCTGGTGCTGGTGCTGTTTCGTGTCGGGATTCGGTTGCGGTATCGTCGTCGTTGTCGGTTAAGTGTCGTCCATTCCGTCGGTATTCATTTTTGGCAGCGCAATTTGAGTTTGGGATGTGAGTCTCTGGATTTAGAAGGGCGAGCCATAGCTGCCGCTGGGCCTCGACGGAGCACCATACGAACCGGATGGGCCGCTTGGGTAGCCACCACCGCCGCCGCCACCGCCTCCCTGCTGGGTGCTCTGCTGGGCGAACTGGGCAACCTGGATGGCCTGACGCACACCCTCAAGATCGATGCCGACCACACGACCACCGCCGCCGCCCCTCCGTTGGGCGCGCCGTAGCTGCTCGAGGGAGGAGCACCATAGCTGCTCGAGGGAGGAGCACCATAGCTGCTCGATGGAGGACCGCTAGGATAGCCACCGCCGCCGCCTCCACCACCGCCTCCACCGCCGCCGCCGCCCTGCTTGCTCTCCTCATTCAGGAGGATCTGACGCACCTGCTCCAACAGCTGGGGATCAACATTCTGGCCCTCGGATGTCTGGAAGCCACCGCTGACGGCCTGGAAGCCACCGCCGCCGCCGCCACCACCACCGCCGCCACCGCCGAACGAGGAGCCACCTTGGTATCCACCGCCGCCGCCACCACCACCGCCGCCGCCACCACCACCGCCGCCGCCGCCTCCACGGGGATAGTTGTAGCCCGAGGGGGGCTCCGCAGCGGCCAGGGCAGCCAGGGCGAACACTAAGAACTGCAATGGTAATGCAAGGGTAATTATAATCCAATTGATCCATCATCCGCTTGGTCGGTCCACTGGCACTGCCACCGGCATCCTTTGATCCTACTTACCACTGAGAAGGAGTTCATAGCCACGAGTTGTGTGTGTGTTGTGGGGGAGAGAAGTGAAGTAAAATGATAAAGTAAATTTAGTTGCTTTCGAGTGGGAAACCAGCGACTGAATGCATCTCGAATGCCCCGACGGGCCCTCTTTATACCCATCCATCGTTGTCGTTGTCGCTGTTGTCGTGCTCTTCGTTTCGGCTATCTTCGGCAACATCATTATCACCGACACTCGCACACTCGTGGGGGGTACCTTCATCTTCAACTGGTTTTGGGGGCAGAAGACGGCGCCAAGCTCCAACTCCAACTTCCATCTTCATAGTCCCCAGTCCCCAGTGCGCACAGTGCCCAGTGCTCCGATGCATTTGTTTTTGTGCTTCTCACAATAAAACAAAATTTCCAAATGGCAAAACAAAAAATAAGAAAAATAAAGGAAAATACAAGAAAATGTCGCTAACGATTTTGGTATTTGAAATTTTCTTAGCCAACATCCCGGCCAACATCAACATCGAGACATCGTCGAGCCATCGTTGGGTTGACTTGCGACATAGCCCCTGGACCAGGAAGTGATATTTTTTCCCATCGCCAATCGCGATTGATCTGTAGGGTAAATAACCTGACTGACTACGGCACCCAGCAGCAGGACCCATGCCATGCCGATCGTCTCCTCACAATGCTTAAATTATTTAATATTTTTCCATTGAAGGACGGCGCTCCTTTGGTTCCCATAATTTCAGATTTCCCGTTGCCCAATGGCAATTCAAATTACAAATTCAATTGTCTTCCAATTCTCCCCAAAAGAAAAGAAAAGTGAGGATGGATCTGCATGCATGAGTACAAACCACGAGCATGTGCATCATACAATACATCAGCTTCAGCACAGCGATTACGAAATGTACTGGGAACACACAAAGAAAGAGAAGATGGCTATAATACATATAATCTGGCAGTGGAGCAGAGCAGTAGGGCTCTGGCACGACGGCACTGGGCATATAATTAATGTTTCCCAAGGAGTTTACACACACACACACAGCAGTGACAGTGTGAAGCCAAAGCTGCCACAAAAATAAGTTTAAAGACCTCAAACAAATGCAAATTTTCGCTCTCACTCGCATTGCGCGTCGTGCGGGCGGGCGTCAAATGAGTCACAAATGAGAGCCAAGCGGCTGATTATGCAACCTCCAGATGTGACCTCCAAATGAAACCAGAAATCTGTGAATTCTTGCAGAAGTGAAAGAAGTATCCACGGATCGCAACACTGTGCTTATTATGTCAGCAGATGCACCTGTCTGTGAACTCTCCGAAAGACTCCAAAAGCTATAAAATCAGCTGAAAATGAGACTGAATCAAACTGGCAGTAAATTCAAGTAAATGAAGTTTATCTACCAACGCATCTGCCTCTTTCCCTTCATGCTCTTATGAATGTACTTTCGAACAGCTGTAACCGAAGACGATGCGTTGCGTTTTGGTCGAAAAGAAAAAACCGGCAATAGTAGCTTTTAATCCTCCTCCTCTGAAGCGTTGGCTGCGGATGCGGGCCATTGAAGCATTCATTTCATGATCCAAAGTGAAGGACTTTGCAACGTGCCTTGCCTCGTTGCGTGGCCGGTGAGCGATCTGCAATTAGAGTTGGGGGGCAACAACGAGATGAAAGTCAACACTTAACACTCAACGGCAGCACCAGCAGCAGCAGCGGCAGCACCAGCAGCACCATCAGCAGACACGGCACGGCACAGTCGCTAAATCATTTTCGTGTCTTGGTCTGTTTTGATCAGCTGTGGCAGTGTCCGGTACGGGTACTGTGTCATTCGAGCCGTTCATTTGGTTTATTGTGGCCTGTCTTAACACAAAGAAGAAGACGAAGATGAAGGTCTCCTCCTCCCCCCAGCCCCCAGCCACCAGCTGATGTCGTAATTCACTTATTTTTTGTCGGTTCATGTAATTGGAGTAACAGTTGTAAGGTCGCATTCGCATTCGCATTGGAAGACAGGTTCCAGGGATGCTTTCCCACCATTCCTGGACCACACTCTAGATACCATTTACCCCTGAACCATTAGCGCGATTTTGCCTATCATTCGATTCGCTTCTGTGTCTATTTTCACTCGCGCTTTTTTTGCAACTTTAATGAACCTCAACCTCTTTGTTATACTCGAAGGCATATCTGAACAAATCCATCATGAACACGTCGTCTACTAGGTCAGCGGCAGACATCAGCCGACCAGCAGACAGCAGACATCAGACCGATGGATTTGGCTTTGGCGATGGTTTGCTATTTTCTGTTTTCCCAGCTTTTTGGCTCAAACAGAAACTCATTATGCGTGCGTAATTGTTATGACACTGTAATTGGGGCGGGCCAACCAGAAAAAAAAAAGTAAATAAATAAAAACCAAATCCAAACAAAAGCTGACAATAGACAATTGCCGGGCAGACGCGCATAAAATTTTCAAATCAAAATCGATGCGAATATTGCAATGCTTTTACTTGTAGAGCATACAAAATTAATGGGTATTTGCTAAGATTTGACTTGGATTTTGATTATGTCTCGATTCCGATACTCGTCTCATCATGACGATGTGCGTTTAATGGCATGCGTATGCGCAATATCAGCCAATTGCAGTTGCATTCTCTGTGTTTCTGATATCTTCAGGTGCATGCATCGTTGTCCATTTGAACATGCTAATCGACACACCGAATGCCTTTGTGCAGCTGTGCACAAAAAAGATTCATGATCCATGATTAATGCTAAAGAGGAGGGCCATTTTTCATAGATGTGTACGATGAGGAGTACCAAAAAAAAAAAATGATTATTCAAGCCTATTGATGGCAGAGAGAATCCGGAGAGTATGACAAAAGTGTAATTGCTGACTGTGATGAAGATGAGTGCGCAAAATGTTTGGTACCTCTCCTCACCCCACCTCACACATCCCAGTTACATAAGGCGCCAACGCAGAAGAGTCCACCGCGAAGCAATGGCAGTAGCAACAGCAATAGCCAAAGCAACAACCTCATCGTCATCCGCAGACATGTCCACAGTCACAGCAACAGCTACAGCCACAGCCACAGGCCACAGCTGAGCCAAAGCTGATGATCATCAGAGGCACCGTCTCCTATGGGCCACCGCCACCACCAACCATTGCCTCCACTCCTCTGGATGTCTCGCCACCATGGGCCAAGTGACGCTTCTGTCGTTTCCTCGAAAAAGACGAAAACAAGTTTTGGTGTGTGTGTCCAACGGCAGCGTGTGCTCCTAGCTTTATGTAAGTCAAGCGCGGAGACCGAGACCAACCATCCAGCGGCATGCAGCGGGCAGATGAGTAGACGGACGACGACGGCGGCGGTGGTGGCGGAGAAATTGCAATGCATATGCAATGCGAACCGAAAACTAGGCAAAAAACCGAAACGAGACACAAGAAAAGATGCAACATGGAAAAGCTGCAGTTGAATGGGAAATTGCCGCGACACGTTTTTTCGCCAAATGTCTGGAGTCGATGCTGGTGACCGGTCGTTGGTCGTCGGTCGGTGGTTGGGTTGGTGGTTGGGTGTCGATGACGATGCCAGTGTCTGAGTTTGTTTTCCGCCTAAAAAGAGAAACATGTCCAAACATGGGATGGGTGGGGTGGCGGGGATGGCAGGATGGCTTGGCTGCTGCTGCAGTTCTGCGAGCCAACTTTAGCCTTTCGGGGTGCTAACCAAATGGTTAGCTCAGCTTATGCAAAGCTCCTCAGCTGTTCCATTCGTGGGCCTTGTGCAACACCTCGCAGACACTGGCAGACGGACCCCTGACCAGTTGTGATCCACTCGCCACTTAGATGCCCCCCCTCCCCATTCATTCTCAAGGCGCCCCCATCGACAGCCGGGCCAAAAGTAAAAGTTTAAATGTGCAGCCAGCGGGGGGAACAATTGGATGGATGGATATCCATACGTATATCGAAAATCGAAGTCGGTGGCACCACCACGCAGCCCGTGGGGTGCGCTGCTTGCTCATTTGGCTACAGTAATTATGCCACGATTTTGCATGGCCAGGTCTCATCTTTTTTTCTGGCCATGGAGAAGCCCCCCGTCTATTGTCCAACTATTTCGGTGTTTCTTCTTTCTTGTTTGGCAAATGCGTAAAGTGGCAAAGCAGAAAATATAAATGTTTTTACGAGAGGGGGTCTAAATGAGTTAATTAGGTTTTGCTGTGGAGTGCGGCCAGCGAGAGGTCTTAAGTCCGAGTGTTGCTTGGCCATGGCACAGCCAATGAGGAGTAGGGGGGGCAATGGAGCGGAAGGAAGGAAGATAAATAAACATATGTATATGCACGCAAAATTAATACTTTCACGCCCGCAGAAGAGTTTTCTTAAGGGTGGGAAAGCCCCCTCATCTCAAACATTTTTCAAAATAATTTTACAGTTTTCCTGAGTGAAAATTGTTCAACTGTCAATTCGACACACATTGACATTCTACATGTAAATTTTGAAACGCTACATTACTCACTGGCGCCGCTACAACTATCTGCAAATCTATCGATATAGAGCCGCGAAGGCAGGTAATTTTAATCGAAATCAAATTGGTTTATTTTGTCCGGGGAAGGTCACATAGAAGTTGTGCAGGAAACGGATTTGTCTGTTCGATTTAGTATCACATTTTTTGATTGATATGTATGATGTGTATGTTGTGTATGGTGTGTGTGTGTACTGTGTACATGGAGGGGTAATATGCTTTAATTGTATATTATGTATCCAAGCCACAGCCAGACATCGCCCAAGATGCCAATGATGGCCAGCACCCAAGTCAGCCTATAAAGAATGTTGTCCATGGGGCCGCCCTTGAGGAACACCGGCTTTCCATTGTTCTCCTGATATTTCCTCTGCAACTTTGCTATCTTCGGCGAGAGCTTTCCTTTCTTCTTCTGAGCCTGCATCAACAAAGAAGAAGTTTGAAACAGCCGCGGGGTCGCGAACAGCGGAGACAGCACTTGGGACCGCCGGAACAACGGCTGTCCAGAATACAAATATTAAATATATACGATAAATTTTAATTTATATTTACTTACGCTTAAGGAAGTCAACAAATTTCTTTGCATTTTGTTGAATAAAATTTTTTTAGACTTGTTCGAATGAGATATTGTTTGCTTCTGAAAGCGAGCTGATAAGTTTGGGATCGCCTGTGAATTATATACTGAACAGCCTACTTTATCTAGGAATTTGATTTTGATATTTAAATAAAACCGCCGAGTCAGGAAATTAAATTCACAGTGATGATTTTCAATTGTCGTCTTCTTGGTGGTCTCAAGGTGTGACCTTTTTTGTTTGATCCTTCATATGTAAGCAATCCAATAAAAAGGGAGTTACAAAAATTAACCAATCTTGTAGAAAATTGATTCATCAATCGGATAAAATTATAAGTTAAGTGCTAGGAGTTCTAGGTACTTGGTAATGTTAAGCCGAATATCAAAATCGAGGAATATGATTTCCAATCATCGACAAAGAACGATTAACCCAATGTCGACCAAGGGGCATTTAATACTCCCACGAAATTTATGAAACTTGAACTATTTTTACGCATATTAGAAAGATATCATGCTCATTTTCGTGAGCTATGTAAGTAATGAGGTAAGAGGGATCTACACGAAGAATTTACAAACATTATTTTCCGCGGCTTAACTCAAGTTTGTCACTTCTTTAATAAAGGGGGTCTTAAGTGGTTAAGCCGATAAATCCGCGGTTGTGACTAAATTTCGCAAAAGAATGTTCAAATTTGTTATTTTAAAGAATCTGCTATATGTCTCTGGCTAAATACCTAAATCGATCGGTGGGGATGGGTGGCATAGAGGCTATGTCCAGGACCTGCACCCTCAGGCCCACGGAGGCCGAGCACAGCGCCATACGTTTGTCTGCGGGCGAGAATTTTGTGGGACGCAGCAAGGAAACCGGCATTCGGGACTCGCGCTGCTCCAAGCAGCAGCTTCGGCTGCACGTGGATACCAAGAGTTGTGGCATTACCCTGAAGGTTCTGGGCATGAACCCTTGCGGCATCAACGGAGTGATGGTTATGCAGCACACGGAATGCGAGCTGAAACATGGGGATCTGGTGGAACTTGTCTATGGCCGGCACAGCTACGAAGTAGTATTCAGCCCTCCGCCACCTGTTGAATCTACCGAGTCCGTCACAGAGGAGAACGTTCTAGACGCAATCGCATCTGCAGCCACTGCTGAGGAGAAATGGGCTTCGGTGTCGAATGGAAAATTGGTAATCTACACCAGCGCTGGAGTCGTGGCCTCGGCGAAAATTGCCGGCTACGATATGGATGGCACCATTATAAAGACAAAGTCGGGCAATGTATTCCCCAAGACCACTGACGACTGGCAGATCATCTTTCCGGAGGTGCCAGAGAAACTCAAGAACTTGCACAAAGATGGCTTCAAGATCTGTTTCTTCACGAACCAGGCGGGCATTGCTCGCGGCAAGGTGTCGCTGGATGACTTCAAGGTGAAGATAAAGCTAATAGTTAAGAGGTTGGCTGTACCCATCCAAGTATTCATAGCAGTGGGCGGTGGCTACTACCGTAAGCCGCTGCCCGGCATGTGGGAGCATCTCGAGAACGAAATGAACGACGGAGTGGCCATACAGCTGGATCGTAGCTTCTTTGTTGGCGACGCCGCTGGCAGACCCGAAGTGGGCAAGGGAGCGACCAAGCAGCGCAAGGATCACTCGCTGGCCGACCGACTCTTCGCCTCCAACATTGGACTCTCGTTCTACACCCCAGAAGTACATTTCCTGGGCAAGCGATTGGAGCAGTGGAACAAACCCGACTTTGATCCCACCTGCGTGCACGATCAGATCCCCCAGTTTGAGCCAAATGATGTCCAGTTTGACGAGGACGCGTGCGAAATGGTCATCATGGTAGGCCTGCCCGGGTCTGGGAAGAGTCACTTCTGTGCCGAGGTGCTGCGGACACGGGGCTATGAAATCGTCAATGCAGACACTCTGGGCAGTACGCAATCCTGTCTGAATAGCTGCAAGCGCTTGCTGAGCTCTGGAAAATCATGTGTGGTGGACAATACCAATGTGGATGCAGCATCCCGCAAGAAGTTCCTTGCCCTGGCTGGCGAACTGAATGTGCCCTGTCGCTGCTTTGTGATGAACGTGTCCACGGCTCAGGTTAAGCACAATATTGCCTTTCGCGAGCTCCTGGAAACGCCACACTCGCAAATCAGCGACATGGTCTTCAACATGATGAAGAAGAAGTACAAGGACCCGTCGCTCGACGAAGGCTTCGCCACCATACACAGAGTGAATTTTGTGCCGCAGTTTGCCGACGAGAAGGAAAAGAGGCTGTACAAGTTGTATTTGGTGGAAAAGTAAAACGATTCCGCTTTAATCTAATGTGAATATTCGCTTGGCAATATCTCCAATGAGCCAGTCCATGGAGCTAAGCAGCTTCTCCCCAGTCACAGCGCTCACGCCAACCACCAGCCAGTGGTGGGTGGTGATGTCATCCAAATGTAGTATCTAAAAATTAAGCCCCATTCATAATGTTAATAAATAATGTTAAATACTGACTATTTCTCACCTCTTTGATTTCATTCGAGTTGAGGGCCCCGGGCAGATCCTGTTTGTTGCACAGCACCAGCAAGGTGGCTCCGGCCAGGCGTTCCTCCTCGAGCAGCACCTCCAGCTCCTGTCGGCACGAGTCCAGGCGCATCCGATCGGCACTGTCCACCACCCACACCAGGCCATCTGTGCACTCAAAGTAGTTGCGCCAGTAGGAGCGCAGGGAGCGCTGACCGCCCACATCCCACATGTTCAGGGTGTAGCCATTGTGCTCCAGAGTCTTGATATTGAAGCCCAGAGTGGGCGAGATAGTGTCTATGGACTCGCCATTGAATCGCTTCAAAATGGTTGTTTTTCCTGCATTGTCCAAGCCGCTGGAAAACACCACAACAATGAATCACAAACTGCCAAAGAATATGCATTAAGACTCACAGCAGCAAAATGCGCATCTCCTTCTCCTTCTGTCGCATCTTTTTTAATACTGTGAGAAAGCCCATGACGACTCCTGTGAGATGTGATAGCCTAAAAACTGTAAATTAACTGTAAAATCAGCAGCTGCTTTAGTTTATGTTTTATTTTAAAATCAATTTAATTTCCGTGTGAATGTCGATTATCGATGAATGAATTAGAAACATTGTTGTGCAACTTTGGCACGGAATGAGCAACAATCTGAATACCTTGGGAAAATGGATATTATGGACTTGAGATATTGTTTGTAATTTCAGGCTCCAATTAATGCCGAAACTAGTCTGTTTTGTCTGTTCTGTCTCTTTTTTAAAGACATCAACGAAATTTTGTAGCTCACGGGTACCAATAATAGGTATCAGAACCGGGATAAATGTATATATATATAAAACAAAACTTATGCATTAATAGGTAAACAACATTTCAATCTAGGATAAAATCATTTCAATGGAGCTTGGAACAAAACATTTAACATCAATTAAAAGAAATAAGGTATACAAAAATCCATACGCATAGAAGAAACTCGGTTGACCAGCAACATGTGACGTCACATTTAGTCAACATTTACGTTTTATGCTTTGGCCGTTTTTGTTTGAACCTTAACATGTAAATAATCCAATAAAAAGGACTTCTGAAAACTTGCCAATCTCTTAAAAAATGTATGTATCTATCGGATAAAATTATTTGTTTGGGGTTGAGAGGGCCAACTAGCTAGTAATATTAAACGGAATAGAGGAATACCTACGCATCTTGTCGTATCTTTCAGAATACTTACGGTATATTATTTAATCAAGTTCCAATTTATTTTTTAATATATTAAGATACTTTTGAAAATGACCGCCAAACTCCATTAATCGTACAAAAATATCGATATTATTCGCTCTCAAAACGTGGTGGTTTTTCAAAATTTGCTCCTTTTCAGAGGTTTTCGTGGTGACTTTTCGTGGTGTGAGAAACATGTATCTTACGGGAACTTGTATGGAATGACGCAACAATGAATCTTCATACATTTGATTTGTATGGGAAAAAATTCAGCAACATGTGGAAATGAATTAGCAGCATTGTTCTGCAACCTTGGATCGGAATGAGCAACAATCTGCATACCTTGGGAAAATGGATATTATAGAGTAGAGATATTGTTGGTAATTTCATACTCAAATTAATACAGAAACTACTCAGTCTCTTATTAAAAGACATCTACGAAATTTTGTAGCTCATAGGTACCAATAATAGGTATCAGAACCGGGATAAATGTATTTATAAAACACAAAACATATGCGTAGATAGGTAAAAAATAACTCAATCTAACAAAAATGCAATATTAATGTTTTAAAGCAGCCTGAAACAACAAATTTAACATCAATTAAAGGAAATAAGGTATACAAAATTCTATACGCATAAAAGAAACTTAGTTGACCAGCAACAATGACGTTACATTTAGTCAACACTTACGTTTTATGCTTTGGCCGTTTTGGTTTGAACCCTATTATCTAAGCAATCCCATTAAAAATAGTTCTGAAAACTAGCCAATCCTTAACAAATTGGATAAAACTATTGGTTTATGGCTTAGAGGGCCAACTAGCTGGTAATATTAAACGGAATATCAAAATCGAGGAATATCATGTCAAAAAATATCATGGTATGGCAGCCCGCAGCAACTACGAATTGCACAAGTCTGGCAACGCCACAAAACGACGCCACATTCGTTTTAAGTTGTTTTTGTTTGAACCTTAATAAGTAAATAATCCAATTAAAAGGACTTCTGAAAACTTTTCAATCTTGTAGAAAATTTATGTATCTATCGGATAAAATTATTTGTTTAGTGTTGAGAGGGCCAACTAGCTAGTAATATTAAACGGAATATCAACTATCGAAACTATCGCAAAGCCATCGATAGTAGAGGCTAGCTGTAAAATATCGATACTATCGATAGCGCCCTCGATGGTTTGACACTTCGCCCAGAAAAACTATAAAAAACTATAAAAATATAAAAATATCCTCAGCAAAATGTTGAACCTGTCGAGAGTGAGTAACATTTAGCGACTGTAGATAGCCCACTGGCATTGCTGGATTGCATGGAACATGCTTCCATGGCCGTGGGAAAATATGGTTACGTAAGGCCGCTGGAGCTTCATGAACTAACCGCAAACATTTTTCTTACGCAGGCCGTTGTCCGCAGCTTTGCCACCACCTCGAGCCGCCGCTCCACCGCTGTCGGCAAGGAGCAGATCGAGAAGGGCTACTTCGAGATTCGCAAGGTGCAGGAGCACTTCCAGAAGAAGGACGGCAAGCCCGTCTTCCTCAAGGGCTCCGCTGTCGACAATGTGCTGTACCGCCTCACCGTGGCCCTGGCCCTGGTTGGAATTGGTGGCATGACCAAGCTCTTCTACGACCTGAGCGTGCCCAAGAAGGAGGAATAGGAGTAATCAACCTCTTAGTTAAGCCATTAACCAACAGCAAAAATCCGCAATCCAGCCCCCGTACCACATTTGTTTTGCAGTGTAGTTGCCTTGTATTTCCCCTCTTTTGATTGTGTGAGTGTTGCCTACATTTCTGATATCGAATTCAATAATTGAAATAGCCTTTATCTCCTGCAGAGCTGAACCCGCAATACCTGGAACTCCTACGCCCCAGAACGTTGTTTTGTGTTAGAATTAACTAAGTTTTGATGTGTAACCGAACATTCGCAAGAGCATTTAAAGCGTGGAAATATAAGAACCTGGCTGTAAAGTAATGAAATTTCATGTGTCTCAATGTGGCTTCTGCCTGGGTCCAGGAAAGCCATGTTCCCAACTTCCCTCTTTTAATATTTGCATTGACATTAAGTAAACGAACAGCCGCCGTTCTCTTTCGATGCCCCGATCCCAGCGGGGCCTGCAGCAGTGGGGGAGGTGCATCGGGAACGGCCAAGCAGCCTGTTTTATAAATCAAAGGGCGGCAACTCGGCGCGTTGCCATTGGCATGGAAATGCATTTTAAATCGAGCGAATCATGTTGCGCTTTAACACAACACACAAACCCGAGTCGCGGCCCAGCCAGCCCGCTGCATGTTTATTAATACTCGCCGCAGGGGAAGAGGAGTGAGAGAAAGAGCGAGAGGCGGCGGAGTGCAGTTCAGTGCTGCAAAATATGCAATTCAAGGCAGTTTTTTTCATTAGTTATTTCTCCATAAACACTTAAATAAAACTAAAGCATTAAAAATTAAGAAAACATCCGCTGCTTTATGAATTTTCCTTTGCATTTTCACACACAGCCATACATTGGTACAGTGCGTTGCGAAAATATTAAACAAATTTAGTATTTGATTATTTTGATAGAATACTTCGGGTGGAACTTGGTCCATAAATCCACAATATGCTTGGAAATCTTCGAAATGTTCAGTTTTGGTCTCAGACCTCTGCTTGGCACTGCCGAAACGCACTGTCTTCCCATCCGTGGGTGTGAAGCAACAACTACAACATTCTCTCTTCAGTTTTTCCCGTGTTGGTTTGCTATTCAGCCGTTACGGCCCATTTGAATTTCGAGATGTGCGCGCGAAACGAAACGCATAAAATGGGCACCCAGCGAGTTTACCGTTAACACATTTGGAACCGGCAGACACAGACCCCTCCGCGTAGGTGGCTAAGTGGAAGAACTACTGCATCCACCACATCTCGTGATCTATTTCCACTGTAACCCTTTTTAGCCCTGAATCGCCCCCCTATGACTTCATTACATTTTCGGGGAGTAGTTCCAAAAAGAACAAGATATTTTTGGTGTTTTTTAATTAAAGTTTCGTTTGCCCCCGAAGAGAACAGTGTGATGCACATGTCGCAAACTTATTATATTTCATAGACTGTGAAAAATTTAAATGAACAGAGAATGCCAAACGCTCCCTTGGCCCGGGTCCCCGGCTCCACGGTTCTGGTCGGGTCCGGACTCCGGAGTAACTGCAACTGGGTGCAGCACAATCGTTCCACATGACTGCCCACAGCCAAATTACAATAATAACTCAAAAAGCATAGAAGATGCCAAGCTAAATGCTCTTCTCCTCCTTTGCCAAAAACAATATGGAAAGCCAAAACCAAATCGGGTAAGGGAATCGAGGGCCCTGGCAGGGCAGGGCAGGGCAGGCCGGGAATCAGATGCGGATGCGTGTAGAATTAAGAATCGAAAAATGTGTTTCATTAAATGTTATTTATAGTCGGCAATTTTATGCATTTAAAGCGCGTCTATCAACGGCAGCATCTGAGGAGCCATGCGGAAACGGCACCGACGCCATATTGAAAATAAAATGCGGCTCTCTCGTTTGAAGCGAAGGGTGGTGGTGTGATCCAGGGATAGTTGGAGAACGAGAGAGACAACGAGAGAGATTCCGATTATAATCGTAGAGCTCCATGAAGCCATAGTGATCCCAATAGACCCCAAACTTTCACCTTTCCAATTCCTTTGTTTGATGTTTGCCTTTTGCTTTCGCTTTTTGTTTTCACCATTTCCTAGATGAATTTTTAGATGCAGTTCACGTGAAATATGGCCGGGTCCTGGTCTGTGGATGGATGCCAGGGTCCCGTCCCAGTGGCTGGCTGTATGAGCTGCCGGTCCGTAGCAGCCGCAGCCACAAATCAGAATGCCGTTGAAGCGTTCAAGTGCAACGAGCATGAAGGGAACTCGCTGCCTTCGTCCCCAACCTACCCCCAACTTCATCTCTACACATACATACATCCCATATCCATATCCATCTGCATCTCCGTCTCCGTCTCTGATTGTCGTTGTCGGCAAATCTCGGCAACTTTCAGATGAGCCACCGCTGAGTGAGCATCATCAACGTTTCGTCAGTTTGTCGCTGTCTGCGCCCTGCTATATGTATGTGCGTACTCGAAGTACACTCCGCCAGTAGCCAAACCTTTGGGTGATTTTTTTTATGATTTTGATTTTTTTTGTGTGTGTTTACCAACGAAACCCGTTTGGCCTGTTAACACTTCGATTACAGCTCAACTCTTTCCTTCTGTACTGGGTGAGGGGGAGGGGGGCGGACGGACGGACGGACGGACGGACGGACGCTCGCTACGGACACGGTCGCCGGGCACTTTGGGTGGTCCACGGTTCCCGTCCGGTCGGACTATTAGTTAAATTTTGATTTATTTGTACTTCAATTAGTCGTTGTACAAATCTGTTTATTTATTTGCTTTTAATTATTGTTAGAAACCACAAAGCCGTGCCACTGCCCCAGCCGCTGCCTCTGCCGCGGGTCGGCTCTTTATGGTGTGTCTCTTCGTCTCCTGCCTGACCGAAGAAGGTTTTTAATTAGCACCAACAATATAATTCACAAAATTCAAGCCATCATCAAACACCCGAGGATTTCTTCAAATGTTAATGGAATCCCACAAATGATTCAAATGCAAACAGAGTTTTGTCTTTCAAAATAATCCAACGATGGGGCAAACAAAATGCATATGCCAGTATAATATTTCTTATTCAATTTGCAAATCTGAAATACCTAAAAAACCTAGACGCATATTCAGAAAAAAATCCAACTTAAAATTCCAGCAGATTTTAATTGTATTGTGGAAATATCTTCTGTTAAGTAAATAGAATATTTGTATTTAAATTTTATTTGCGTCTGGAAAGACTAATAAAAGTGTAAATACCTGAGTATCAGCATCTATGCAAAACAATAATCGAGTAATCATATTTTGATATAGTTCTGCATCCATGGCTGCATTTGTGGGGCCTTCTGGTAGCACAAACAAACAAAAACAGATTGCATGCCTTGCCGGAAAATGCCGGAATATATAACAATGAAAATTTATAAACCATAACGGACTCGACCCCAGTCCCGGTCTCAGTCCCGCTCCCACTCCCCCGTTCCAGTTCCAGCTCCTGGGGAATCAGGCGTGAAAGAGATGCGCCGACAAACCGAAACCCGAACAGAGCAGAAACACATGTCCAGGTCGAGCATGGAGGATGGTTGGTTGAGGATGGCATGGGAAGTCTTTGGTCAGCCCCGCGTACGGCACCACCGGATTGGGAACAGCTTCATCTTCGGGGCTCGTTAGCAGTGACCGTGTGCGAGCGATCGTGTGGGATGTGGGATCAGGTGACAGGTTGGCTGCGGTATGTTGCCTCTCAAGTGAGCCGGGTATACGTTTACACCAATAATTCATCGTCAACTGCAGTTGCATCGATCCGTGTTGCGTCCTTCCCTCTAGAGCTGCGAGGGCACAGGACTCAAGTGCTTACATAATCACGTGTTGATGCTGTCCAAGATCTACGAGTGTGCCTGCTCTTTTTGGAGTGCCGCTGCCGTAGACAATTTGACGCTTCCGTCCCTTCGAAGTTCGAACTGCGTACGGTTCACACCCATCTGGCCGTAATATTATGCAAGTCCTCCCGCCGCTGCCCGCCGCTGCCTGCCGCTGGATGTGTCAATTTTATAGCGCATTTGCCACTTTCTGACATTTGATGCTGCTTCTGGCACTTGGCCTGCTGCTCCTCGGACTGCTCTCCCACCCCCCATCCTCGCACCCTTGGCTCTTTTGTTATCTCAAGTGGCATATTCTCCTTCGACTGTTGTTACACAACGCAGAAATCCAACAAGAATGGTGGGCTACATATATAGGATTCGATGCGCGCATATTTTTTATACCCTTGCGATCGTTTTTTAACTTTCGAAAAATATGATCCAATTGCAGCTACTATAACCCATAGTTTAATTTCATTTATGTTGATTTGGCTATATCGAATCGGCTGTATTGAAATTGAATTATGATTCACATAGCATGATCTCGGCTATGCTTCCTGCTCCGAGCTCCCAACATCTGGTTAAACTCATAGTACCCTCGGAAAGTGTACTACAAAAAAAAAAAACTGATGCAGAAGAGGCGAAGAGAAAGAGACATAAGTAAATACAGAGGGAGAAAGAGAAAGAGACAGAGTGAGGCAGAGAGAAAAACGCATAATATTCATTTGTTATGCTTGTCATTTGTCACTGGGCTGGTGCCGGCAACTTCAAAGCCTGTCACCCAATTTGTTAAACGCAGAGACAATTTTGTCATCGTCTTCTCTCCCAACTCTCTCGCCCCCACATCGTTCCGAGCTCCCACTGACACTGTTTTGCGCCGAAGCTTTGGCCGCAAGATCTCCTGGGGTAGAGGAGAGATCTCTTAGCTTTTCGCATGTGGCCAATTATTTTGTAACTTGATAAATGCTCAATATCCATTCCATTGCCATTACTGGAATTTGTGTTGCGATACAGTATGAAATTATACTACATATAATCCGAAATTCGTAGTATGTATATTCTTAAATACTTAACTCATTCCAAAACAATGACTTGGCCTCTATTTATTAAAGGACACAAAAATCGTTTATACTCACGAAAATGTTAAATTAAATATTAAAAAATGCTGTGATTAAATATAATTAATTTTGATTTAAACATTAAATTGAATTAAAAATTATTTTTAATACGACCCATATTATATTTAAATATAAAATACTTAAAGATAAATAATAAAACATTAAGTTTGTAGAAATGTATTTAATTTAAATATGAAAATATTTATTTAAAATATGAAATATATTTATTTCAAATATAAAAATATTTATTTTAAATATAAAAATATTTATTTTAAATATAAAATATACTTATTTTAAATATGAATACATTTATTTTTATTTATTTTTTATTTTAGTATTAAATCATTTTATTTTTACAATTTCCCATCTCGGTGACAATATTTTGCAATATATTTTAAATCTGAGTTTAATTATTCGATTCTCAAGGTCTTTTTCCCGTATATTTTTGTAGTTTTTCTCAATTAATTTTCGAGTTAAATTTCTTAAAGAATTAATATTTGCAATGAAAGCTAACTTTTTTTTGCAGATACTTCCACCAAGATGTATGTGATACAATCATGAGACGATAGGCTGTGGCCTAATATACGAAAACCACTTCAATATATCCATGAAAATATAAAAATATTCAGAATGGCGGTCGTCAAAATCAAAAATCCCTATAGATCGTTGAGCAAACAGCACAGTGAGAGAGTGAGAGAGAGAAAGAGCGAGCGGAGAGAGGCTAGTAGTGGGAGAGAGAGAAACAAATTGGATTTGCAACAAAAGGTATGAGCAGGTAAGCGTAAGGAGGCGTGTCCAAAGAATCAGTGTGTGTGTCTGCATACGTGAGGCGAATCCACACAAAGGCAGCAAAACAACTCTCTCAGAGACGCTGCAAGTGTATTTGAAAGTGCAAAAAGTTGTTGTTGTTGTTGTTGTTATGGCTAAGCGACCTGCCAGAGAGAACATTTTAATGAACGAATGACAAGAAAAATTGGCATATATCATTAAATGACGATATTCCGAATTAGTGACAATCAGATGAAGACAACATTTGCCATAATTAACTCTAACCAAGCGCGGCGCAACGCCTCAGCGAGAGCAGCCAACGGCATAAGTCTCTTGGACTAGACCAGGCCATCCATCGCTCATCACGCATACGCCGCATTGGACACACAACAGGCAACAGCCAGCAACAGCCAGCAGTAGAAAGGAGACGCGTATGGGGGTTGCTTACCGTCGCTTTATTAGTGATATGACTTTGTTAATGAACCAAAAATAGATGCACAAGATCGAGAACGCCCGAATGCGATTCCCACAGCCCCGCCCCCAGATCTCCATATGTGTGACACTAAAAAGTCATGACATCGCTCGGATACGGATACGCTTACTTGCTTCAGATTGGCCATTCAAGCATTCAGGAATTAACTCCGCCCGGTTGCGTGTGTCCAAAAGAGAGAGACAGAGAGAGCGAGAGAGAGAGAGAGAAAGGGAAACCAACCTCACTGACTGACTGACTGACTGCGTACTCGTGCGCAGCCAAGATACTCGTACTCAGACGATACGATACGGCCAGATACACAGCGTGTGCACACCCACACACAGATACTCAGCAGCAGGAGCGGCTGCGGTGCTTGTTTGGGCGCTGTGACGGGGAAGAATACTTACGACTGGTTTGCAACCATGTAGAAAGCTCATTGGTCAAGTGGAATCTAAATAGACTAGCCCACAAAATTAAATATTTAACTATAATGTTGACATTTTTTAACTTTTCTCTTTAAATGCATATTTTATCTCATTTTTATGGATGATTTAATCTTGAAATACTGTCCATTTCTGAATCCACTTTAAAAGTAAACCACTATTTCCAATTTACGTTCAAGCAAATTAAAAATGTATGCCATTTTATTCACACCCAGAGTCAAAATATTAAACTGGAATAAAAATATTAAATTCTATATTCTAGTCCAAATATTAAAATGGAATAAAAATATTAAATTTTTGTATGAAAATTTTTAAATAAATATATATCTTCTACAAATTTAATTTAATATATTTATAGAGCCGAATAATGCAATTTTGCAATCAGTTTTCTATCCTACACTGTAGTGTAAAAGCTATTTTTATTATTTTTTTTTTTAATTTGAAATTGTTGCTTTTATTATATTGCTGTACTCACAAATACTTATTGTCCGAATTATTGCTTCTATGAGGATCGATCACGGAAAACGCTTACCCCCCGATATAGGTACATAGCTCCCAATAACCTCCCTCGAAGCGGTCCTGGGTGTGGAGCGACATTCTTCATTTTTATTATTTTCCCGCACACAGATACACACACAGACACACACTCACACACACACACACACGATCATCGCCATTAAAGCCCAACAAATACAAGCCGATCGACCGCCCTCCATCGTGTGTGTGTGTGTTTGTGTCTGTGAGAGGCAGTGGGACAGAGAGCGAGATAAAGAGAGGCAGAGAGAAAGAAAGAGAGAGAGGATTTGAAGATGCTGCGTCGACGCTGTGCATGTGGATTGATGGACACACGATCGCTGCTCGTTCGGGCAGCAGTGGCAGCCACATTAGTCGCAGCAGACACGGGTGACGACCAACAACACAAGAGTGGCAGAGAGCGCGGCAGAGATTCGCACGGTAAAGAGAGACGAGTCGAGACGAGAAGCGCGCGCACGGATCAGTGGATGCGGATTAAACGAATCTGAGCAAATCGCGAGTGTCTATCTCCATGGAATGATCGATCGATCGCGCGGGAGGTCCATTTACCGAAGATCAAAGTAGAGAGAACCTCCAACCCCTCCCCCGTGCCCCAACCCCCTCCATTTCCGATAAGGTGTGGATAAGTGCGTGATAATTATCGAAAGCCCTGATCGTTTGGCCCGAAAATGTGCTAATCAGATCTCAGTTTTGGTTCAACAACTCAGACGCCCCGTCGCGACGTGGCGATCAAAACGTAATCGGGCAGCAGTGCTCCAGCATCAACTGGCGCCAATTTGTATACAAATTTCATGCCTTAATTGAAACCAACATTATAGCCAAGTGGCAAGTGCGAAAAGTTAACGACTAGGCAACTACACTGCTTGCGCCCCAGCCCGAGCTCCAGCCCCAAAACATCTTACCAGCCATTTCGCGCTTTGTGCAAATTGAATCTCCATCGCGGGGGCAGAGAAAGTTGCCGGAAAAATAGTAGCGGTGGAAGAGCAAAATCAACAGCCCGGCAACCAACGAAGCAATTGTGGAGTTCTTCAGTCAACTAACGCCGCCCGACATGGACCCAGGTAGGCCCCTTCATCCCATACGAGTATATTCAATATCCAAATGTCCACTCTCCCGTATGATCGATCGATCTACATATGTGAGGTGCCGACGGCAATGAAGATCTCCCGTGGTTAATCCTACACAGCCACTCAAATCGTCAACTCAAGTGTTTTGCCAACAAAGTGATCCGAGTCCCAGGTCCTGATGGAGCTCAGTTGCCTTCCTGCCATCGATTGAGCTACTCCACGCATTCCCCTTTTGCTTTTTGGGCCAGGCCAAGAGGGGCCAAGTGTTTGCTTATGATTTTGTCGTTTTCAAAAGGTTGCCGTCGCTGGCCGCGCATGATCGACAGCCTCGCGGTAGCCGCGACTCGTGTTTGCCATCGAAGATGCTCACCCAGGTCCATGCCCCTATCCATGCCCATGTCCATGCCCATGCCTCCTAATTTAACTAATGATCGTTGTAATGTTTGTGCCTTTTGTCGTGCGGTCTTCACTTTTGGCTCCAAGTGTCCGTGTCTCTGTTTGTCCATGTGCTTTGGGCCAAAAAGAAACCCCCCAAAACTCCATCTTATTGGCCCGAAAATAAATGAAAAATGTGTGTAAAGATTTGTTTTCAGAGATCTATTGACAAAACTCTGTGCAATTGAATAATTTGGCATGCGTTGGTTTCCGTAGTGCTGTAAATAATACATTCATATGTACATATGTATGTAGGTACTATGGTTAACTTTCAAAAATCTCAAATAGAAGATGGAATCATCTTTGGAATTAGTTGGCGAAGGGAGCAGGTCCGTACGAGGCTTGATCGGATTGGCAGGGCATGTGTTTGAGTGACATAATTTCTTAACTGGCTGGGGAACCCTTTTACTGTTTTGGCTTGGGGTTTTCCATTAATTTTGAAATACCTCTATGAATAGGTTTTATTAGACCTATTCCGATTAATGCATTAAGCGTATAAATTGTATCAACATTTTGTCGCTTACATACAAGAAGTCCGATATGATATAAATCTACTTACAGTTTAATAAATTTTAAAGTTCAATTGATGGGTTGAGAGTTCAAGTATTACCGGGTATTTATTCTAATATTTTCTTATTTAAAGTGATATGTTCCTTTTCCACTGCTGAATTATTTAAAGCTATATTTGGTTGATTTCTTTTATACAATGATTCTATTACTGGTTGGTTTTTATTTATCAATCAATGGCGTAAGATTACTGATCTGTTGATCGCCATTACCAGCTTTAAATTATTTTATAATGATATTTTCATTTAACTTTTAGAAGTATCAATCATCCAAAATACATTCAGCCAACCCAAAAAGGTAGTAACAATTATAGGAAATAATAAAACATGCATTGGGACAGGAAGACAACAAAAAAAAGTCGCAAAGTCCCGCACTTTGGTCCATTAATGACTTGCTTTCGATGTTTTGACATTTTGTTTGTACGCGCATGCTGGCCGCTTTGTTTGCACGGCCGCAGACGTCGACAAAGATGTAGAAGGGAGAGGCGGAGAGACGGAGAGACGGGAGACGGGAGACGTGAGTCGCCGTTGCGGTGGCTATGAAGATGCACAAGTGCGTGACTAACGGCCACCGGTAGCCATCTACTTTAGTAGCTAAACATGAAAAGCCCACAAAACACCGACTACCGACCGACCGACAGACGCAGGGGGATGTGCAGTGCCGATGCGAGATGCTAAAATCACTGAAATGGGCAGTAAAACAAAAGACGTAGACGTAGACCCAGACGAAGAGATGTAGACGCAGCCACAGCCACAGCTACAGCCAGTCTCGCACTGGTACTACGATGGTCACAAAATGCAGGCAAACACTTGAGATACTCCTCGGACGAAAAGAAAAGACGTCGCGTCAATGTGTACACGCCTTAATGGAAGAGTATACATATGTATGCACTTATTTACGGGTGGTACAGGAGCATCTCTGCAGAGCAGAGGACGGGCGGGGCCGGGCACTGGGACGGAGCATTATAAAAGCTCAACCTGGAAGCAACTTCCTCCTTCTGATTGCAACTCAAGTTTGGGCCAACGCTTCACTGACCAGGCTTGATTGTGTGGCGTCGTCATTGCCGGTCTCGTTTCCCCCTGAGTTCCATAATTAAATCGCTTCCCCGTCAACTGATGCGGAACTCTTTCATTAAGCACTTTTGGGGACAGTCTGACGACTGTGGATACTATGATTCGTGACAAATTTAAATGGATGCTGGAGCTTCAGCAGCGCAGGACTTGCATCGTTTGCAAAAGTTTCCCTAACATCAGCTCTTTCTCCTTTGCAGAGTGAAATTTGAAGCATTTTTTAAAGATCCCCCAGAAGAATTCGATGGTTTCTGATCCCCAAGAACTCCCCTCCTCGGGAGACATGTATCTCCCCGAGGATCGCTCCTTTGACATTTGACAAGTGTGTGCTGTTGCTGTTGAGGAGCAAAACCACTCATTACCATCAATTTTAATGAGTTTCTAATCGCTGGTGTTGGTGGGGGCACGTGTTCGAGGGATAATGAATGCAAGCTCATCAATAAGAACGGCCAACATCTGGTTGTGAACCCTAACCCCTAACCCCTTGATGGCCTGTGTCAATTCCCGCGGGGAAACATGGCATCCACAACCGGAACTGCAGTACCACATAAATACTTCCACTGCACTTCCCATCGTCCGGAGTCCAGAGGCAGAGACAGAGACAGAGGCAGAGTCAGAGTTTGGAATCCGGAGTCAAAGGAGTCAAGAGTGGGCGAGCTGCAGAACACATGGCTAGATTTATGCATCTTGCCGCTGTCAGCGACGGGCGTTGCACATTGCTCGGAATGCCAGCGAACCCGAACCCCGAGCCCCGAGCCGGGTGCCAGGCCAGGGAGTGTTGTGTGTGTGTCGGTTCTAGTACATTGCCAATGATTGGTCGGATCTGTTGGATGGATGTGCCAGTTTTCGATTTGTGGCATCTTCTATCGTACATTTCGGCTATGCGCTCGGCTCGCATTGTCCACATTCTTGGTACGCGTAATTGAAGTCACCGCGGCATGTCAGCCTCCTTGGACGCACACCCCTTTTTCGGCATTGCCTCCCGTACTGAGGGGCCGTCATATTTCCTAGACTTCCATTTGGCAGCCCCCCCATCTCCGGAGAAGGGCTCTGGGCGGTGCGCTGTGCGTATCTTTGTGGTGGCTGCCGTGATTTATGGACTCATTAATTTCTGTTGACAGACAATGCTGTTGACGCTGAAGGAATCTATTTAGCTTTATGTACTTTTGATTCCCACTTGCCGGAGCACACAGCACGGAGTACGGAGCACGGAGCACAGGGCGCCTATTTTATGACTTTCATTTATAATTTGAGGCACTTGCACTTGATACGCCTTGCATTGTTTAATCAGGAAACTCGAACGCACATAGCAGCTCTCTATAGATGGTGATTTATGTACAGTTCGAGTATTTATATATACATTTGTATATGGTGGGGTATGTAATATGAACCACTGCACATTATCAAGACCCTGAAAATGCTCATCGATATGGGAAGAAAAATGACTAAATGTTTGAAATAATACTGAAATTAATGTGATCTATTTATTATCAAATGACTAAGAACTTTCTATTTATTCTGTTTTAAATGTGAGAAATTGAATGGGTTCATAAATATTCTAGTCATTCTTCCGTGATCATTTACAGAGGTGAATAAAATATGATTCTCCTTTTCGCATCATCTTCCTTGGTGTTCATCTGTGTGGGGGAAACAGCAGCGATCGATGTTGAGTAAACAAATTGCGATCTCTTTTCCATTGATAAGACTTGAAATTGAACTTTTGCAGATTAAGATGGAAAATGGCATTGCCAGCAGCAGTTCAAAGAGACAGTCGGACAGTCGGTACAGACGGGCAGACGGGACAGGGGAAGATGCTTCCTCTTTCTCCCGGCTGGGCGACTCTGTGAAATTTACTGATAAATAAATGCGATTGTGCGGCAAATTGTGCAACGCTCCGAATGCGAAATTGTCGACAAGTGCTCATAGTTAGTATATAAATGAACAACAACAACAACAAAAAATAACCACATTGCAATGAAGACTGCATTTAAAGGGTGCTATTTATAAGTCGCAGAGAGAACCCAACAAAGTCTGCAACTAACTATGTATGAATGTTTATAATGAACATACATACATATGTGCGTATGTATGTAATATACATAATACATATTTACATATGTATGTATGGGGACAGGGGCACGCGGCGTATACGCAATGCAATGCAATTGCCGAGCCTCAGCACAACTCAACTGAGTTGTTAAATTAATTTTTTCTGCAATACGAATGCATATAAATTTCATAAAAAGAAAATCACACAAATTAAACATATATGAAGCGGCATCTCCCCATCGCTCCCCAGACGGCGCTCTGTCAATCAACCTGCCCTGCCCTGCCCTGCCACAGGGTCTGCCGAAGGAGAAGGAACCGCTTGCCAAGACCCAAAGATTTATGGGAACAGGCCGCCACACATGCCCATGTGCATAAACCCAGAAATTGTATAGTTTTGCGAAAGGAAATTCAATTTGCCATGCACTTGAATACCCTTTCGAGGGGGTTGAGCGAATGTCTGAGGAACTTTGGATGGAATCAAAGATAACAACCGAACAACTGCAGATCAACCTGCACCCCCATAAATGGTAGCATAAATTGTTTGCAACTTTCGAAAATTCTTCTCCCATCGCATTAATATTTCAGAGCATTCAAAATTCTTGTTAATTCCTTTCCTTTTGCTCGTCTTCTTGTAATGTTTTGGGGCGTTCCTCTTCCAACAGATCGGATCAAACACCAAACTCACAACCCGAAAAAATATTGCCCTCAATATCAAAAACATCATTTCATGCCAAATTTATATTCCATTTGGACCCCAAACGAATTAAAAAACACACACACAAAATCCAAAGTGGCAGCCATTTTGATATTGTATTGTATTATTTATTTTATTTGCTTGCCTGCAGTTAATGTTGTGAATATTCAGACAATTACTCAGAGTTTTCTACGATTTAATACAATTATGTGGGCCATTTTCTCAGAACGCATGGCTTAACGTGAAAACGTGTTAATTGACGGGCCGCTTATTAATTTGATTTGAAATGCTTATTGTTGTATTTTCGAAACACACAGAAATGTCCGAAATAGGCCCGCGATAAGTATTGTTGTCATCGGAGGTTCGCTGAGTTTTGTTTCGCCCATGCAATCACTTCAAAATGTCTCATAAATCAGACAATGTATTTTAATGATCGCATAAACCAAATTTCTTATCAATTGAAAATGTTTGAATTTGTTAAATTCAATTAGGCATAAAATAAGTTCATTGCCTTGCGACATTTGACATCAAATTTGTGCTCAAGCAGCGCTTACAATAATTTCTAAATGAAATAATCTCCATATCAATCGAATGGCTTGTCAAATCAAATCAAATCAAAGTACGAGTATGCACATTTATTTCAGTGCATTTTTAGTTGCAACTTATCAACCAGACAACCAGCAGGAAGAGGACGAAGCAATCTTGTTTATAGCATCATTATTTTGCATCATTCCAAAATGATAAGAAAATTTGCATTTCCAACAAAAAATTCAGAATTATCAATGTACAGTGAAAACAAGTTAAAGAAAATCAGGTTTTTATTTTGGTTTCGCTGACTATTCTCTTAAACTATTTTCAGAAAGCTTTAACTTATAATATAGTTAATTTTAGTAAATTTGAAATTACAACTAAAATAAATCATGAGAAAAAAGTTTTTGTTTAGAGAAAAATCGTATTGCAGGCCACACTGTAATCACATACTCGTAAATATATTTTTTAGCGATATAGTTTGGTTTTTTCTTTGCCGCTTCGTCCATTTTGTTTAGCAAAATATTATTTTTAATTAGTTCTAGTTAGTTAGCATTTGTTAATTGCGCCTGTAATTGGATTTACGCGCATCAGTGGCTTTCTGTGAATACTTTAATGATATTTTAATAATTTATAAAAAGGAGTTAAAACAGCAATTTACAATTTTAAGTGCCGTCGGCATTCGTTTGTCAAAAAGCGCAAGTGTTGAGAAATTTCCAAGAAAATTAAAGGGAAATGAACGAATACACATTTCTTTCTCGATTGCGTCGGCCGTTGGTAGCATTTTGTAATTTGTTTATCGTTTGTGGAGTGGCAGTGGCAGTGGAGTGGCACTGGAAACAAAGACCGGCCATTGTATTCGGTAATTTCCCAGAATTTATGAATTATAATGTTGCCCTATAGACAATTTTAATTGAGCTTTTTATGGCATGCTGTGCGGGAAGGATGAGGATACCAACCCTTAAGGGTTGCCACAGCCACAGCCCAGCCGCCAGCGAAAGATGACGCCGATCTCAAGAAGTCAAGCGTGACGACCAGGCTAAGTAAAAGTATACGATTTCATGGCAAACAGAGCCATTTGTAAGCCATTTGTACCAAAAACACAGATACAGAACACAAAACACAGAAGCAGCAGCAGCAGCGCGCGGCTACCGAATGCGTTTTGAATTTCCGCTGGGAGCCGTAAGGACAACGGAACGGAGACGAAAATCCATGGACAAATATTGACCGGACTAGGGCCCAGGGCCAAAGGCTGTTCGAGGCATCTCCATTTCGTTTCAGAGTTTATGATTTTTTAAGCTGTTTGCCAGATCTCTTCACATTTTTGTAGCTGTTTGCCTTTCATTAACAGAAGCTGCTGCTGCTGCTACTCAGCCTCGACTCGAGATCGGATTGGATCGGATCGGATCAGGCAACGACTTTGAGGGGCATGAGTGTTTGCCTTGATTAAGTCGCTGACTAGTGGAAAGCCGAGAAGCCGGGAGGGGAGCCGGAAAGCCTGAAAGAGTCCTCATTAGAAATAAAGTAGTTTGCTGCTGCTCCTGGTCGCTGCTGCTGCTGTTCTAAATGATCAGCGGCTTAACTTGAAATTAAATAAACAAAATATCTTTTAGCGTTCGAAGGTTCTTCGTTCCCTGATGGCAAACAAGCAAACATCTCAACGGCGACCTGGTATGCACCTGAAATACACATGTCTGTATGTGTTTCTCCTGTGATCGTGACCGACGCACGAAGATCGTTCAACGACGGTGGCATGTTTGCACCTCTAATAAGACCAACAATCAGTGCCGACGCATCGTCGTCGAGGCAGGCAGGCAGGCAGCCACAGAGCCACAGGCCAGCCACTCCAAAGGGTCAACAAAATGTTGCACTTGTGCATCCCTCCCAGAAGGGTTAGTTTGGGTATGGAATGGGATCTAGTAGACTGCTGCGCGATGTGGAGCTGCAACTACGAGTAGCATCATCGCTCATTAATCAAATTTGTTTTGGAGACTGGGCACGGCACGTTGCAAAATGTTTGCCCGCCACTCTTGACTCATCCATCAGCAGCAGCAGCAGCAGCAGCATCCAGAGCTCAAGGGGAATCGATGTGTTGCTCTAATAGGGAATACGTGACTAATTTGCATGTGCCGGAGAGCATTTTATTCTGGCTTTGAGCAGGCCGGATGTCGATTGGCATTGTCGGCCATAAATCACAAGGGGTGGAGGAGGAAATCAACACACAGCATTGATGTTGGGGGGATGTGATGTGATGGCGATTCACCTAACAAGTCACACAACCAACCGATGGCCGATGGCCGATCATCCACATTGTCCATTTCCAATTTTTCGGCTTGGTGGAAGTTTCCATTCTTATCGCTAGTCGCGGGAATAACTCAAATATCATAATTAAACTCCAAGTGCTCAACTTTGGCCTCCATTAATCTTCCATAATTGCCCGAAATTGATGTCATGCGTATTTGAAAAGCCATTAAAACCAACCAACAATCTTCAATAGATCCAAAACAACACACACAAAAAACAAGAGGATGAAATCCTCCTTGTACATCGTTCGTTTTGGAGGCCCGACAACTAGAAGATATTTGTTGAGACAAATTTATGAACGTTTAGCACAAAAGTCAAGCACTCGGAGATAATGTTCACGAAGAGACCAAACAAATTGCAGCCCTCATTGGACAACATATTTGGAATACTTTTCCTCGACTACGACGACAACACAACAGCACAGCACAGCAGGCAGAAAATCGGAAAATACATACAAATGGAGACAATGGAGAACAGAAGTACAGAGGCAGAAGCTGTACGGACTAAGGGATATCCAGTGACATATATTATGGCTTCTATAGCTGCCTAGATTCACCCTCTAAAGGTTGTGCATAAAATCAGAGTGCATTAAGTGTTGCAATCATTTTTCCACTCAATTCAATTAATGCAAAGGGACTATCAGAGATTAAGCTTAAGATTATCCCTATAAAAATTCTTTATAAGATGGGCAACCTACGCAACTTTATTTTCAACTGTTTCAACTGAGAAACAATACAATGGAAACCTTTCAGCTTTGCTTTACCAGCTCTTCCGTAACAGTCTTATATACCCATTCGGAACAGCTTTACTACGGAGCATAAAAAGCAGTGCAGCTAATGGGTAAATCGCTGAAGATGCCTGACACTGCTGCTCCGTCCTATAGGTAGCGCATTTGTCGTCTGTGTGATCTTTGACGTTGCCTCATCCCTTTGTGCCTCTCTGCTGCTGCTGCTGCCAGAGACTATCTGGTGCGGGAGCAGGAGCCAAGCCGAGTCGAGCCGAGCGAAGACCCTCTATGTTTGTAACTCAATTCGAAAATAATTAACGATCACAAGATTACAAATGTCAAACATAATGTCAAGCTGGGGGCTGCCGCGATATCACATTTTTGCCACCGGCAGGCACACTGTCGCTGTCACTGGCGGCACGGAATGGAATGGGTGATGCCCTGGCTCCTGTCGAGCCCGAATGTTCAAAGACCAAAAACGAACAAAACCACCGACTTGGAAATGGAAAGCGAAGTGTACTCGTGTGTGGATGTGGGATGTGGGAGAACGAACCCCCATCCACTCGCCAGACGCAATGCGTGTGGGTCTGTGGCGAGCGCCAGCCGATTTGTTGTGACTTATGTCAAGGCAATTGTATCCCAGACTCGTGAGACAAGCAAAAGTGAGGGGAGTTCTCCCCACGTATCCGCGATGTGTGCGCCCATATCTGTGGGAGTTCTTGGCGTGAACAAAAGTTTTATTTTATTTAATAACAAAAGGCGTAGACCGAATCCCGTTTTCCAGCCTAGGGATAGAGGAGTACTTTTGTTTGAGAGAGAACGGATTGGAAAGCTCCTCAAGGAGCAGCTGTTGTGGTAGCTTCAGGGGCTGCAGCAGGAGCTGCTGTAGAATCAGCAGGTGGAGCAGCAGATGAAGCAGCAGATGCAGCCGGCGGAGTAGCGGCAGTTGTAACCGCAGGAGGAGTGGCAGGGGCAGCAGTTGGAGCTACTGCAGGAGGAGCCTACCAGTGGGTGCAGCAGTTGTCTCAGTACCGTTGTCACTCGGGCCTTTTTGACCAATTACCACTGTACAGTTGCGACAAATCACTGCAAGGAAACTCAAAATAAAGCAGCTGACATCAGTGGAACGAACCCCAAAAGAACCTACGGATCTCCTCCGAGTCGCTATCGCTGTCATCGAAGTAATCTCCTAATAGGCTGGAAAACCAGTCGTACGTATCGCGTCTCTAAAATACGCAAAACTTTAGTCAACGCGAATGGGATGTTCATTTGGTACATACCGATCTGGCAGGACTCTGCTCCGAGGGTCGGGCATGAGCAGCCAGCAAGTTGACGAGCAGGCAGAGGCTCAGTACTAAAATAAGTTCACTTCTAGTTGACATTCTAACTGTGACTGACTGCCAATGTGGCTGAGAGAGCGGCTTAAATAGAGCCATAAATGATACCTGAATGCATGCATGTGGAGGAGCATCTTAGACCACTCCGAGAGAACACAGCTAAAGCTTCCAATAGTTGAGGAATTCTATGAACTACCGAGTAAGAAGATTTTCGTTTTAGCGCCCAATCAATGATAATCACATATATTTTCTGTGGTCAAACGGTATCCAAGAGTCGATCATTCTATATTTATCTAAGCGTAATGCTCTCTCAACATGAACAATCACCTTTTATGTGGGGAGATACCGGCTATTTCGGACTAAGTATTTGGTTCGTACTCGTATTTATGCAGCTGCACGTTCGTCTGGCCCATTTGTCGGGTGGTGGTGGTGGTGGTGTTGGCCCCCAAGTGCAAGTGCCTGGCAATGATCGAACTGCAATTGACAAGTGCGCAAATCCATAACCATAAAGTACATGAAATTTGAAACTGTCTGTCGGATCGTTAGTCGAAGTCGGAGTCGAAGTTGTGGGGGTGTGGTGATGCTGTTGCTGTTCGCTGTTCGCTGGTGGCAACAAGTGTCTGCGTTGCTGGCAATTGCAAATGTAATACGATATACCTTCATGCCAATGGGCTTGTAAGTCGCGAAATGTACTTTTGCATTCGATTAGTTGAATGGGGGTCGATACACCCTGGCCCCTGGCCCTCGGCCCTCGGCCAAGTCCCTTCTTTGTTCGGTTCCTTCCTGTTTTCTCTTAGCAGCGGTGCAGCTCGGTAGCCCTATTGTGGTGCATTTTTATGGCGCTGGACCACGAGTACGTGTTGTGCCCGCAAGTAGCTGTTGTGAAACACAATTCGAAATTAGAAGTCGGCGCAGATGTGCAACATTTCCTCCCATTGCCTCCAATTGTAGTGAAACTGCAAGGGCAGACCAGTCGCTAGTCCAGTGGCAGGTGCCATGACTGGATGTGTCGATGTAGATCCAATGAAATTTTCACCTCGTTTGCTTTCTCTGCCCTTCGACAGAATAATTTTGATTTTCTATTCGTTCTTTCAATAGCAATTCGAGGCAGTCAAATGGTTTTCATTCACCTACTTAGTCCTAGGTAGGAATCTGTCTTCCTGTCTTCCCCCAACAAGGGGGGGTCATCGTTCATCGCTCATCGTCATCGTTCAATGAGCATTTCCGCACGTTCGTTGCATTCGAATGGTGTTTTCCAAGTCCACAATCTCTGGTGCTGGATTCTCGCAACACCCACATCCGCAGTTCTAAGAAGCAAATGGTAGCAGGCGATTTTCAGCCGAAGAAACGTACAAAAAACCCCCAATCCGTTTCTCTTCCACTTCTGCAGACCCTCACCCCACTCTCTTTTGCAGGCGAAACTAATTAGAGGCAAATGTGCTTTTGTTCGGTTGCCATTCTAGGGACTGCCCTTCTCCACATGGGGCATGGATGTATGGAGAGGGCATAAGGGAGTAACTGAAAAGCTTAAGCTGCTGTGTTTATGGAATCGATCTTTCTTCCAGTCTATATATCACTTTCAGCACTTAATCCCCTTTGTTGCATCCTCTGTTCACTGGCAAAAGAGCATCTAGGCTTCGGCTTGCAAGCTGCAACTCTTCTTTTTCCCATGCTAAACACTCTGACCCCTTATTTACGCTCTCCCTCTCTCTCGTTGCAGAGTCGCAGTGTCCGCAGTACGGCGAGGTGAACCAACTGGGCGGCGTCTTTGTCAATGGCCGGCCATTGCCGAATGCGACGCGCATGCGGATCGTGGAGCTGGCCCGCCTGGGCATCCGGCCGTGTGACATTTCCCGCCAGCTGCGGGTGAGTCATGGCTGTGTGTCCAAAGATACTGGCGCGCTACCACGAGACGGGCTCCATACTGCCGGGCGCCATTGGTGGCTCCAAGCCGCGCGTCACCACGCCCAAGGTGGTGAACTACATCAGGGAGCTGAAGCAGCGCGATCCGGGCATCTTTGCCTGGGAGATCCGCGACCGACTGCTCAGTGAGGGCATCTGCGACAAGACGAATGTGCCCAGCGTCAGCTCCATTTCCCGCATCCTGCGCAACAAGCTGGGCAGCATCGGCCACCACCATGCACCGGGCGGATCGACTGGCTCGGGATTGGGCGGCGTGGGCAGTGCCAACAGCAGCAATGGCAACGGCGGAGGCGGCGGCGGTGGCGGTGGCGGTGGCGACGTGGCGGTGGCAACGTGGGTGGCAGTCAGGTTGGCAGCAATGGCAACGGCATGAATGTGGGTAACACACACTCTGGGGCTCCGCACCATCACCATCATCACCATCAGACGGCAGCCGTGGCAGCGGCCAGCGCCCATCATGTGCACGCCCATGCCCATGCCCACGCCCACCTCTACAATTCCATCTATCAGCCGTACAGTGCCGCGGCCGCGTACAGCATGAAGGCCGTCTCCTGTGGCAGCCCCTCACCGCCTCAGGGATCAGGCGGTCAGACACATCCGCACCAGCTGCGCAGCGTGGCCGCCGCCGCGGCAGCCGCCCACTGGCCATCGTCGCACTCTGTCAGCGATATCCTGGCCCACCATCAGGCCGTCGCCTTGCGTGCCAGCTGCCAGGTGGGCGTGGGCGTGGGCATGGGCATGGGCGTGGGCATGGGTAACACAGTGTCGCCGCTGCCAATGACCCCGTCGCCGGTGACCGGTGGCGCCAGTGGGGGGCAGCCACTGCTCGACTGCGAGGGCGGGCCCGGCCAGCAGACGCCCTACAACTACTACATGTACTTTCAAAATGGTGGCATGCACCATCATCACCATCACGGCGGTATGATGGCCGCCGGAGCCACGGGCTTATGAGGATGCGGATGCGGATACTTCGCCCATTAGTCATTGTGTGAGCTGCGCGGGGGAGGGGGGCGCTGGTTAAGGGTTTTAAGTACTAAGCACACGGATACGGATACTCTCGCCCATCCACTCAGAACTCTAGTCGGAAACGGTTCCGTTCCAGTCAGCACTTTCGCCGGGAAAAATGTTGCCTACTTTTGGGGGGGCGGTCTTAACGTTCCGACAGATGTTTTTGGAATGCCAAGTGGATGAGATGATGCATTGCCAGGGTGCCACAGTGAGACCTAGCACGGCGGGTACTACTACATCTATACGAATTTTTCTGTAATTTTGGAGATTTTTCTTTGTGTCGTTTTTGCTTGGATTGTTGGAGTTTCGAGTTGGATTTAGTCAGAACTACAAGTAAATCTTTATTTTAAAATGGCAAGTATTGAGTTCTGTTTTGCGGAATGGTATGCTAATCGATCGATATGTAGGTATATAATATATATACTATATATATGTACATGTACGTATGTGTTATATAGGTTCTTGTTCTCATAACGACTATTTGTACAATATGCTCACTAAGTAAACTAGTTGATTAATTTATGCTGCGATTACAGCAACTATATATAATTAATAATTAATAATAATAATAACAATTAAAGCAAGTGTAACTATCGAATAAAATTGTATTTTTAGACAATTTCTGTAATTACTTTGCGGTAATTCCTTTGGGACGGGGGGCAACTGCATATTTGGGTACATCTAATCTTAGTCTGGAGGGGGTGTTCCCATAATTAACAATAACATAAAAGAACACGCACACATCTGATCATCGATGATCCAATCCATCCTTCGATCCTGCATTGTCCGCCTAGGGACAGCACTCGCTCTCGTCGGGTGTCTTCTTGTTCCAGCCAAAGAAGAAGTGGCCAAGGCCCAGGCCCAGAACCACTGCGAGGCAGAGCCAGTAGTTGAAGGTCATGAAGATCAGCATGAGCAGGTAGGATATCACAATCTGCAGCAGATTCAGCAGCGACTGGATAATGTGCGCCGAGTCCATCAAGCGTTGCCAGTAGCTCTTCTCCCTGACTTCGGCCAGGGGCGTGTCCGAACAGCATCCACTGGGATTGTCGTTCTTCTGACGCTCAGCGGCCAGGCGTTCCGCCTCCCTGCGGGCCACTCTACGGGCCAGATGCTGGCGGAGGAACTTCAGCGCCTCGTACAGAAAGGAAACAACAAAGATGGCCAAGGCGGAGAGAACGAACTCTGTCACCGTCGCTGCCACCCAGCCGCGCCACAAAATGCGTTCGCAGTGTCCGGCATGAAACTGTTCAGAGAGAGAGAGAAAGAGAGCACAGGGTGAGCTTCAGGCTAGTAAGGTGTTAATTGTAAGTATATATTTAGTGCAGAGTGTAGCGAGCAGACCCTCCGAGTAATTAATTTTGACATAAAATGGGGGGGATATTCCCTATCTTTGACCCACTAAACTTGATCCATAATCTTGTTGTGCAACACCCTGTATAGCCTGTATTTTATTGTTTGCCGAGAGTAACTAAATGAGAGCTGGAGAGCAACAAATTCAACGCAAGAAGAGAGCACACAGCCATACAGACATATGTTTTTATGTATGTACAGTTTACATACAAAAGTGCGCGAGAGTAAATAGATAATTTAAATTGTTGTCAGTGCTCTGCGCTCGTCGCTAAATCTCATACCGTGAAACTGGAAATTCCGCTGGAAATTATATTATCACAATCTCCCAATATTTATGAATCTATAGATTCACACAGACTGTGCAACTTACCACCATGATCATGGGGCAGGACTTGGCTGCAGTGGCATTGTCAGATCCGTGATCGTGATCCATATCCATGTCTCGGCGGTGCGGTTTTATTTGGATAATATAATTAATTAGGCACAGAGCAGTGGGAAAAGCCGAAAGCTGTGCTCGTTAGACAGGTTAGTGATAACCGCAACACACTTGTTCGTGGGCTGAGAGCGAAGCGTCGACTGTTGCCCCCAAATGGTCGTGAGTTGTTTTTTAAAGAAAAATCGACCCTAATCCCCGTCGAGACGATAGGCAAGGCAAGTGCGCTTATCACTGAGAAATGGGAAATTTACGTTATCAACTGGTAGCGGGCAGCAGGTTGCAAGCGGCGATATCACCAGCCCACATAGAGGGGGTCTTTACACTGAGCAAGAGTAATAGCTATGTACACATAAATACGAGTAGATATAAATACATTTATCACAAATAATGATTATAATCTGCGATGCATCTCTTGTAAATTTGCAAACTTCCACGCGATAAGATACGAGTGTAAAGGGAAGATATAAACAAGAAGGATTTCAAACATCTCATTATCTTTGGCTGTTTGTCATCTTTTGCAGATCAAGGTCATGTCTAGGTACTTGTCCAAAAAAAAAAAAACAACTAATCCATGCCAAAAAATATGATTTATAGCAGCAGGGCAAGTACCAAAGGTTCTGGATTCGACTTAAGTGAAGAATTATTTATTGCAATTAAGATTAACAATTGTTGGCTAACAAGCGCTAACGAATTGTTGCTGCAGTTCAATGTGTTTAAACGTTTAGCTTTCTTCTCCTTCGAATTGAACTTTATGGTACTCGCACCTAAATGGCTATATGTATATTGGTATGTATGTACATTGGTAGTAACCAACTGGCCGGAGCGATAGCAACCGTCGAGCGGCGATTTTGCCGTTTGTCTGCCTTAGGCCCACTTGGCTTTCAAAGAGTTTTATTTCTAACTGGTCTCGAATGTCTTTTGAATCGATGGCCGTGTGCAAATATTCTACGGCCGTGCGCAAAATCTATGGACATTCTTGAGGCCGTGTGCTAATTTCGAAACACTAGTGCCGAGTGCAAAAGCTGAAGAAATTAAACGATATTGCAGAGTGCCCCTCTGGTTCAGTAATTGGTTAATGAGCAAAGCTTTTCATTACGTTCCTTGGAAGGGGAAATGCTTGTGCTCATAATACATACTTTAAAAGAGTTTATATTTTCCACGGCCAAGATGACTTTAATTCAACTGATTTGTGGTTAATAACAGATTTAAAATCATTTTTATGTGGTAGTAAATCGGATCTAAAAAAATCTTCTTCGAAATTTTATTTAATTTAACTGCCAAGTACAGTTGTGCTACCAGATGCAGGAAAATGTAACTTTTTTGGTCGATGTGGCAACTTTTCATTCCCAACTACGTCCTTTTCTGTTTAAATCTTATTTTATAAGCAATCACATAAAAATAGCCCTCAAAGTTAACCAATCTAATAGAAAATATATTTATGAATCGGATAAGACTATATGTTAAGTGCTGAGAATCCTAGCTAGCTAGTAATGTTAATCCGAATATCAAAATCGAGGAATATGATTTCCGATCATCGACAGAGAACGATTAACCCACTGTCGACCAGTGGATATTTCAATTTACGCACGAATATTATGAAACTTGAACAATTTTATCGTCGTTCAGGAGAGAAATGTTGGGGTAATTTTTGAGTTTTAAGTAGAAAGGCAGGATAGATCTGATCTATAAGGAGTATTATACAGTATTATTTTCCGCCATTTAACACAAGTTGGTCACCTGTTTAAAAAAAGGGGGCTAAGTGGGTTAGCCCACTTCTTTTCGATTTTCAAGTAAGTTTTGCTAAAACGCCGAATGCCTAATTGTGTAATTAATTATTGGGGACGTTACAGTAGGATAGCCCGCCGTTGAATTGCAATGTTTGCGCTACGACATTTGCTGAGGAGCAGAAAGCATTTTCCATACGCTTATGCGGCGACAACAACAACAACAAAAAGCATGCTGCCAGTGCCAGCTGTGCCGGCGCGTGTTCTTATTGGACTCCACACAGACAGCGATTACCGCAATGGGAGGCTATCAAAGGTCCAGGAGGTCTGTTGTCGCAAGATGACCACGCTGCCCTCATCCAAGAAGCCGGAATCGCTGCTCGAAGAGCTGTCTGCAGCTGCGAAACCGTATGCCCAGCTGATGCGGATTGATCGACCCATCGGCACTTACTTGCTGTTCTGGCCCTGTGCGTGGAGCATAGCGTTGAGTGCAGATGCCGGATGCTGGCCTGACCTTACCATGCTGGGCTTGTTTGGCACGGGAGCATTGATTATGCGTGGCGCCGGCTGCACTATAAACGATCTCTGGGACAAAGACATCGACGCCAAGGTGGAGCGAACGCGTACACGGCCACTCGCATCCGGGCAGATTAGTCAGTTCGATGCCATTGTCTTTCTCTCGGCCCAGCTAAGTCTGGGACTACTGGTTCTCGTCCAGCTCAACTGGCAGTCAATTCTGTTGGGTGCCAGCTCCCTGGGACTGGTGATCACCTATCCATTGATGAAGCGGGTGACCTACTGGCCCCAGCTGGTTCTTGGCATGGCCTTCAATTGGGGCGCCTTGCTGGGATGGTGTGCCACCCAAGGAAGCGTCAACCTTGCCGCATGTCTTCCGCTCTACCTGTCCGGTGTCTGCTGGACCATTGTCTACGACACCATCTACGCCCACCAGGATAAGCTAGATGATTTGCAAATCGGTGTCAAGTCCACTGCTCTGCGTTTTGGTGATAACACCAAAGTTTGGCTATCAGGTTTTACCGCAGCCATGCTGACGGGTCTCTCTGCGGCCGGCTGGTCCTGCGACCAAACGCTGCCATACTATGCCGCTGTTGGAGTTGTTGGCGCTCATCTTGTGCAGCAGGTGGGTAGCTGAATATTCCATTCAATTGATTTCCCCAATAACCAAGCCTGTTTTACAGATCTACTCCCTCAACATTGACAATCCCACCGATTGTGCCAAGAAATTCTTATCGAATCATCAGGTAGGACTCATTCTGTTCCTTGGAATCGTCCTTGGCACACTACTAAAAGCGGACGAGACTAAAACTCAGCCACAACCCGCACTAGCAACGTCAGCAGCCAGCTCATTCGTTCCGCTAACTCAACAACCCGAGGTTATAAGCTGAACAAATCCCAACTACCTGCATTAGTGGTGTTGAAATGAATGTTTTACGCGCGCTTTCTGTTCGCCTTGGACCAAAGTCTATATAGTTAGCTAAATAGGTTTCATTTTGTACATAGGCATAGAACTTCTTTATTTGTAGCTTAGTTTCATCGGGTGGATTAGGATAAGCATAACCAAATGATTGTAAAATACCTCACAGCTTGGTATGGTTGAGCCATTAATTTTAAGTGCACTCCACCAAGGTAACGTATGGCGTAAATCCCCATCAACTCCTCTCCCCTGCCCACAACAGCCCAAACCCATGCCTCAACAACAAACTGGTTTCTGTATTAAATTCTTACGTGTTATTTATTATTATACAGATTTTGGTTGTGTATCTTCAAATGTATTCACTCCATTTGTTGTTGTTAATGCTAAGAAAAGATGCGTTGCGTTACATACATAAAAATACATGTGTAGAAAATGTATTTTAGATCAAGTCGGCCACATTCATGGGCATCTCGTCGATTTGTGTAGAGTAGTATTGCTCAATGTCGCGCAAAATGCGAATATCATCGGATTTGACAAAGTTAATGGCGACACCCTTGCGTCCAAAACGACCCGATCGGCCGATGCGATGGATGTACAGCTCACGGTTGTTGGGCAAATCGTAGTTAATGACCAGGGACACTTGCTGCACATCAATGCCGCGCGCCCACACATCTGTGGTAATGAGAACACGCGACTGGCCGGCGCGGAACTCCTTCATGATCTCATCACGCTCCTTCTGCGGCATATCGCCGTGCATGGAGCTGACGGTGAAATTAGCCTCGCGCATCTTCTCTGTCAGCCAGTCCACCTTGCGCTTGGTATTGCAGAAGATGACAGCCTGGGTGATGGTTAATGTATCGTACAGATCACAGAGCGTGTCGAATTTCCACTCCTCCCGCTCGACGGCCACAAAGAACTGTTTGATGCCTTCCAGGGTCAACTCATCACTGTAATATAGAACGAGTTAAAGGTATGCTGTGGACGGACAAATTCATTCTGCTTACCGCTTGACCAATATGCGAATGGGATCAGTCATGAATTTTGAGGTCATTTCAAGAATCTCATGTGGCAAGGTGGCAGAGATGAGCACCACCTGCGTTGCGGGTGGCAAATACCGGTAAACATCATAGATTTGTTCCTTGAAACCCTTGTTCAGCATCTCATCGGCTTCGTCGAGCACCAGCATCTTGATGGCTCTTGTGCGCAGAACACGCCGCTTGATCATGTCGAACACACGTCCAGGCGTGCCGCTCACAATGTGCTGGCCGTAGTCCAGTTTGCGTATATCCTCGCCCAGATTTGTACCGCCAATGCACACGTGACACTGCACATTCATCATATCGCCCAGGGCCAGTATCACCTTCTGGATTTGTACCGCCAACTCGCGGGTGGGAGACAGACACAGCACTTGCGTCTCCCGCAAAGTGGTGTCCAGGCTCTGCAGAATAGATATGGAGAATGTGGCTGTTTTGCCTGTACCAGACTGAGCCTGGGCAATAACATCGCGTCCCTTCACGATGGGCTTGATGCTCCGCTGCTGAATGGCCGATGGCTTCTCAAAACCTAGACATTAGTTAAAGGTTAATAACTATAACTGTATCGGGGTTACATGTCAGCGTGAGTATACACACAACTTACCGTACGCATAGATGCCGCGTAGCAGCTCTTCCTTTAGATTCATGGCATTAAAAGTGGGGATTACCTCCACATCTTCGCTGGTCTCGAACTCAACGTTCGACAGGTCCTCGGCCTGGGCATTCTTGCGCGCCATTCTTGCTCTGTTTTATTTATTATCTGCTCAGTTTTTCTAAAATTTGTAATTTTCTCTTTTTTTTCACAATGCGGCTTGGGTCAGTGTGACCGATTGATAAAATATACTGAAATATACCTTCTCATTTTAAAAATATACCGTAAATATACCGAGGAAAAAACCAAACTTAACCCACCTAGCCCCGCTCTCTTTAAACAGGTAAACAACTTGAGCTATGCCCCCTTGGTCGACAATGGGTTAATCGTTCTCTGTCCATTATCGTAAATCATATTCCCCGATTTTGATATTCGGTTTAATATAACGGGCTAGCTGGAACTCCCAGCACTTAACATATAATTTCATGCAGATTATGTATCAATTTTCCACAGGATTTATTACTTTTAAGGGCTCCATTAATTGGATTGTTCATAAAATAAGGTTTAAACAAAAAAGTCAGAGCATAAAACGTAAGAGTGTATGGAATGTGACGTCATTGTCGGCTGGGCATCCAGGTTTCAGCTATGAGTATATGGACATTTGCATACCCTATTTCCTTTAATTAATAAATAATTTAAATTTTAAATAGTATCCAAGCATTACATTCCCATTATAATGCCAGCCCAAAAACTGAACCAGCTCCAAAATAACGATTTAACAAAATATAAACACTTTTTTTTTTCAATCAATGCAATACGATTTCTGTTTGTGTCTGACTTCCCCTCCTTCGTCTTTGGAGGAATTTACTCAGCGATTGCATATCTTTCTTTGTATGAATGGTGTGGACTCGCTCTTTGGCACGTTTGGCAGCACAGTTTGCCTTCTTGGCGCTGGCCCTGGTCCTTTCGAGATCAGCCTGCATCTCTTCCATGCCCTTTTTCAGGATCTGCACTCGCCGCTTGGCTGTTTGTTGCAGTTTTCGCTTCTCCATCGCCTCCCGTTGGGCATTTTCTGCCACGCTACGAATTTTCTCAAGACTCACTTGGACCTGTCCATATAGAGATTTGAGGTTAGCGACGTTTTTCTTTTCGGTGTTTCGAATCCGCTTGACCAATTTTGCGGCACAAGAACTGCTGGCAGCCGAATTCTTCATCTCCCCAAGGACCTTCTTTATACCGCACAGACTGTTCTCGAGAGCGTCCAGCAGTTGCTTTTTGCCAGCGAGTATCGTTTCGGCAGCCTTCGATGCCTCCCTGGCCTTATCAGCCAGCAGGACAGTCTTGTCCTTATTTCCGGACTTCTCCTCGGCACATCCTTGCGGTTTCGGTTGCGCATCCTTGTTGCACTTGACCTTCGTAGCCGCTTTCGACTTGGGATGTATTTTGGGGGCTTTCAAGTTTCCGGGCTTATACCGATCGTCGCATTTCGTGATTGCCATTGAAGTGGTCGCCACAATGAAGCTCGCTACGAACAACATAACCAAGAACTTGCAACGCATTGGGAATATACTCGTACATATCTCATCTTACACAAATCTCCAAGCCCCATTATCGGAATAGAAAAACAGACGTCAGAAGTGGCTGATCTAAATTTTCGATCACCGAACAGCATTGAGAATATTATAATACAAAAAAAGTTTTATACAGATAGAATACAAAATGCTTATTCAGCATATTCTTCGAGCTTTGCTGGTGTTCGTGACCATTGCTTGGGTTCTCAGTAATGCCCACCCACTGGAAGAGGTAAGAAGGGGAATACAATAGTTCCAAAAACCAAAATTTACCAAGTTGCTTTCTCCCACAGTCCTACAATGAATTTTCCAACCTAATGCTCGATGAATCCGAGGGAGGTTGCCAGGGAAGCGGCTGCCAGATCAATATGTCTGGCGGCGGTAAACAGAAGGCGAGCAACATAGCGCAGAAGGCTGCACAGGAAGCTAAAGATGCCTCTGATGCCCAGGTGTCGGCCGCCGAGGCTGCTGCTCGACATGTGAAGCAACAATTGGCGGACAAGGCCTTCGCTGCGGCCAACGCTGCAGAGGCTGCTCTTGCTGGGAAACAGCAAATCGTCGATCAGCTGGAATCAGAGGTCCATGAGGCTGAGGTGGTCGTCCAGGAAGAGGCCGCCGCACTGCAGACCACCCAGAGCACGGCAGCGTCTGCCGCCCAGACCGCGGATATGGCTGGCACCCAAGTCAAGACACTCACCGATGCCGTGAAGAATGCCCATGCGAATGTGGCCAACTCGGAGCTGGTGTCCAATGGCGCTCAGCAGGAGCTGTCCGAGAAGCAGCAGCTGGTCGAAGCGGCCAAGAAGCGCGTGGAGCTGCTGTTTAAGCAGCTGGAGTGTGCCAAGAAGGACTTCAAGAACACCAAAAAGCTGGCCGAGAAGGCATCCTGCGCTGCCCAGGAGGCCAGACAACGTGCCTCGCGGGAGCGTCGCCGTGTGGAACTGCGCGACAAGTTAATGCGACGCTATAGACGCGGTCACTAAGATGGACAATTAGTGTGTTTATTTTTGTATTAAATTATTGTTTGCTTCCGATTCCTACTCCACTCTGAGACTCCATTGTTCACACGCAGATCAGCGAGGAAGCGAAACTATCAACGGACACGGGCGTCGATCCATTCGATTTACAAGCTTGCCTGCTGCCTCGGAGCGGAGCTGAGCTGAGCGGAGCAGAGCAGATAGTTTAAAGCGGCTCGTGGCAATTAGAGGCTCTTCTATAATTACTCATGCGGCAGTGGCCGTGGCTGTAAATTATCCAATCCTCCAGCATGGTAGCATTGACCCAGCCCCATTGTTGGTGTGGCGTGGAACCAATTGGCGCTGCCGGGAGGCCAACTCATAAAGAAAACGGACGACCGACCAACGGGTTTGCACTTTCATCGCGACACACACAGCGAACACTTTTTCGTTTATAAATACATGGCGCCTCCGCAGGTCTGCTGGCAATCGTCGTCGAGAGGTCTCCAACGGATTTACAAAACACATCGAAGCTCACCGCTTTTCCAAAGCCGAAAGTAAAAGCGTTTTTCCAGCAAACCGAACTTGTCCATCGACTTTGGGTTTTGCTTTTGCTTTTGCGGGACGGAGACCTTGTGCTGGGAGCTCTATCGTCAATAGACACGGTTTGCCCACGCTCCAGTCAGGACGTGCACTCGAGTGTTGATTTTTCTGTCAAATTGAGTGAGTGATTCGTGTCCAGTTTTGTGCCACCAGTGATGATGGTTGGGTGGTCCTGGCCTTAAAAGCAAACTGGTTCTTCTGTGGAACATACGATAAGCGGACTGGGTGTGGTGACACACAAACTGTTTGCCGGCCATCCTGGACAAAAGAAAGTGCGCGCACTCCATGCGATATTAGCTAACATCAATTGCCATAGAACCGGTTGCATTGCCTCGATTGAAAGCCCCAGTAATAAATTCGATTTGCTTACACGAGTCGAGTCGAGTGCCGTACCTGTGCCGTGATCCCGAGACTTCCGGTTAAGCAATTTCTTTTCCAGCCCCGACAGAGTCAGATTGCATAATTGTCAACGATGCCATCGGCCATGCAGCTGCTGCTCCTGACATTGCTATTGGGTAAGCGTCGCATACCTTTTCTGTTTCTTTTTTGCTTCCCTATGCAAATTTCAATTTTCCTTTCCCCAATTAACCAGCAGCCATGCCAGCACTGGGCCTGGGACGCAAGGTGAAGCGGAAGGACGCCCACTACCATCTAAATGTGCCTCCACCACCACCGCCACCGTCACAACAGGGCCAGGGCCAGGTGCATCAGGGCCAACATCAACAGGCCACGCAGATCGAACACGAAGTGCCGCCCTATTCATTCGAAGCCATTAACCACGACGAGTTTGAGCCAGCCCAGAGCCCGCATCTGAATGGACAGCCCACGCGTTACGAAAGCTCCGACTACATTTTACACAACCTACAAAGCGGCGGCGGCGGATATCTGGCGGACAATGGGCTGCGCAGCATTGCCAAGGGATCGGCGGATACAGCCATCTCGGCGGTGGCCAGTCAAAATGCGGCGGGAAAACAGGCATCGTATGTCGCCAAGAGTACTCTGGCCCAGGCAGCAGCGCAAGCAGCCGGCACAGCCGTGGCTGTGCTCAAGGGCAAAGAGGTGCTACTGCACCGACTGGAGGATCAGAGCGTGGAGGCACACAAGGCAATGGAGAACGAGCTGACGCAGCTGCAGCAGGCCAAGCGATCGGCGAAAGCTGCCCAATATGCGGCCCAGCAGGCCATCAACCATGTGAGCGTCCTCACGGCGGCACTGAACAATGCCCAATCCGCATCTGAACTCGCCCAAAAGTCCGCGTCCGAGGCAGCCGCTGAATTGGCCTCCCAAATCGATATGGTGGCCCAGGCAAAGACCAAACTGGAGCAGGCCGAGTCCCATGCGTACGCCGCTCGGTTGGATTATGAGGAGACTCGGGATGCGGCGGAGAAGGCCACGCTGTCCGCGCAGGAGGCACACCTCAATGCCAACGATGCTGCTCTGCACGCCAATGTACAGCTCAGTGAAGCGGTTCACATTCATGATAAAAGCGATCGCAATGTGGTTGAACCGGCCCCGGCCCGCCATCGTCGACGCCGCCCGTAATACACTTCCACGACGAAGTTTTGTTGGCATTTAAGCTTCAATTTGAACTTATTTATTTCTTTTCCATGTATTTACTTTAACTCTAAGTTTTGTTATCTTGTTAATAAATAATAGTTGTGAGAAAACGAGAATCCAAACGAGGATTTTCAGGAATCACTGGAAAAGTTCCATTTTAAAAATCAAAACGGCGCGCGCTTTTAATGCCTTGGCCGTTTTTGTTTGAACCTTCTTATGTAAACAATCCAATGAAAACTAGCCAATCCTGAACAAAATTTATTGAGGTATTGAATAAAAATTATTTGTTTACGGATGAGAGGGCCAACTAGCTAGTAATATTAAACTGAATATCAAAATATGGAATAGACAACACTTGAAATTAATGTTTTAAATTTATGGTATTTAAATGGTATTTCTCGAAACTTAAACGGTATTTAATGGTATTTATTTTTTGGCCGGATGGTATTTTTCATCGTTATCGTCACGGTCACACTGTTTGCCGGCATTTATTTACATTTTTTTACATTTGGAAAATCTGGAATAACAATTGAATTAACCGAGAACTATGAACCGCACAGAGCAGACATTTGAGGACCTGAAGTCGTTCTTCCGAAGTCACAGCAAAATACGCGAGCAGCGGGCACATACGTCCAAGGTAAGTGGCCAGTCGGATAGTTGAGAAATGTTCACGAAAACTGTTAATGTCTGATGGTGCAGGTTCACTCGGTTTGCTGGAATGCTGATGGTCGCCACTTGGCATCGGGTTCCTTCGACAAGACGGTGGCGGTGTACTCGTTGGAACGCGATCGCCTCATCAAGGGCAGCATCTACCGGGGACACACCGCGTCCGTGGACCAGTTGTGCTGGCACAAAACCAATCCAGATCAGTTTGCCACTGCAAGCGGCGACAAGACCGTGCGCATCTGGGACATACGCGCTGGAAAGTGTGCTTCAGTGACCAACACCAAGGGAGAGAACATAAACATAGCCTGGTCTCCGGACGGCAAGACAATTGCTGTCGGCAACAAGGAGGACCTCATCACATTCATTGACACTCGTACGAACAAGATACGCGTCGAGGAGCCCTTCAGCTGTGAAGTAAATGAGATATCATGGAACAATACAAACGATTTGTTCTTCCTCACCAACGGCATGGGCTGCATTAACGTGTTGAGCTATCCCAGTCTGGAGCACCAACTGACACTCAAGGGTCATCCGGCCAATTGCATTTGCATCGAGTTCGGACCCACAGGTAAGCGCAAGCCTTGCCCATATCTGAGTATTTTCTAATACTGTACTGCTCTCTTCTTAGGCAAATATTTTGCCACTGGTTCAGCCGATGCCCAGGTCTCGCTTTGGGACGCCAACGAACTGGCCTGCCTGCGTATGATCAGCCGCCTGGAATGGCCCGTTCGCACCATATCGTTTAGTCACGACGAACGGCTGATAGCCTCTGCCAGCGAGGATCTGCTGATTGACGTTGCATTCACAGAGACGGGCGAACGTGTCACCGACATTCATGTCGATGCCTCCACTTTCACAGTGGCCTGGCACCCGAAACAGTACCTGTTGGCCTATGCCTGCGACGAGAAGGATGTCGAGCGGCGCCGCGATGCTGGCAATGTCAAAATATACGGCTTTCCCGAGTAAACCCAATGCTAGTAAAGAGTTTCTGTTTATTATTCAATCGTCTAATGCTTTAGTTTGATCCGATAGTGGGACAGCAGCGGCAGCGTCAGCTGAATGCACTCGAAATTATAAGCTTTGAACTTAACTTAGGTCACGTAACCTGCAGGCAAGTGGATTATCAATTTCGAAGCTCAACTTCCGTACGTGTGTGATGAAATTGAGCTGCTTCGGCATCTATATACTGGAAAGTGAAGTTTTTATCATCCCACGGACAGGCTGCCTGCCCGTTCGGTTTTTATTGCATTAAAGCGCACGCTGATGTAACCCCGGCTGTCTGTCAGCTTAAAATTGCAGTTGTTGCCAGGCATCAATCATCAGGGAAGGAGAGGAGGAACTTTTGCTTTTACTACGGCTTCCAGTGTGCGCTTTTATCATGCAAATAACGACAGGGGGATCACTAGTACATGGGATGGGATGGGATGACCCTGCCCCTGCCCTTTGGAGCAGCTTACGGTTATGGCTTCTTACATTTTTAAGCTATTAATCAGTGGCAACACTTTAGGCTTGGGAGAGAGAGAGCTTCCCAAGAACGAGATTGAGCGAGGGCGCAAGGGGGGAGCTTAGTGGGCCAAAGGTCGATGTCACTCTGCTGCAGTTGTTTGCACAGGCTGGCTAACGCTCAATTGCTACAAATTTAGGGAGGGGACAATTGTTATTAGTTTGCTTTCTGTTGCTATTTCTTTTGCTCATCCTTGAACTAAAAGTATCTGCGCGAGATGTTCAAGTGGAACACAAACAGAAGATAACACCCACACCACAGTCCAGTCCCAGTCCCTGCCCTCTTGGCGCGAGGTGTGATTGCATTCTGCCACATACGAGTGGCATCATACCATGCTCCATGCACCAAGTGAACAGCATTCCCCTTGCCACCCACTCAAAGGCGAATAGCATCAATGTTTGCACTACTAAAAGTTTTTGATAAATTTTGGATTGGATTTCCGTTTTCTTGATTGCCAGGAACATATTGGAGGCAGTGTTTGTGGGTCTGCACCCGATACCAAATACCAAATCTTTCTTAATTATTATTAATTGACTTTTTTACCTTTCAACGTTCACATTTAGTGGCCAAATAATGTAGCTCATTAGATCAACAAATCCTAGTATCCGAGCATCATTGACAGGTGGTTCTTTCTATTTGTGAGTCCCCTGAATAATTGCGATGAAATAAATTAACAATTTGAGAATAAAACTAACATAGATCTGTGTCGTCATCATTATTCTTCTCATTCATCATCCATATCTTTTCCTTAGAAAATCCTTAGAATATCTTTTCCTCAGCGTTGTCGCTGAGATGGTTGGGATTCGCAATGCTGGTATTGGGGATTAGCTGGAGGCCGCCCATTTGTATGGATGGCGGAATGGTCTCCGTCCGACTTTTCTTGTTCAAGTCCTGCGGGGAAATCTACATCCTTGGCTACACGCGCTTGTAATTTTACATTTGCAGATTCAGCGCGCCTCCCCTTCATTATTGCTTCCCAGCCCAAATTCAGCGCACAGCAAATGTAACCCCATTCAGCGCTCTTTCTATGTTAGGAAATTCTATCGCATGCGATAGTTTTGTAATGTTCGTGCTGTTCCTATGAAAATGGAATGGAATGCTGTTAAGTTTCCCCTCCATGTTAATGTGCCAGGCAGGCACAAACGTTTCACCTGCTTTGTTTAAACTTTAAACCTTATTTAATGAACAATCCAATTAATAGAGTCCTTAAAAGAAAAAAGTAGAATGAATTCTGTGAATTGAATTGAATGAATGAATTCTCAAGCAATTCCCGTCTCTAGGGAAACTGAAGTTGAAAGCTTCTACGTATAGCGGAAAAGGATTGCAAGTTCTTGATAAACTAGAATCTTTAGATCTTAGCGTCTTGTAAAAATTCAATGCCGATAACCTTTCGGATTGCTGCCGAACAATGGAGCAATTGCGGTTCCTTAAATTAATACCTACTAAAAACTTGAGTAAGAACAATTTTGAAACTCAGGTGACGAACTGCCAGCAGTTGGAACTTCTGTCCGCGGTTAAGCTCAAGGTGTTCAACTGTTTAAATAGAGCGGCTTTTAATTCATTTTCCTCAGTATATTTACGGTATATTTTGAAAGTTTCTGAGTTTCTGAGGTTCCAGTCACACTCGACAAAACATATCAAGTGAAATATTTATTTTTCCATATATTAATATACTTTTGAAAATGACCGCCAAACGCATTTAGCGCACAAAAAATACTGACATTTTTCGCTCTCAATTTGTGGTGGTTTTTCAAAATTTTCATGTCAATCTAGGATAAAACCATAAAATAAATAATGTTTCAATGGAGCTTGGAACAAAACATTTAACAAAAATTAAAAGAAATAAGTACATACGCATAGAAGAAACTTGGTTGACAAGCAACAATGACGTCACATTTAGTCCACATTTACGTTTTATGCTTTGGCCGTTTTTGTTTGAACCTTTTTATGTAAACAATGCAATAAAAAGGACTTCTGAAAACTTGCCAATCTTGTAGAAAATGTATGTATCTATTGGATAAACTTATTTGTTTAGGGCTGAGAGGGCCAACTAGCTAGTAATATTAAACGGAATAGAGGAATACCAACGCATCTTGTCGTGTCTTTCAGAATACTTACGGTATATTATTTAATCAAGTTCCAATTTATTTTTTAATATATTAAGATACTTTTCAAAATGACCGCCAAACTCCATTAATCGTACAAAAATATCGATATTATTCGCTCTCAAATCGTGGTGGTTTTTCAAAATTTGCTCTCTTTTCAGAGGTGAAGAGAGCGTTTTCGTGGTGACTTTTCGTGGTGTGAGAAACATGTATCTTACGGGAACGCGTATGGAATGACGCAACAATGGTTGCTTCATTCCAAACGCGTTCCCGTAAGATACATTTGATTTGTATGGGAAAAAATTCAGCAACATGTGGAAATGAATTAGCAGCACTGTTCTGCAACCTTGGATCGGAATGAGCAGCAATCTGCATACCTTGGGAAAATGGATATTATAGAATAGAGATATTGTTGGTAATTTCATGCTCCAATTAATACAGAAACTACTCAGTCTCTTATTAAAAGACATCTACGAAATTTTGTAGCTCATGGGTACCAATAATAGGTATCAGAACCGGGATAAATGTATTTATAAAACACAAAACATATGCATAGATAGGTAAAAAATAACTCAATCTAACGAAAATGCAATATTAATGTTTTAAAGCAGCCTGAAACAACAAATTTAACATCAATTAAAGGAAATAAGGTATACAAAAGTCTATACGCATAGAAGAAACTTGGTTGACCAGCAACAATGACGTTACATTTAGTCAACATTTACGTTTTATGCTTTGGCCGTTTTTGTTTGAACCCTATTATCTAAGCAATCCCATTAAAAATAGTTCTGAAAACTAGCCAATCCTTAACAAAATTCATTGAGGAATTGGATAAAATTATTGGTTTATGGCTGAGAGGGCCAACTAGCTGGTAATATTAAACGGAATATCAAAATCGAGGAATATCATGTCAAAAAATATCATGGTATGGCAGCCCGCAGCAACTACGAATTGCACAAGTCTGGCAACGCCACAAAACGACGCCACATTCGTTTTAAGTTGTTTTTGTTTGAACCTTAATAAGTAAATAATCCAATTAAAAGGACTTCTGAAAACTTTTCAATCCTGTAGAAAATTTATGTATCTATCGGATAAAATTATTTTTTTAGGGCTAAGAGTCCCAGCTAGCTAGTAATATTAAACGGAATATCAAAATCGAGGAATATCAACTATCGAAACTATCGCAAAACTATCGATAGTAGAGGCGAGCTGTAAAATATCGATACTATTGATAGTGCCCTCTTTGTTTTGACACCTCGGCCGTAAAGGCAAAATTTCGAATCAAACTAACTAAATTCAGGGAAACTTCAACAATATGTCTGTGCGTTACGACTGGTACCAGTCCGAGACCAAGGTGGTCATCACTGTTCTGCTGAAGAACGCCACAGAGAAGAACTACGCTGTCAAGATTGAGCCAAAGAAACTGCACATGTCCGCCGATGGATACGAACTGGAGATCCAACTGCTGCATCCCGTTGTTGTGGACCGTTGCTCCCACAAGGCGTACCAGACCAAGGTCGAAATAACTCTCGAAAAGGAAACGGGCGAACGCTGGGAGACCCTCGAGGAGAAGGCGGCACCCGTTGCAGTCGCCTTGCCCAAACTGCAGACCAAAAACTGGGACCAACTGGTCAGCGAGGAGGAAAAGATTGAAGAAAAGGAGGCCAAAGGCGAAGCGGCTCTAAATAATCTTTTCAAGCGGATTTACAGCACTTCCTCGCCCGAGGTGCAGAAGGCCATGAACAAATCTTTCTCCGAGTCTGGCGGCACTGTGCTTAGCACCAACTGGAACGAGGTGGGCAAGGAGAAGGTGATTGTGCAGCCGCCCAAAGGAACCGAATTCCGCGAATGGGAGAAATAGGCCAAATCAATGGCTAGTTAAACACACACACACACACCCACACATTAATTTATATGAGAGTTCAGAGACGCAACTAAATACATATTTACCCAAAACAGCCAACATGCGATGGGCGTGTAGGGGAAACCCCCACATTAACGATATTAACATAACATAACAACAATTGTTTTAAATAAAATTAATAGAAGCATTGCACTTGGTTGTCGATTCATGGACTTGGGGGTGATTTGGGGGGATTAATTTCTGGATAATTTCTCTGCAACAGCAATTTTAAGACGAGCATTTTTAGAATCTACCCTCGCGTTTATTGCAGCGCTAACAGCTGACAGACCGGGTTCGATAGCAAGGTACGTGGAAAACAAATTTAGAATTTCTGATAGCTGTCTTGCACAAACTAGGGAAGAGGACGCACAAATACGCACAAAAATGTATCAAAATCTGGAGGAGCACAACCGGCTGGTGAATAAATACCTCAAGATATTCTTCGTGGTCGCCCTGTATTGGTAAGCAGACAAGGAGCGAAAACGTGAACTATTTCACATACTCTGACCTTCCCACAGGTGCACTTCCATCTTGACGGTGTTTGTGAACAAACATTTGCTGAGCAGCGACACTGTGAACCTGGGAGCACCGCTGTTTATGTCGTGGTTTCAGTGTGTGGTGTCCACGTTGATATGCTTTGTGATGAGCCGCCTCAGCCGCAAGTACCCGAGCGTGTTCACCTTCCCCGAAGGCAATCCCCTGGACATTGACACCTTCCGCAAGATTCTGCCGCTGTCCGTGCTGTACACGCTGATGATTGGAGCCAACAACTTGTCGCTGTCGTATGTCACGGTGGCCTTTTACTACATCGGACGCTCCCTGACCACCGTGTTCAGTGTGGTGCTAACGTATGTGATTCTGCGGCAACGCACCAGCTTCAAGTGCTTGATGTGCTGCGCCGTCATTGTGATTGGCTTTTGGCTGGGCGTGGATCAGGAGAGTCTCACAGAGGTGTTCTCCTGGCGGGGCACCATATTCGGAGTGCTCAGCTCTCTGGCCCTGGCCATGTTCTCCATACAAACCAAAAAGTCGCTGACGCACGTCAATCAGGAGGTGTGGCTGCTCAGCTACTATAACAATCTGTACTCCACCGTGCTCTTTCTGCCCCTGATCATCATCAACGGCGAGCTGGAGACGATCATAACGTATCAGCATTTGTGGGCTCCATGGTTTTGGGCAGCCATGGCACTAAGTGGTGTTTGTGGCTTCGCTATCGGGTTTGTGACTGCTTTGGAAATACAGGTGAGGGAGGAGCCAAGTCGAGCGGAGTGGAGACCAAATTTTTCTTGTAATTGCTTATCTGGCCTGATTTTAGGTTACCTCACCGCTAACGCACAATATCTCGGGCACAGCCAAGGCCTGTGCTCAGACGGTAATTGCCACCCAGTATTATCACGACGTCCGGTCGGCACTCTGGTGGACCTCGAATATAGTGGTGCTTGTAGCCAGCGCAGCCTACACGCGAGTGAAGCAGCTGGAGATGGTCCGGCACCATCAGCAGCGAACTGCAGCCACGCAAAAGGCCTAACATGGAACTTTCACAGAAGGCCACACACCAAAGTAATTTAGACTGGAGACGACTATAGTATATAAGCAGATGTAAGTTTAAAAAGTATGCACAAACGAAATCAACAACAATGCAAATACATAGGCATGCATGTTTATAATTAATTGGCAGCTACAGCCTCTTGGGCTTCAGTCCCCGCTGGCTCCTCCTGCTTCTTAGCCTCGTCCCGTTTCACCTTCGCTGAGCTCTTGTCCCACATCTCGGGCACATATACAAACGGATCGATCTTCAGCTGCTCACTGCTGGGCGGGCTCTTGAGCAATACTCGAGTAATGAACTTCCCCTCGCGCTTGGGGCGCATGCTGTTGATGTCCTGAAGCAGATGTTTGAGGTTCTCCTCCAGCTTTTGTGCATCCATGTCCAGGGGTCCCACACTGGCGGCGATTAGGCCAAAGTTCTGCTGATACTCATCCTTGGTTGCACTGTAGCTAATGCCACTGGAAAACTTAACAATCATCTCCGCCAGATTTGCGCCTAACGTTTCACTCTTTGGGTTTGGAAATTTCCGCTTCATCAGACCACGCAGTGCGACTAGCTCCGGCAGAATGTTGGGATGTGCAATGATGAACTGGTAGTCGGAGAGCAGCAGCTCGCCGCCAGTTATATCTTTGATCAGTTCCACGCCACCGACAAGCGAAGCACCGGCTTCTCTTGCCTCTAAGAGTTCGTCCTAAAAATGGATTCTCCAATTAGTAACCACTAAAGGTGCTTGGAGCTATTGCTTACGTTGCCCTTAGTGAAGACTATGATCTTGCGCTCCTCGCCATGCTCAAACTTGTGCGGAATCATGGCCATGCGCTGGAAGTTGTCCACAAACCGAGTCGCCTTCTCGCCCTGCATGTTCAGCTCAATCTCCACATTCAGGGGCGCCTTGGGCACATTGTACATGCTCGGATGATGTGTCTCCCGATGACACTGTATGGCCTCTGCCACGCTGTACACCGGCCAGCGGTAATAGCGTCCCACGTAAACATCGTCTTTGGACACTTGCTTCCAGGAGTCGTCCACATGTTTGTCCGCACGTTTTACGTTGATTCTGAAAAGAGAATGGATGCATTAGTCTCCGACTGGACTGGTACTGGGTTACGGGTCCAACTCACTTCTTGTCGCGTTGATTGTGCGGAATGAATCCCACCTTCTTGACTTCCACTTTAACCTTCTTCTTGCGGGCCTTCTCTCTGGTGCCTTTTCGAGCCGCTTCGCTGATGGCGGTCAGGTGCAGGCGCCGTACAGCATCCCCTGTCGACTGGCGCAAGGCCAGGGCACGCATTGACGACAAAATCGACTGCATTTCTTTCAGAATTATCCAATTTAAAACAATTTAACAGAGAATTTTTGCTTTTGCATAACCTCGCCGCCGCCGATATTTTTTATCGATATTATCGATACCGATATGTATCGATAACTAGGGCGACAAATGCGATAGTTTGATCGATCTTTTTTGCCGACTTTTTTCGTCTTCTTCCTTTGGACGACTGTTTAACATATGATTTCGCCTTATGTTATGATTTCGCCCTATGTTATGTTATGTTTTCGCCCTTATGTTATGGCGACAAATGCGATAGTCTTATCGATGTGTGCATCGATAATTGCGCCCAAAATTTAAAAAGATTGTAACTGTGTAATTGTTGAAAATGTTCGTTATAAAACGAACTGCACAAATTTTTAACAAATATTGAGTCAAATATCTAGATATATATATATACATGTCTTGCAAGACAACTGCCGCATGCTAAGAGAGAATTGTATTGAACTTTTGCAAAGAGTACGAATGCTGAGTTTTTCCTCTCTATAAATAAATCTCACATTTTCCGACTTTTCCGAAGCGTACAAAAAGCATTTCTCAGAATAGCTTCGACCGACGAGCGGCACGGCACGGATTTAAAAATTTGCTCGCCGTGAATAAAAATTGCGAAAAAACACCTCAAGACGACAAAAGAAATAATTTCGACGGAGGGGCGCGGGCGATTGTGTGCATAAGGAAAAGTGCAAGTAATAATTTGTTATTGTTTTTCTTTCATCGTACAACATCGAATGTGCTAGTGGGGGCGCTATACATATCTCTTGTTTCCGAGCAAAATAGCGGTCGGCGGTCAGCCAGGAAGGCAAAAGAAAAATGTGTATTCAATGTGTGGCAACATTTTCGATATAACATTCTGAAAGAGTGGTGGCGAAACGAAACGCGCCTAGTGAAAGTAATGGGAAAGAAGTATATACAAACCGACAGAGATGCGGATACAGATATGTACATATATAGTATATATGTACATGATCTGCGCCATCTCCCATCATCTCGGCCAGTCAAGTGCGTGCACTTTCGCATAAATTGAAAGAAATATGAATTGTGTGTAACCTAAAATTGAAAGAAAAGGAAGTGTGGCGGTGCGTACTTCACAGTGTGTGATGATGGGTGATGTGATGGGTGGTGCTGTGGGGAGTGGGGAGTGGTGCTCGATCGCCATGGGGGAGGCAAACAAAAGAGTGTCAGCGTTTTAAAAATAGTTTGCGGCAGCGTTTTCTATTTAACGTGATTTTATTATTTGTTCATCCGCGGGGTAGAGTAGAGTAGGGTGGGCAGCGGCAGCCAGCCTGTCGATCGGTTTTGGTATCCCCATCCCGAACCGAAGGCACTTAAATACGTATAGCGAAGCACGGCCGGAGTGGAGGTGGAGTGCATTCGAGATTGTTTTTCCGTTCCGTTCCGTTCCGTTTAAGTGACCACACGCGTGAATATTTTTAGAAAATATTCAAAAACTTTTGCACATGTGGAGAAACGTGCTGAATTGGATATTTCGTATCGTTTCGAAAGTATTGTTTACATTTTCGTGGATTTTATTCGTAACACTTTAAGACATTTTCATCACAGCCACATAAACCACCCAAACGATCTTCCTCTCTCTCTCTCTCTCTCTCTCTGCATGTGTGTGTGTGTGGGGCGGCAGACGTTCTACATTTTGTCTTCCTCTTTTATAAACAAATCTCGCGATTTTGATAATTTTTTGGTTTCTCTCGTCTTGTGTGTGTTTTTAGTGGCGTATCTGGCAGAGTAAACAAACAGATCAGGTCCGATCCGATTCGATCCGATCCGATTGATCAAATACGCGCCTCAGAATGAATCTGGACGAGGGAACACCACCACCAGCAGGAATGCAGCAGCCATTACAACCACCGCCAAAGCCACGACGATCCCGCCAGAAAACAAAAAATGTCCTGCACTATGAGTCCTTGCCCACGGCACCGCCGGCCATGTGCGGCCGCACCGAGGAGAACATCTTCCAGTTTCCCGCCGTGGCTTCGCGTGCCCGCAACCTCTCCGCCTCGCCCAACTTCGAGCGACGCGAGGCCAAGGATCTGCCGGTGTGCGAGCATGGAAAGCACACGTGCTTCTTCTGTCAGCCGTATCGCGCCGATCGCGGCACCATTGAGCCGCTTAAGACTCGCCTAAACACGGCCATCGAGGCCATGGACGAACTGACACGCACCTATGCGCTGCTGGAGGGATTCCTGGAGCAGAAGTTGGCCACCATCATCGACAACGAGGCGGGCGAGAAGGAGGCGGAGCAAGCAACGACAAGTGAGGCAGCTGAGCCCACGGACAGGCCAAGGCAGCCGCCCAGGACCAGCACCAACGACACGGAGTTTGAGCTGGAGCACTCGCTCACCTGGCTGGAGTCTCTGATGGGCACTGAGGTGGTGCCAACCTTCAAGCAGGGCAAATTCAAGCGGTAAGCATGGCACATTGGCTACCCCAAGAATAACCTAATAGATACCGATCCTACACAGCATACGGGAGCGCAGCAAATCCATGATGGACGACGACATCAATATGTTCATTAAAGGCGAGCGTCCAATGAAGAGTTTGTCTTCCTCGTCGCGTCCGTACCTGCTGCGACGCCAGAGCACCTACAGCGATAACAAGTCCAAGGTATCCAAGTGGACAAAAGTGAAGGCGGCATTCAAATGGGAGAGGGCCAACGTGCCACCCACTGGCGCGGCAGGAGCACCAGAGACCAGCGTCCTTGTGCCGCTGAACCACGAGGTGGAGAGGTAGCGTCATACACATATGCGGATCTTCACAGACTCGATTCAAGTTTCTTTTTCCCATTGCCACACTGCCGCAGATACCTCAAGGTTCCCATTGGCCAGGCAGGTGGCAGCAGCTCGGCGGACAGCGTTATAAGCTCCTCGTCTGGACACTTTATGAGCGATACGGGGGGCACACCCGGCACCATCAGTTCGGCCAGTTCCATGGATGATCTCGAGGCTGGCCTACGTCAAAACATTCGTAATTCCCTTGAACATTCTGTTTTAAAGACTCCTTTTAAAAGACTTCTCTGCTCTTTCAGGCCGCGACTCGTCCAAGAGCGACACACGCTGTGACTCGCGCACCTCCAACTTTGAGGTGGAGCTCCGCAAATCGGCCACCGATGAGCGCCTGGATAGTATTAAGGCCGCTGCCGCACTGCCCATCAAATCGTCATCCAACAAATCGCTTCGTCGCTCCAAAGCATTCTCTGACTTTGAGGTGCTGCCCGAGGATCATGTGGCGGAGATCAAGTCCACCAGCAGTCGACGCCAGAAGCTGCCGCCGAGTCCGCTGAACCTGAATCAGGTGTGCAGCGATCTGCCACAGCTGCATTCGCCGCTCAAGAGTCCCAAGGATATGGCAGGCAGTCAGACAATGCCACGCATGCGGCGTGTCCACTCTCCGGGCAACTCGTCGGTGCCCAGTAGTCCCTCCAGACACTCGGATTTCTTTGGTGAATTCGGTACGTAAAGCAGTCAAACAGTCAAGCTGCGCTGCTGTGCTCGGGACCTAGTACTAATCCCTGGCGTTTTGTTTGCAGAGAGCGAGGATCTGTCCAGCGGCGACTTCTCAGAGCCGACAACGCCGAATCGTAAGAATTTCCCAGGTACCGATGACGGCGAGGTATTTCAACATTATCAACTTCTCGTACTCAAACTAGATTCGGATTTTAAGCGAAAGCAACGCGAGTTTGAGCGCTCCAGCGCCAGTAATCGCAGTAGGAGCCCGATCCCCCCACACACTCCCCCAATCCAAATCGGAGACTCATACGCTTCCCCCCCTTTCAGGTGTCAAGCTGTGCAGTGGCGGCGGCGGCGGTGGCGGTGCTGGCGGTGGCAGTGGCAAGCGGAGCAGCGACGAGCATTCACCCACCCAGCTGTTGCACAGTGATCTCATGTCCACCGAGCAGCTGGAGCAGAATCTAACGCCGCAGTTCAAGAAGAAGCTGCACAAATGGCGGGCCAAGCAGCAGAGCTGTGCCAGCCCCTCCTACGGCACCACCGCGGAACCCTTGACGGCCAGTAGTCCCACGGCCAGGAGCCAGAGTGGCGAGGTGAAGCCCAAAATCGATTGGAATCTGTGGAGCATGGGGCAAATGAAGCTGGAGGGACAAGGCCTGAGTGCTCTGCCGGACCAAAAGGACTTGCCCGAAAAGTTTCAGAAAAAGTTGGGTGAGTCACCGCCAACGGACAACAGACCCCATCAACAGACACCCCATCCACTGAAAATCGTTTCCCTTAGAGCAATGGAACCGCTTGAAGTGCGCTCCTGGCGGTGGCATGAATTCGGACAACGATTCCCTTAAGCGCGGCTCCAAGCACAGTCACTCCACGTCCACATCCACACGTCGCGGATCGGACGACGATCGCTGGTACAAGCACAAGCCGCACGACAAGGAGAAGTGCGTCCAAATCTTCGAGTTACTTTCCCAGCAGTCGAACTGATATTGAACGCTTAACCCGCAGATTGTCGCGACTGAAGGCCATCGTGGCACCCGATCACACGTCCAAGAAGATCGAGGTGAAGACCTCCGACGGCGAGGTGATGAAATTTGAGGGCATCTCGAGAAAGTTTACGCGGAAACTCTACGAATGGGAGAAGGCCAGGGGCATTGGACCGGAGGCCTCCACTTTCGCGCTGCTCCATCCGGGCTACTGTCCCATCGACGTGCGACGCATCAACAAGGAGTGCAACAAAGGTTGGCTACACTCAACGGATGAGTTTACTTCACTAATGGTCAACCCGCTTTTAGCCACTTCAGATCACTCGCCCACCCTCAGTCGTTCCCTTTCGCTGGACAGTGTGGCGCCAAATTGCAACCAGGGGCCGGCCATTTCACAGCAGGCCTCATCGCTGTCGCTGAATGATGTCAACGATCATCTGAAGGAGATCGAGGACAGCACCGACGCCCTCACGGATCACGAGTGTAAGAGGTACGACGAGCCCGAGGCGGTCATGGTGGAGGTGGAAGAGCATATACATGACACCGCCTCGCCGCTGGTCACCGCCCACACGCTGGTAGAGCAGCAGACTCCGATCTACAAATATGAGGAAGTGCAGTGCAATGACTACGTGTAGGTGCCACCCATAACCCTTCAAGTATTCGCACCTTTAAAGGTTTTCTTTTGTCATTACCCCCACTAGCAACTCTCGACGCGTGCAGAGCTTTGAATCGCACACGAATCTGGCCCCACTGCTCGGTGCAGTGAAGCGTGCCGATGAGCTGTTTGGCCATCTAAAGAATGCCTCGCCGGATCTGCTGGAGCACAGCTCGATGCGGGAGTGCCAGGCCGTTGTATTAAGCATTCGCAGCATTTATCCGTACTACTCCAATAACCTGATGAAGGCGACCGTGCTGAATGCCATATCCGATGTTCAGAGCGAACTGGGACGCCTGTCAGAGCTGGTAAGTGGATCAGAACTTCCTGTATTAGTGGCAGTGTCACACATTCAGTTTTTCCCTTTTCTTTTGTTGTTATGTCAGAGCCAAAAGTCGCCACTGGACGAGGCTTGCTGTCAGGAGACAATGGAGGAGCGGACACAGGAATACCAGGAGGAGTTGCAGGGGCTGCTCGAATCGCTGCAGTGCCTCAAGCTGAGCATACGTAGGCATAACATTGATTCATTTCATATAGAACCTATTAAATTACGTTGTGTCCATTCGATGTTCCATTCCAGAGGGCGGCACAAATCGTTATCCACGCGACATTGTGCCGGACATTAACATCACGAGCGAGGATGGACAGCAGCTGGAGAGCAGCTCTGCGTATGCCACCTGCGACAATTCCAGTCGAGATCAATTGGCCCTCACGGATCACAGTGTGGCCTCGCCCATGGAACACGAGACTGAGACTAGCACCACAACGGGCACCCTTTGCCGGTCCAACATGGGCATGGCCAATGCCAATGCCAATGCAAATGCAAATGGCAGTGCCACTGCGAATGCAGCCAAGAAGAAGGTGGTGCGCCTGCGCAAGATGGGTTCGCGGCAAAACAGCAAGACGGAGAGCGACAGCAGCGATGCGGATACGCACAGCGTCCTGGAGACACCGCGTCGTCTGCGCCGCAAGAACTTTCGGGTGAAACAGCGTTCCTTGGACGATGATTTCCGGCTGGGTTCCTTCACGACAACGGCCCCCAATGAGGCAGACACCGCCAATGCCACAGGGGATGTTATCTACGGTTCACTCAAGGTGAAACCCGGTGAACTGATCGAACAGAGTCAATGCATTGCGCCTCCCCCAGCACCTGCTGCTGCTTCAGCTGCTGCTGCTGCAGCTGCAGCTCCACCCATAAAACTGGGCGGATTTGTGCCACCTCCGCTGCCGGAGCCCCATGCCCGTACATACAATGCCAATGTGTTTGTGAAGACCAAGCGAAAGATCTTCACCACCATTGTGGAGCCCAGCGCCTCCGAGGGCATTGCACTCATCGAAAAGGAGCTGGACAGCCCCACGCACAGCGTCGAGGAAAAATCCGAGAGGTCAGAGAGAGCCAAGAACCAGCCACGGCCCCTCAATCTGTACAAATCCATCAGCCTGGAACGCCTGTCGCCACTCCGCACCAAAGTGGAGCCGCTGCGCAAGTGCCAGAGCAGCGAGGGATTGCGGCGGGGATCACTACTGGTCCGTCCACCGCTGGCCAGCGACAGCATAAAGAGGCTGGCACAGCTGCCGACCAGGCAGATGCCGATGCCAATGCAGCTGGCCAATCCGCCCGTGCCGCCGCGAAAGGCGCATCTCTACAAGAAGAACTCGCTGCACAAGTCGCACAGCGCCACCGTCAGCAACAACATTGAGCACAAGATCGCCAAGACGAGCTCCGGTTCGACCTTCTCCAAGGTTCACCCGCCACTGACGCTGCCCAACCGGGAGGACAACACGCTGCCCCGCATTCAGCGCAAGCTGGAGGGCAAGACCACCCCTTCGCTGACCCCCACCAAGGCCAAGCACTTTGAGTTCCCCCCACCACAGCTAGTGCTGCCCGAGCGTCCGGCCACGCCCCTCTCGGAGCGGGCCATTCGGCTGCAGCTGGCAAAGGCGCAGTTCCTGCAGAGTGCGCCGGTAACGCCACGTCAGGAACCTCCCACACCCACAGCCGGTGGCGATGCGTCGTCGCCGCCGCTCCACAAGAGCGTCAGTGCTGGCAGCATTCGAGGAGGCACTGAAGCAGCTGCCAGAGCAGTGGGGCCACAGCAGCCGCAGCAGCAGCAGCCGCAGCAGTACCAACAGGATGTATCCACCGATCAGGAGAGTGCCGGCACCTCCAGTGCCTACGAGAGTCTGCCGCGTACCGTCAGCCGGAGTGCAAAGATCTCCAGCAAACTTGGCTTCGCCACACTCACCTCCAAGCTGCGGCGCGGCGGCAAGAAGCCGCCCAAGGAATCGTCTGCATCCCCCTCAACCAGTGGCAGCGCCCTCTCAGCGCTGTGTCGCCAAACGTTGATGGCCGACGTGATTGTCATACCCCAGGCCTATGGGTCGGAGAAACCACCGCCCAGTCCCACTGCCAGGAATGTGCACAAGTCGCAGAGCACTCCGCAGGCGGTCACGCCCCAGATCAATCTGGATGGATTGAACAAGTCCCTGAGCGAGCAGTATGTACGCCAGCTCAAGGAGAGCGATGTCTAGGTCTAGTCAGAGCAGTCACGAATGACGAGTCAGATGTCCAGAATCTACATAATCTAGTCATACACATATCGGGAGAGTACACATACTCGCATCCAGTGAAAGAGTCATTGCTAGTCTAGTCGGGAGTAACCCCACACTGTTACTCCTCTGAAGCATTAAAGATCAATGATCCAGTTACCCAATGAACCAAGAAACAATCGCACTCCCTCTGGCATTTGTTCGCACTATATACTTTAATCATATCGATCGTTGTCGCGCATTATCAATCTCAAGTTTAATGCCGATTAGCCATAATTGGCTTATCGCACGAGCCACATTCGCTTTGCACCGCCACTACCTGTGATCCACATAGTCATCCACATTGTCCCGGTCTTCATCATCGGCATCATCCTCATCCACATCATTCTCGTAGGGTATTTCTGGGGGCTCGGCGCCTGTGTTCCAATAGCGATCCTCCTCCGGCAGGGTAAACTCGTAGCTCGGCTTGTCCTTGTCCACGTAAACGATGCAGGCGGTCAGGTTCTGTGCCGTCTCGACCATCTGTGGAATGCTATTGACAAACTCCACGCCGCACTGGGCCGACTTGAGGGCTGCGCCTGGCAGCTCGTTGTTCAGCTTGCCATAGCCCTCGATGCCAACGGCTATGATATCGTGGACACGACGAATCGCACTCAGGGCGTTGATGGTGCCCGAGAGGATCTTGCCCGTGGTGGTCTGCTTGGCGGCAATCTTCTTGTAGATCTTCACCAGGCTACGGACGTTCTTGCGGATCTCCTGTACGGAGGCCACCGTCTCGTGCTGGATGCGCAGCACCAGACCCGTGGTGTAGCTGTAGCAGTCGACGCCATCGCTGACGGCCTGCAGGGCCACCTGGAACTGCGGCACATGCGAGTAGCTGCAGTATGCGGCCATCTCGGCCATGCCCCAGTACTTGGACATGAATCCCAGGCCGCCAAGGGCAGCCGTGACAATCTTTGGCTTGTTAATGCTCAGCAAAATGGTCTCCAGCTCAATGGCGCTCTCCACCAGATCATCGATCCCCTCCTGTGCCTCGTCGATCACATCCTGTAAGATGTCCCGCAGATCCTCAAACTCCGCTTGCTGCTCCTTGGTCATGTCCGGACTGGGCTCTCCAATCAGCTCCTCCACCGTGGGCAGCGATGTGTCGTAGACAACCCTCGGCTTCTCATCCACATAGATCGAGAACTGACTGCGCAGCGCGTCGAATGCCTGGAGGTAGCTGCCATCCACCTGGGGCTCGGCCAGCGCCTCGTTTTGAGCACTGCCATCACCTTGCTGTAGCTTCAGACTGTACAGATAGTCGATTTGGGCTTGGAGCTCGCCGTAGAGGGGACGCAGAGCCGCGAGCTCAGTGCTGGACAGCTGCAAGTCCTTCTGCTGCTGCGCCAGCAGATTTTCCAGCTCCTGGTGGGCACTCGCGACGGCACACAAGAGCACGAAGGAGCTCAGCCAGAGCAGGGATACTTTAGGCAACATTTTGACCGGCCAAGCGGTGAAATCCAACTGTGGAGCAGTGGTCAGATCAGCTATCGCTATCGCCAGAACTACGAGTACAGCTCGTAAAAATACCATCTTAAGTGCTGATTGGAGACCGCTAATCGCATCTTATCTCATTCCTAACGCTATATATAACCCCTGCATAGGGGCAATGTTTCAGTAAACAATTCGGCAAGAGCTTAGCCAGAGAGAGAGAGAGCGAAAGTTCTGGCTCTTGATGGCTATCGTTTGCAGCATCGTTTATTTTTCGCTACTCCATGACACAGGTCTCAATGCCGGCATAGACCGCATCGAACTGCATCTTCAGCTGGTGATAGGCACTGCAACTGGGTGTGTCCAGCTCCTCCAGCGACATCTCCAGCAGAATGTCCCAGCATAGCTCCAGACTAGAGGCCAGGCGCTGATTGATGCCTCCGATGCCGGCCACAGTGCACAGCAGCACGCCGGCATGGTTGAAGTTCGACTGCTTCAGCTGCCACACCTGACAGATCTTGGCCAGATCCGCGATCTTCTGTGCGGCCACATTCAGGAAGCTGGCCTCCTCCACCACCTCCTGCTCGAAGTGCGCCATTACGTTGTCCAGCGACTGTCGGCAGATGCTGTACTTGTCGATGAGTTCCCGATTGAAATGCGCCACTTCGCGCTCGTGCTGCTTGAAGCAGGCGCCCCACTCCACGGTGTATTGGTGGTCAAAGAACTCCTCCAGCCGGGCGCTCACTTGCCGCTGATGCGTGTCCAGGGTGTCCTTGGCCTGCTGCACTTGCTCGGCCTGTGCATAAATCGCCTGGTTCGTGTCATTCCACAGCTGATCGGCCCTAAATCTTTGCTCGGCTATCAGTAGCTTCGTGGACTCATAGAGCGGCCCCTCCTCGTACCAAATCCGTCTGCCCTCACTCTCCGCCTGTAAGGGTATTACCTGTTGAAATGCGTTTTATTCTTATTCTTAGTATTCCAAGCATTACCCAAAGAAAGCTCAGAAGCAGCAGTGTCCTCCCAGCCAACCTCATCTTGAAACTGATGCACGAAAACAGCTAAAAGATACGTGGTATCATTGGGTATCTTTGCAGTTCAGTTGAAGGTCTCTCCACTATGTGAAAGTGAATGTGATTCGGTAAAGTTACAGGTGGTTACGTGGAAAACGCGCTAGGAAAAACCATATGGGGGGGAACTATCACATGCGTACAAATGTATTTCACAAGAAAAACCATCTACGATTTCCCCTCTAAGTGGAGTGCAAAGTGTACAGAAGTATCCACTAGTAAGTATCCAAAAAAGAGAGATGACAGTATCTTTCATCAAGCTAATGTTCCGTTGTACAGCCTTATCGCTGCAGATTCCAATGTGAATGTCAAGTGAATGGCAGGGGAAAACATTTATGATGTGTCAGCCTATTGGAATACTGTCCATGCAAGAGCCATCCATTCCTGTAAGGAAATGCTTTAAAAAAATATATAAAAAAGTTCCCACAACTTGTTTTCTTTGGCATTAAAGTAGTATAATATAGTGGTTCGATGTGACTGAATTACGACTAATTTATAATATAAATCCATGTGTTAATCTTGTTGAAATTGCCTTTAACTTGTTGGCACGGTAAACAAACATAAGGACATGGCTTTAAAGATGCTTTACAATATTCTGAACCATTCCAATTCACCCAAAAAATATATCAAAGTGTCGTACAATTATGTTAGGCACCTTATGCCTGCGAGAGGGTATCGCTTCATTAGGCAAATGGCAAATGCCTGTTCAGTTGTCCAAAATATTGCCTGCCCTGCCTTATCGCTGTCGATTCCAATATGAACGACTATATATACCAAGGAAATCAAGGGGGCCAGAAACAATAGAACGAAAACATTATGACGAATACCATTGGAATACTTTGTCTGCTCCTAGGTTTGACTGTGAGTAAAAGTCACTCACTGACGATATACCGAGTCAACATTAAATCACAACACTTTTAGTCGATCCATGCCGAGACAGTGGTGCTCAATGAAACCCACACGGAGAGCGAGACGACGGAGTACGGACCCATCACCATGGTGGTGAACAATCTGGCCGAGATCGCCATCAATGTGAGCGACGAGACGACCGGCCAACTGCAGGCCAAATTGGAGCGCACAGTGCAGGATATTACTGGCAATCTGGAGGTACTGACCGCCGATGCCATGGCCCAGCTGAGCGATGCCATATTCGAGACCAACCAGCTGCTGGTGGAAAATCCCAGCTGCAATCCGGGCTGGAATCTGGACGAGTTCACGGTCAACATCACGAATCAGTTGGGCGCCTGCACTTTGGGATTGGGCAGCCTGGTCGATAGCTTCCGGCAGGAAGGCAAGCAGTCGCTTGCCAATGTGCAAGAATTTGTGCAGCAGATCGCCCAGTTGCCGTCCCTCTGCCAGCTGCTGGGTCAATCAACGGAGCTGGCTCCACTCAATCCGCTGGGATTTGCCGGCGGCAACAACTGCTTCATCAACGGCATGGTGCAGATCAACCAGGGCATGGCCCAGTCGCTGCACAATGCCTCCCTGCTCCTGGTGCGCATGCGACAGCTATCGGAGGAGCAAGTGGCGCAGGCGCAACAGTGCAGCAACTCAGTGGTCGAAGGGATGCGTCAGTTCCTCAGCGACGAGCGGGCAAATTGTGAATAGCTTTGAATAGCAAATGTATTCGAGTTTTTTGGCTATAAGGAAATATAAAAGGGGAAATTTATGCACCCACAGGAGGGCCATATCCTGCTCACATAATCGAATTCGTATTCATGACATTTATTTGACAACTTTTTGATTGATTTTACAGCTGCTGCGCAGGTCCACAAGATCCCAAACCCGATGTATGTATTGCATCTGCATATGCTCTCCGATATGCATATGCTTTGTGTTTGTGTTTGTTGTTGTTGTTGGATAATTTTGCGGCTAGTCGCAGGTTAAGTTCACTTTTCAAACTCGCATGCATACTAATTGGTCAGGTCATGCCATTGTTCGACTGACCAATTGCCCAATGGACTTGCCAACGACACGTGGCAGCCACACGATGATGCGAGCAAGCCCAACGGACGAGCAAGCAGCCAACGACTCGAGCAACAGCTGGCCATGCCATAGAAAGAGATACAACAAATATACACAGGGATGAAGAGAGGTTGGTTGTCGCTCAGAAACTGTCTGCCAGTTCCAGTTGCATTTCCCTTAGCCCCTGTTCCTCTGCTTCCGCAGTGAGCCAAATTATTTTGACCTGCCCTTCGCACACTGAGCCGAATTTAGCCAGAAACTGCATGGCCTGCATGTGAGCCAAGAAGCACTCACTCCGAATTGTTTACAGTGCAGTTGTCTACGACTCTTTTTGTTTCGGCTCTTTGCCGCAATTTCCCTAAGAGTCTGAATTTTATCTTATTTTTACTGCTTGTAACAGTTGTTGCTGATGGTCATAATGATCATCATGATGATGATGATCCCTGCTGCTGTTGCACAAATTCTGTGATACTCCAACATCTGTTGGATCTGCTAGATCTCTGACGGAGCCTTTGGTGACGCTAAGCGCGTGACTCTTGTCTATTGGAGACCACAGACATAGACGTAGACACGAATAAGAGAATTCCTCTATAACGCTGAGCTTTTTGGATTTTTCCACTTTTACCACAAATCTAATATACCCCTTAACTCTTCGAATACGGGTATAAAAAACCTTAATAGATAAGAGCGGCGAATCTTCCATATTAGTTTTTAGCAATTACTTGTATTTTCCTAGGAAATGGATGACCTGGATGACCAATTCTTGATTCACCCACCTGTTGAAACGCTTATAAGAGCTTTTCGAGAGCTTTTAGCCGGAGCAAATGGAATGAATAAATATTTTTATTTATAATTAATATATTTACATTAATATCTATGTTTTTTTATTTATAATTAATATATTTACATTAATATCTATGGGTAACAGTCACAAATAGCAATGCTCACTTGAAACGACTATTTAAGACTTCCAAATTAAGAATTTCCCCAACATTTTAATAATACGAATACAATAACTTTTACGTGGAGACACACATTGGCACATTCCATGGCGCGGTGGAATGATTCTATTAAAATTGCCTGAATGGAACTTTGCCTAACCAAAAGAGACACGCTCCTTTGCATTGTGCGCTCAGAGCACTGACTCACTGATGATCATGATGATGATGATCCCTGCTGCTGTTGTTGCACAAATTCTGTGATACTCCAACATCTGCTGGATCTGCTAGATCTCTAAGCGCGCGACTCTAGAGTATTGGAGACCACAGACGTAGACTCGAATAAGAGAGATAAAAGCTCAAGTGTAAGCATAAACAATCCGATGTTGTCCTCTATAATGCTGAGCTTTCTGATTTTTGACTGATTGAAGGCAAAAGATATTTGAGACAATTTGAGACGTTGGGGAGGGGGAGGAGTGTGCAATAACTCTTCCATTGTTCGTGACCAATGCCCAAATCAATATTTATTTTTAGAAGAAAATGCACATAAATGCTTTTATTTGTAGCGAAAACTTTTAAAAATTCAATTACATTGCCAAGGGTGCAGAGAGGTTCAGTCTACGATGGTATAACCCAGCTGCTCGGTGGCAAACGATTTGAGCACGTTAAGTGCAACATCTTGTACACGTCCATTACTCATTATTAGAGCCCCAATACTTAGCACATCCGAGTAGCCAACATCGGCCACAGCATTGAACACATGCTGCTCCAGTTCAGCCCTCTGACTTTCCGTCAAATCTTCCAGAATAATTTCACGCAATGACTTGAATTTTCCTACGAAAAAAATTACAATACATAAGTCCACTTGCACGTTTGAAAGTGTTTCATAACTTCGCACTCACCTTCGGTCACTGCATAGGCTGCGAGGCTACCAATTGCGCCGCCCAGAGATAGGCCTCGGGCTCCTCCCAAGAGCCCGCCCAGCAAAGCCCCAGCTGCACAAATAGCCGCTCCCTTCATCGACTCTTTGAATGTCACTTGAATGTTTCTATGTTCAGCCAAAATAGCCAAGGCCTTTATTATCTCCCCCGTATCGATGGGCATTGTGTTGGTCTTTGCTGCTCAATAACGCTCTGGAAACTGATGCGAATCTGCCCGGCTGCAAATACTGGGGGACACTTCAGCCAGAGATGAGCAATTCTTGATGTGGAGCCAACTATCGAAACGCTTACAAGAGCTTTTCGAGAGCTTTTACCCGGAACAAATGGAATCAATGTAGTTTCCAGAATTTATTTTACTCGAAATGTAGAATTATTTTCAGTTGCGTTGACATATTTTACTCAATATTTATGGGGGCACCAGTCAAAAATAGCCATTGCCCAGATACGAATTGCAAATTATGAATTTCCCCTGTTTGGGAACGACATTGTATTAATACGAATATAATAACTTTTACCTTGAGACACATTGGCACATTCATTGGCTCGGTGGAATGATTCTATACAAATCGCCGGTGTGTCTTTGGGCTTCTTATCACGTGTCTAGATCGCGTTTAAAAATCGCTGCCCGATTGTCTTTAATTTTGATTGATGTGGCTTTAATTGCGTCGTAGGTTCGTTCCCCAAAAAAAAAAAAAATGCTACCGAAGAGCAAATTTCGGATAACTGTAACTAGACGCAGCGGCGGTGCCTTATGTCGGTTCGGCAATTCCCGTAGGCCACGGCCTGGATATGTATCTAGCCAGTTGGATGGATCTGCCTGCCTGAGTGCCAGCCAACTGGCGCGCCTTTGCACACACAATAAGGAATTATCATTATTATTATTATTTGCTGTCTTGCAGGACAAGAAGGAGAAGAGCCGCGTGGCGTGCGAGTGAAAGCCAGCGAAAAAGGACACAACTCGGGGCTGTTTGACTGACTGGCGGCCAAAGCGAGATAGATAGACTCTCTGCAAGCCAAAGTGCAACATATGCTACTATGTTCTCCTGCTGCTGCTGCTGCTGCTGCTGCTGTTGCTCCTGGTATCCGCTCTGGCTGAGACTAAGACTCAGAACAAACGTGCGGCGCACGCCGTCATCTGGTGCCACTTTTGACTTCGAAAATTGGATTGCCTACGCTCGCTCGCTTGGGTCCGCTCCTCCGCTTCCTACTCCTTCCTCTTGCTCTTCCTCCTTCAGGTTGTACATACATACATATGTATGTATTACTTGTGTGTATATTTTTTGTATAGATGTTTCTTTTACGGTTGGGTTTTTTTTCAGGTCCATGCCCGCTGCTGCAGTGTTACTGTTTGACTTCCGATAAGCACGAGTGCAGGAGCGAAAGAGCAGACACCAGAAACGGCAACAGCAGGATAAACCGCTTAAAGGACATGGCCATAAGCACAGCCAGTCGGAGCCCCCAAAAACGATCGCTGCCAAAGGGTTGTGGCTGCCTGCCGCAACCTGGGGAAGTGAGGTGTGAGGCCGACAAGGATACACAGACGGAGCTCGGCTTACAAATCCCAATTGAGCCCCGAAATCGCGCGCATGCCTGCCAAATGAACACGTGTGCCAGCCACCAGTACCAGCACCAGCACCAGCACCAGGACCAGAACCCGAACAGATCGGTGCGTCAGCTGGCCAGCCCCGAATATCCCCAGACATAATAATTGGTTTGCCTATGAAACTGCTAGAAGAATCCTCTGATACACAAATGGCTGTCTAAGGGTTGAGATGAAATTTTAAGCAATGGATACAGGAAAACATTAAACATTAAATATTTTATGTATGAAAAGTACGATAGATTTTGGGCTAATAACACTAACAAATTGCAACAAAATGAATCTAATGGAATACTTAGCACAGAACGATAATTAAGTTGTAGGTCTAGTTGAGTAGATCACATCCGCATACTTCAAAATTGCAATATACTCCCAAACTCTTTTAAAAACAAAATAAAAGTCGGGGCAATAAATATAAAATAATTTTTACACGGCATCTATAGCGCCAATATCCAACAACATTAATAGGTTACAAATAAAAATGTGTGACCTTTTATGGGATTATTTATTAGTGTCTATACAATGCACAGTGGGCGGAAATGCCGTTTTTTTTGGCATTAACCTCCACGGTAAAGCTAGAATGTTGAAACTTGGCATATTGGCTGTTCATATTATTGGTCAATTTCGAATTAATTTTCTGACCGATGCGACCACGCCTTCTCCTCCTCCAACATTTAAAAAATGCATAGCTTGGAAATATGTTGGAATTCTTTTCAATACAAATTGCTCGTATGTTTTTGTATTGTTGCTTGGAAAACGAATTTTCAATAATAAGGGCTAAGGCCTCATCAGCTGACAACATAATGGGAATTTTATGTGAAAGTTGTTCCCTTAGCTTTGATTTGTTAGCAGTCTTTAAGGTTTCATTAAGAATATGTGACGTGTCTTTATCCCTAGATTTCTTAGCAGACATGGCAGCTGCGTGAATAAAGAGAGCTGTTGACTTTTCTTGAGAAAGCTCCGAAGCCAATTTTCGTTTTAAACGCGATCCTCCTTCTTCATAAGCTAGAAACGGCCGTCCACCTTTATCCTTGTCCCTTTTAATGGAAAATGATATTTCTGATTTTGTTTGTTTAAATCGCTCAACATGTCTGTTTGCTTTATTATTATTAGTTATTATTAGTTATTATTAGTTTCTTATTAGTTTGGGCAATGAAGTTTTTTATTTTTATTTTGATGTCATTTAGAGCAGTCTCTGGAAGAGAATCATCATTTATTTGTTGGCACATCCAGTCAAAGCTTATGCTGCGCCGATTGCTCAACCAAATTTCCAGCAAATCGCCTCGACGAATATTGACCTTGTCTGGATACATGAAAATAATTCGAAATTGCGCAAATATGCGCTTAAGTTGTTAACTCTATTTAAATATACATACAATAACACACACTACAACATAAACAATATGACCAACCCCGCGCAATCTTACTACTTGTACTCCAACAAAGATTACTATTTTGAGGTTAGGTTAGAAATAAAACATCTGCCAACAAAAGCATTAAAATCAGAATGGACATTTATTTAAAGCGAGTAATAATAAAATCATGATAATATTACATCTTAATTTTGGGGGTTAATGCCAAAAAAAAGGCATTTCCGCCCACTGTGCAATGGCTATATCTGAAGATATATCAAGCCAAAGTTTAAGTTTTCAAAAATTGTTTATGTTCTTTTCTTTTTTAATAATTGTGTGCGGAAAATTGTGAATGACAAAGGTACAAACGTGTTATATTTTTTATATTTTTTACTTTTTTTTTGTCTTGAGCAAAGAGACAATTTACACAATTTTTATAGAAAATTTAACTCCGATTTCATTTTCGGTTTAATACAAAAAAAAAAGACTTGCATATTATAATAAATCGTTTCGATTAACAAATTACCCAACACAAGGCGTACATAATTTTGAAATCGTTTTTCCAATTGCCGTAGCCAAAAGCAACGAAAACAAAAAAGTTCATTTACATTAAATTCCAATATCCTTTAGAAAAGAGGTTCCCAAATAAATAATGGAACTTTTGGTGGTGCGGAGACAAATGTAAAATTTTCCAGAGCGCGCAATTCAATTAGAGAGTGCTCGCCGCAAAGCCTTGGAGCACAAAAAAATTAAGCAATAAAATTATTTATGGTTCACGCAAATTCAATGCGCTGACCAGCATCAAAAGGAGCCACAGGGAGATGTGCCGCAAGGACTCGCCGGGAGCTGCAGAAATAGAGCAATAGCCATGAATCAGGGCACAGCGAAGGCGAAGGGCAATAAAATGGGTAGGAATGGGTTCCAAGGATCTGGGACTAGGACGATTTGGATCGGTGTGGTGTGTAGGCCTTCGTTTTCGTTTTCAGTTTCATTTCATTTTCGTGTCATAATGTGTTGTAAGTAGTTGCCTTTGTTTCGTTGGCCAACACACAAAGGACTTGCCATTGTTCTATTGTCTGCTGAAGGACCTGTCCTGCGCCTGGGAACACCCGGGAGGTTCTCAGCATAGGAATCAGCATTCAGCATCATCGCTGCTGCTGCTGCTGCTGTATCAGTTGCTGCGACCACAATTTGACTCTTCTGACCACCAACATAAAATGTTGACAGGCGGAACACGCCTCTAAAATATTGTGCGAAGCGAGTCCTGTGCGGTCTCCCTACCCCATACCCCGTACACAGCACATGCACCTCTACCCATAGCTTCCCTGAACCGCCTTCGGATCGGATCGGACTGGACTCTACAGGGCTATTGGGCAAATCAATTGATTGCCTTTTGACAGTTATGAGCTGATCACATTGCTATCTTGATTGCCTACCCCGTAGCCGCCAGGAATTTATTGTTATTGACATTTTAGTCGGATGGAATCACACGGATTATATCTACTAATTGCATGTCGGACAAGATCCGATGCCTGTGATCCCTTTTGTCGGCATTAAGCGGCGCTCCTTGATCACAAATATTTTATTAGCCGTCACTCAAAGTCTGATGAAGTCTTGGTGTGGATTTTCTAAGAAGATTCTGTTCGGAAATTGTGCCAGGGGATTTGTTATATAAAGTATTTGCATTGAATCTCTGCTTTAATGGATTATCAAACAGATCACAGTTCTTTTTGCAGTCCAAACTTTGACTGAAATCCGCTCGTAATCCTTACCAAAACTCCCTCCAGCTCGAGCGATCATCGCCCGTGCGAATATTGTGTTCAAGAAGCCCCACTTTCACGATCGTTTAAACACAAATCGGCTGGAAAATCACGGCTTGCTCAACTCAACTCAACCCGACTTGGAGCCAAGTCAACCCCTGGCCGAAGGTGATAAAATTTCGCACATTAATACTTAATTACTTGAATAATTGGGGCCAAGGGATTAAGTTCACACTCACTCCAAGTCGCGACAGACAGTCCAAAAAAAAAAAAGTCCAAAGTCAAGTCAATGCAGGTGGTAGCCACAAAACCAAAGCCACAGCTCAAAACAAAACAAAACGAAAGAAAAAAAACCGAGTCCGAAAGACGTTTCAGGACGTTCCCTTGGCAGTGGGCAAAAGATGAAGTGATGCCAACGCCACCGACGTCGTTGACATTAAATTGGATAGGATGGGATGGGATGGGACGGTCGTCTGTCCAGTCCAGTCCTGTTCTCTTGTGTACCCTCCAGTTGTCCAGTTGTCCATGTTGCTGTCTGCTGAGCCGGGCTTAAGCACAAAATACGAGGGCACCCTGGTCGCATTTTTCACACGAAATCCTGATTAATAAATATATAAGTTCCAAAATATTACTGATAATTTGAAAAGTCGTCAACCTGAGCGTACATTTTGGCAGAGAAGGGTCGAGAGAGGGAGGCACGGATCTCATGTGGAGTCTGTGCAAGGCTCCGGTGCCCAATTACAAGCAAATGAGCTGGAAAACTGTATCAAATGACCCAATGTCAATACAAAATTACAGACAACGGGCAGGACCATCCATGCCCAGAGGCAGACGAGAGGAGAGAAGAATCTTTTGTACAAAAATCGCAGTCCAGACCAAAATATTCAGACTGGTCTCCGTCTCCCCCTGCTCTCGTATCGCCCAGAGAGAGAGAGAGAAGAGAGAGATCTTCGCATCTTAACGCGACAAAGCGATGGGCGATGGCTTGCGTGTGGCAATTTCAGTTAAAACATACAGCCAAAAAGGATTTTTGGGGGGTTCTTAAACGATGAATACTCTATAGACGAAGATGCTGCATGGGGCCCCTACAGCAGATAACTTTCTACAGCATTGTTTATTATTTTTATTTGAATTATTAAATGAGGAATTCTATCATAACACACAAAACATCATAGGTTTTCCTTCCACAAACATAATACCAAAAGAGAAACCACAGGATCGATCAACATTCATTGGTAGAGCATATTGAATTCGTTGGACAATCATCTCCTGGGTGTTTTTTTGTAGCTCTGCTATCTTTTTGGTAGCATCTTTACGTTTTTGTTGTGTGTTAATTTGATGCCTCGCCAAAAAATTGTCAAAACCATCCACAAAGACTTTGATTTTGATGCACTTTCACTGGCCGCCGCCCTGTCCTGTCCTGCCTGTCCATCTTCGATGATTTGCTGGCTGCAGCGTGAGATACTGAGAACTTTTGGTATGGATTTGGGTTTGGGTTCTCTCGGCTTTTGTAGGTGGCCCACCTACTTGGCAGAGTCAGAGTCTCTTGCTGTGGATGGGGGCAGAGGCAAAGGCCGAAAACCGAAAGTCACTCAACTGTGCCGATGATGCGTCTCTGTGTGGCTAATTGAGTTACCCAGAGATCTTGCAGAGCAGCAGAGAGCAGCAGAGAGCAGAGCAGAGCAGAGCAGAGCCCGTTGTACCGTTGGCCGTGCGAATTATTTGTCAAACGGTTAACGGTGAAATCCGTTAGTGCTCCCGATGATGATGATGATGATGATTATCGGTAATCGGATCCTGCTCTGATTGATGGCTGATGGATGGGATGGGATGGGATGGAAGATGCATAGCAAATCGTTTGACTAATTGCCGCTACGCTCTTGCCCTTTGGCCCAAAACTTCCCTAAACAAACGGTGGGTGACCTTTAATAGAGTCCTTCCGCTACTTTCACTCCCTCACTCTCGCGTAGATCCGCCCAGTCAGGTAATTTCCCTTCTGCGGGACCGCACACAATGCCTGGAAGTGGAAGTGAGACTGGGACTGAGACTGAGACTGGTCCTGGAACTGTGCAGGGGCGTGGCTGGCGTGATTTGGTGTCGCTAATTACAGACTTTTGGGCATTTGTACGCTCTGCGTTTTATGACTTAATAATTGCGCTCATTTGGCCTGGGACTTTGAGTTTGGCTAAAATCGAAACCGAGGCCCACACAGCCATCAATGCACACGCGACTTGAGTTGGGGGAAAGAAAGGCTCCGACGACTATCCATGATGATCCCAGCAGAGGCCAGCAGGACTAGGCATCAATCACAAAACCTCGGATATCATTTTTTGGGTTGCCGGAGTCTTGCGCAACAATTAAAGGATCAGCGCAAAATGTTCACACAACAATGCCAAAACACACATCGGCGGAAACGGAAACTGCACTCTGCACTTGAAGTTGAAGGCGCAACCAAATAGGCAGAAAAGATACAAAAATAATACTTGTCTTGTGGTTAGATTCTTTCAAAAAAAATTGTTGGAAAATGTGCCCAAAAAGGCATGAGAAAATGTTTTGTAACCAAAAGGAAATGGCATGAAAAAAAAAAAGGAAAACAGATACAAATAACTTGAAAACGATGGAAAAACCGCAATTTAAAATTGTTCAGAGGTTCAGAGAGTACAATCGATAGCTGGCGACTACCTGTAGAAAAATTTTTGTATGCAAGCCAACCATTAGTTTTGGAACTGAAAACAATATTTAATAGGATAAACAAAGTTGCAGTTAAAAATGCATTCATTGACCAAAGGAAACTTAAAATAAAAACGAACATCTTCAGTGCAAGAAAGCGAAAACCATGCTGTCGTTTTTGTGCCTCAGACCGAAAACCTCTCCAAGCCAAAGCGATCCAGACCGATCCGATCCTGCCCCATGGCGACACTAACAAGAAGTGACAAATTGATGGTGTTAAAGCTCATTAACTTATTTAACGCAGATACAGATGCAGATGCATATGGAGATGGAGATACACTTACGAGCCCTACTATGCTCAGCAAACTACTTATGCTTTATTGGCCACGGAGAGATACTATACAAAATGCACAGGACCAACCTCAAGAACTTCAAAATAAAGCTCGCCAATTATCGACATGACAAATTTTGTGAGCATTCATACGTGCCCCAGCCGGCTGCCTGTCGATCCTCCACAAAATGTGCACCCAAAGCCAAGCCAAGCCGAACCGAACCCCAAAGCCCGAACCACAACCGAAACGAAACGGACATCGAATGCATAATAATACGTGTTAATAATGCTCAGGCAAGCTGTCTATAAATTGACAAAGACATGCGAGGCAACTTTGAGACTTTTGCTCCCACCACCACTCCACTCCACACTCCACTCCACTCCTGCTGTTTCTTCAGCTCCTGCTTCTGCTTCTGCCCCTGCTCCTGCTGCTCTTCTTCTGATTCTGCTTCTGCTGCTGCTCCTGCTCCTGCTCCTGCTGCGGTTGTTGGCGGCGGCATTGCCAAAAGCTGACTGGGGTCGAGATCCCATTCATGAATTCTAACTAATTGTATTGGCAGGCAGTTGCATTTTGGTAGCTGGATTCGAATCTGTGCAGCTGCATGCAGGTGGCAGTGTCAGTGGCACTGGCAGGGAGATATGTATTCACGTAGCTCGGTTGCACAAAGCTCCCAACGAACGGCAGGAAGAGTCGAATTCGAGTCGCATCTTTTGTTGTTGTGTGTGTGTCTGTGTGTCGGGGACGGGGGCATGGGACCCAAACAATTTGTGTAATTGACAAATTGACGGCAACGCTTTGTGCGGAAGCGTTCGAAGTCGTAAATTGTCGCTAACAAGAGCGAGGCGACGGCGACGGCGATCAGGTATCACGGCAGGATATCGAGGGTATCCGCATACAAATAGTTATAATTGCCCAGGGGCCCTGGGGAGACGCCCGCACCTCGCGACCACTAAATTAAGTCATTAACAATTTAACGAAGCTGCCCTGTCGATGGCGGTGCCGCCAGTGCCTGTGCCGCCTCAACTAATTATGTGAATTTCGTTTTGATTATGAGGTCCGAAATGCCTAAATCCCCGGGTAAAGCCAATATCCAACGGGGGCCCAAAAAGCTTTGCCGCGAAATGATTTTATAAAACAAACAGAAACAGCCCACGAAATCCCCATCCTCTGCCCTGCCCTGCCCTGCCCTGCCATGACCTGCCCAGCCCACTGGCCTGACCCTCGTCTGCCGCCTACAAGCGCTCCAATTCCCATACCATAGTATGTGATCCTGGGGAGCGAGCGGAAAAGGTAGTCGATCGTCAGCAGTCGCGCTATCAACAAATTGGTTTTGGATCTTCCGAATGATTGACTGACTGACTGACTGACGGACTGGCTGTCGTACCGGGTGCTGCTCTGCTTTCTGCTGAATGAATCGCCTGGCTTTTGGGGCTTAAGACTTGGCTTAGCTGCCTCTTGGCTCCCCCCTCTGTTTGGCATCGGTTTATCCGCCAGCAACGATCATCGATCGAAGAGTTCGCTTTAAACGATTTGTGAGTGGCGGCGCTTGATTTTCGGGACTTGCATGCGACCTGCGACTCCTGCGACTCCTGCACTCCTGCGACTCCTGCTGAAAGCAGATCATCCCAACACTTAACTTAATTTGGCAGCTACACTCTGGCGCGCCGTGCCGTGTAATTATTCTGGGGATCGCTGACGCTGTATGGGACGGATGGGACGTATCGGACGTATCGTTCGCGTATTTGTTTTGGGCAGGCCCTAATTTTGTCGAACTGTCTACAAATTGATCGCGAAGCGCCAAATCGATCACCTTACCCCATATAATAAAGTTTAATTCAATAGGCGCGACTGTGTGAGAATTGATGCCCCCGGGCAGATAAGCGTGCAGGAGGGAAGTCGAGTCTGCAGAGGATCAAAACAAATGCTGAAAAGCGGAACGAGCATCAAATATGATCGACTGGCGACTTACCCTTCAGGATTATGTTTCTATTAATCTATTTTAGTTGCAGTTCTTTGGTACTTTTTCTTGGTTTTATTTGAATTGAATTATTTATATTGATCTACGGATCGATCCTTCCTTTTTCTTTCCCAGAAATTGCCCCAAAAATTAAGTACAAAGAATATTATTTAGATGTATTACTTGTGGTTTTATTTTTTGTTTTTTTGTTTTTTGTTTTTTCTTAATCATTGTCTTCCATTTAAACTAGCTAACTAAACAATAAACAAGCGATAATTTACTACTGGGCTATTTACAGGTATTATAGGTACAACATTTGGCAAGGCTCCAACAAACTGGATAACAAATATAACTTTGGTGTCCTGTCACGTCACCCCTCTTAGCGGAGCAGATCGCCCAGCGCCGAGATGTAGGTTTGGGCCATTTGCAGGGTCTCGTGCTTGGACAGCTGACGATCGTTGCCCAGGCAGGGCAGATACTGGCGCAGACGATCGAAGGCCTGGTTGAGGTTCTGCATGCGACGACGCTCCCGGGCATTGGCTGCCAGGCGACGCTTCCTCTTGACCACCGGCGGGATTTGCTTGTTGCGACGCTTCTTGCCGCCTGCAGATCCAGCGGCATCCTCACAGTCGCCATCGGCCAGATCGAAGGAGCCATCGTTGCCATCAAAGTCCTCGCCGCCGCTGCCAAACAACATTAGATCGTCGTCATCCTCCACGCTGTCATCGAACAGAGCGGAGTTGTCAAAGTCAAAGCTCTGGAACTCATCAGCGTAGAGATTGGCTGGAGCCGCGGCCGTGGAGCTGCTGGCACTGATGGTGGATGGTGCGGAGGTGGCTGTGGCTGTCGCGGCAGTCTGCTGATTCTTCTTTGTGTAGCTGCGCTTGGGCTTGACGGCGGCAGGCGCTGGCACTGTCTTGCAAGTGCCCACATTGGAGGAGCCCATGACCTCCACTGCAGCTAGCGGAACCATCGGCACTTCTGCAATGGACACTGCTGCTGGTGCTGCAGCTGCTGCTGTTGCTTGTGGCTGCTGCAGACTCAGTCCGTACTGCTGGGCTTGGTGGTGACCCATGTGGCAGCCATTGTTGTAGATGGTGTTGAGATCCACATATTCGGGACTCTCTGAGCGATGACTGGCCGGCGACGAGGTGATCCAGCCATCGGAGCTGGCCTGCTCAAAGCTGATGAAGCCGTTGCCCGAGTTGGCCAAAGCATTGGCATTGAACTGATAGTGGGTCATGCCCGGACCCAAACCCGGACTGTAGGCGGCCATCGGATTGAAGTAGGGCTCAGTGGCTGCCGTCTTGAAGCCCTGCAAGTCCTCGGACGTCTTGTAGTAATAGCGATAGATTTCACTGGACGACATGGCTGATGTGGATGTGGGTGTGGATGAATTACAGTGAACAAAATCTGATGAACCGTTCGCTGCGGATGCTGGCTGACGAGTTTCTGACTGGTCTCACGTCCTGGCAGTGGTATTTATACTCTGCGGAGCGCACGAACCCACCACTGCGCCGCAGCGCAGGTAAGGGACAGGTAAGAAAAACGAGTTGCCTGCCTGCCTGCCTGCCGACCGACTGCATAATTGTTGCCTGAGACCCGAAGCCGGCCCGAACCTTATTCTGCCCCGTGCACTGTGGACTGGGGGGCAGCACGTGCCTGAACTGGCTGGGATACAAAACATATTAATATCTACACTTAATAATATTCGATTCTACGGAATATCCACACTGAAAGCATGGGAGACAAGCGCAAAAAAACAAAAAATATAAATCCAGAAAAAATAGCGAAGAAATGCAGTTAAAAGCTAAAGATTGACAACAGCAAAAAGCCCATCAAGCAATACAAAGATACAAAGAGAAGCTGCAACTGTATTTGTCATGGTATGTGTATTAAGTTTCTTCACGCGCAGACTTTTCGTTCTCTTTTGTTCTCTTCTTCGTGCTCTTTGTTTGTTTCCTTGATTTTGATTGGCTAAAAATGTTTTCGCTGTTTTCATTGGTTCAAAAGCGGCCAAATTTAGAAAGTAATTTTGAGAGTATTTAAGAGAGAGATGCGCGCGCCATTCAAATTCAAATTATTTATTCTCCGATATACATATGTATGTATGTAATTTTATTAGAGTTCATCCCCACTGTCACAGCCAAACCGTCAAACACGCACACCCCATTACAGTTAACAAAAACGTTAATTTTATATTGAACTTTGAAATATTACTTACATAAATTATACAGATATCACTTACGAAAATGCAAAATTTCCCACTTGCAGCCATTGCTGTGCCACAATAATGTCTTCATGATGTCTCCACCAACTTCTTCGATATCCGACGTAAGCTCTACATTCTCCTCCGAACCGCCAATGTGACAGGCAAATCGAGGAGAAAAACTTTGGCCAAAGGGATGGGACTGAACCCATCCTGACGCAGAGTTTAACGAAGAAAATTTAAAATTACAGGAGTGCAAGCAGATCATTCAGCGACAGGAGCAGAACATGAACAGCGCATGAACCATTACCACTGTATAATTTTTGTTATGCATAATTTGTAGCTTTAAATTGGTTTATATACTTTAAATATTTATCTCTCATGCGATAGATAACACTGGGAATGAATATACCCTCCCCTCGATTTGTTTTTTGTGTTCAATCTCTGGCATAAGTGATTTACCTGCTGTTTTAGCTTAAACCTTGTTTTATTTCATATTAATAGTATTTGCTGCTGCAAATAAAACCCCTATTTAGTCATGTACATCGTACACACATGATCATAATAATAGATACACACATTTAGGTAAACTTTATAGAAAACAGTTTTATTCGATATTTGAAAATTAAAATTAGTTCCCACTTATTCTTTAAGTCTTTTTTATCATTAATATCAAGTTTTTTATAGTATAGGATAATGTTATAGAAGAAAAGAAATCCATTTGTACTTTAGAGTCGATGTCAGGCTGATCAAAATAATAGGTACACTTCAAGCGTTATAATAATATTTTTTGTTCTTTATTAGTATTAACTAGTTAATATCCAGTGTATCCACCTCTATTTTTGGTCACCTTTATAATACTTTTTGGACTACTTTTAATAAGCGTCTGGCAGGTTTCTATATGTAGGTGTCTGATACCACAATTTTTTGACGCCCTCCCATAATTTTTGCTTGTTTGAAAATAAAAACTTAGCTAATTTCTTTTTTAAATCTCCCCACAAGTTTTCAATTGGATTCAAGTCGGGAGATTGACTTAGCCACTTTAAAACGTCAATTTTTTGTTCCTCAAAAAAGTTGGTCAGATAGCCTTGTGTGCGCTTTGAAATACCCAATGCAAAGGCATGTATGTACATATATTATCCACAATAAGAATTCGACATTTTGCTTGGCCATATATGAACATGAATTTGCTTGAAAATGGCCATTCCCGATAGAAAAAAAAGTCGCTATCAAATGGCATATCTAAAGCCGCTAACAAGATGATTATAGGGTTTAATTTGCGCCGCTTGCCAAACCCGGAACAGGAATGGGCGGAAATGCAAACAGAACTTAAAGACAAACAATCCCCAAAACAGGATTAGGGCCGACCGCAAAGTGATGCCAAAATTTGCCAAAAATCCCATTGGATTGAGCATCGTCAATGATTTGTCAGCACCAAATGGCAGAGCGAGCGTCGGGCGTCGAGCGTCGCTCTGCCTTATAAGTATTATTATCTTATCTAAATCGGCTAGAGGGCAGGCAACTACCTGTGCGGGTACGCTTACCTCGGGGTAAACCTTTACAAATTCACCGCCGTGAGGCGATTCGGCATGCCGACTAAAGATCGAACGAGAGAACGTAGCAAATATCGCAATGAAAAATCTTGTTTATTACAACTTGGCAAATTTTCCGATTGATACGCCTGTTCCAAGGACTTGCCACAAGGGTCAAGGTACACAAGGACAAGGGGACGCCGCCGGCGCTAGCTTGTTAGAGCATCGAGCGTCAAGGACACGCTTGGATGGACATGAAGCATCGCTAATAAGCGTGCCCGACACAAACTAGGAGTTAGGGTTAACATTTTAGCGCCTCGCAATTAATACTCCTGCTCGTGTATCGATCGGTTGGGTATGACGATGAAAAGGGAATTTAGTTGTAGTCAGTCCCCGGGAATGACACAGCGAAACAGGACTCGCCCGGTGGTCCTTCGATCCGAGCCCAACCTAGGGGCGTTGGCGGGCCCCAGGATCCCTAATGATTCGCTGGAAATCATAATGCAGTCCATAATACGTACGTACGTACTTTGCTGCACTGCGACTGACTCCCGCGCAATCTTTGAAGTTCCGCGCCCACCCTTGGGACTAGTAGCACGCCCCAAAGGAACGCAGAGCAGAGTTCCTTTGGAAATTCAGCGCTATCCTATCTGCACATCGGCAGGCAGCACAGGCAGCACATGCAACACAGGCAATAAAAACGCTGTCAATTAGATAAAAATGTCACACAACAAACCGCAACCCAAGCGATGAACATTGAATTTATTGGACGAACAGGTAAACCTGCCTGACCTGCCTGCCCTGCCCTGTCCTGCCCAGCCTGTGCAGCCATCGATGACTCCGAGTTGCCCCTAACCAACCATGAATGTCCACCGATGTCCTGTGCAATTTACGAGCCAGTTGCGGCCACGACAGTTGTGCAAGTGACGCCCTCGGTTACACCTGCAATGCAATGTACGAGTACGCCGAAAAGATCGATCGCATCTCTCTCTCTTTAGCTCTTTGCACTTAAACTTTATGCTTATCGGCATTAGCTGATGTCCAGGCATCCGCCAAGCGACTAAACTCTTGCATATCGATTTGAAATTTACATTTACATTGCCACTTGCCACACCAGTACACCAGTACACGTGCTGGTCTCCCTCCGCTCCCTACTTTTGTACAAAGAGTTAAAACAGTTTTTCTTTTTTTGCTCTTTATACGGGCGCCTTGCGTGCCTGTCAGTTATCGAGTGGACGCTTGATGCCTCCTCGTAGCCGCTTGATATGAGCCGTGCAGGGCCCATATTCCATATACCGCCAGACCGAATGCATTCCCAGCCTCACATCATTGGCATCATTATCATGATAACGGGCCGTTCCTTTCATGTCAATGTACATAAATGCAACTTGTGCAAGGCAACGGAGGCTGGCACTGGCACTGGCACTGGGACTGATGTGGAGCAGCTTCCAGAAAGCGCATGACAAAAGCAATTGAAGCCAATCGACTGCCATCGAATATGGAAGCTTAAATGCCCTAACCACAAATTAAGCACACAAATAAAGGGTTAAACGCTAGACGTATCGAATAATACTCTGAAACTTTAAGTTTATTCAGCATTATTATCTATAAATATCTGGCAATTAATTTTCTACTCTTTGATCATATTTATCCGAATTTTGTGAGAACTCTGAATGGATTTTCCTGGTTAAACATAATGGCTTATGGATTCCTGCTGCATATTTTACCCTTTCGTGGGACCTTTCCTTTGGCATGCGGAACGTGTAGGCGCTGAAGAAGCAACCAAGAAGAAAAGTAGGCGCACGTCAACGACTCCCATTAGCAAGTCGCTCTGGGCCGTGAAAGTGTTGCTTCAGCTTCAGCTCCAACTGCTTCTGCGGCCCCAATTCCTTCTTTTTTTTTTTGTCGACTGAAATTGAAAAATTTGTATGTTACTTATTTTATTAGCATTTAACACTCCGTCCGCCCGTCCGCCCGTCCGCCATCCCACAAGAACGAAAAGCAAAAGCGAAAGGGGTTGGCACTTGGACATGCAATGCGCTGCATGGCGTGCCATCTTCAGATCTTCAGCAGCTCTCCAGCTTTCCAGCTCCTCCTCATCCTACTCTCTGTCGTTGTGGGTGGCCCCAAAACGGGATTCGTGTGCGGCATTTTGGCAATTGTCAAATTGAAAATTCATTAAAGCCAAATTAAATATGTAAATGCCAGAGCCCAAGTCGAGGAGCGACAGGCGACAGCCTGGTCCCCGTTCATGCTCCTCCATTGTTCCTCCCACCCAACCCACTCCACGGCTGCTTCGACTGAGCCCCAAACTGTTTGACTTGGCTACGCAAATATTGACCACACATGCCCCAGCCCACCCCCCCAGGGGCAGGAGCAATCTATGGACGCGCAAGCAATTGAAAAAAATGCAAAAATATCATATGTACATATGCTCGAACGGCAGCGATAAAAAGTCAAGTGGAAATCAAAGCAAATACGAAGGCTTCAAATGGAAGCAAATACTGTGATGCTGGATACGTTGCATTGGATGGTTCCATCAATCCATCAATCCCACATCGCACAGGACACGGACCTGTTCGAAAAATTGTTAAACAAATATCGCATAAATTGCACATTGTTCGAACG